TGCACCCCAGCCTGTCATAAGCGAGAGTCACTCAAAGATTAGACTATTCAGAAATTACCTAGAGGACGGGTGTAAAGGAATTGGAGAGTCGCTTGGATATGTAGCGTCCTACTCCCGAGCCTTGTGTCATTAGGTTTCAGATCAAGAAGCTTCAGGTACTGTGATTGATTACCTGCATATTTATTGTTCACTGCGAGCAACACATGCTTAGGGGTCACATCAGAATTGTGGCTTAAGGGAACGAACAAGATAACACAGCTATCGATAGGAGAAAAGGGCGGTCCTCATTATCAGCTCCAACAAAGAACAGAGAAAGAGAAAAAGAAAAATACATGAACATCATATCCCGACAAAGATACTCCAACATGTCCATTCCTTACTCTTAAGGACCAACCCAAGCCAAGTTTCCTGGAAATCCGACACCAACTCCGCCACAACCAACGATCCATCATAAGCAACATGAAATGACAAAAGCAAACACCTTTTGAAAGCTCTTAAACCGACGCCACCTAGTCTCATGTCTCAATCCGAACCATAATCGAGGGGAAACTATCTGGCTCATTCGTCCGCAAAATCCCACTCCGCCAGTGCATTGGGGTTGGCATCACCAGAGTCACTACCCCTATTAGAGTCATCACCCTCACGGCCAACAGTGCCCTCATCTCCATCATGATCATCATCGTCGGACTGGTCCATCTCAACCAAATCATACTCGCCGTCCGAGTCTGACTCGTCCTCCGCATCACTTCTTCTCTTGGGCGACGTTCCACTGACCTCGGAGACCTCCGCCTCCGGTGACCTGAAGAAGGGATGTTCGGCGCTCAGCTTGCGGCGCTGACACACATATCCCATGGGCGTATGCATGATGTCCTGCCCCCGTCTTCGCTGCGTCAGCCAATCGAGGACGAAGCCCAGGGGGTTCTTCGCAAATGCAACTTCAGTGTTGTCACTCTCTGGCAAGGACGTCTGTCTGCCGTCATCATCGGCGCCTTCACCATCTGCTTCGCTGGACCTGCCCGCTTGGAGGTACGTGACAATGGCGGCGTACTCGGTATACTCAAAGTAAAGACGGCCGGCGAGAATTCCGATCTCGATTATGAGCCAGTCTGGGATGAGGGTACCCTTAGGTAGCGAAGGGAAGGCGTAGTAGGCAAGTCGGCCTAGCGAAGTCATGTTTCGCGTGACTGGCGAAGCGTAAGGGATGAGATGGACCGGGCTGTGGTTTTTGGTGACACGTAACATAGGGATTGCAATCTCGGCTTCCTCTGGAATGAGTACTAAGGCCGTCTGAGTGCGAGGAGCGTAGAGGATCCATTCTACGGGTCTCTGTAGTATCACGTTGGTTAGCTGTTCGATCTCTCATCAAGATAAATTTTGGTAATCTTACAAAAAAGTCATCGCTCGGGCTTTTGCCGGCTGAAATAGTGCGTCGAAACTCGGATGACACGTAGAATTTCGACCCCGTTGAGCGGACTTCATACTTCTTTCCCAGCGTGGTCCTCCCTAGGGCAGTGAAGGCATGCTCGTAGCCATCCGTGCCCCGGAGTACACCGTTCTCTATGAACCGCAAGATATTTGGATGCATCCCAGGAAACTCGAAGGCATCGTAGTGGGTGGGCTTGCGCACCTGACGGATCTCTTCAACCTGGAACTCGACCTCGCGCTCTTGCTCTACTTCGTCAAGAGCACAAGCCAAGGCTTTGGGCGTGGTATGAGCAAGGTCTTTCTTCTTCTTGGTGAGCGTGTCGTAGAAAGATCGCAGCTTCGGGTCGGTAATGGCTAGAGAAGCGTTATCTGAACTTGAATCTTGGGCTTTGCTTCCATAGATCTCCTTTAATGTTGAGCACTCCTTCTGTAAAATCACCCTCATGTGGGCCTCGCGGTGCTTTGTTGAGCCCACAAAGTTTGGATGCTCCCATGCAGAGTTTATCCTCTTGCAGAAATCAGTCCCCTGCGCCACGTACAAGGGGCGAAGGCTTTCATTAGCGCGGCAAGTCATTTCAAGGAGCCACCGTACGCAATGTCCGGAGTCGATATAATCGGAAAAACGGCGCTGGCACACTTTCCGAATGTCATGATCGACCTCGGGTGGTGCACAGAAGACTACTGACTGCGTTGTGCCCAGTTGTCGAAGTCTCATAGCGGCTTGGACAGTGTGATCCTTCGTCTGATTCAATGCCAGTGTCAGGGCCCCATAAGCATCTTGCGGCAGTTTGAGATCTGTTCCGCGGGTATGCGCTTCGTCGAGATACACCAGGCACTCTGCCAGGTTTTCCGCATACGGGGTCGCCAGCAACGGAACCGGCTTTTTGGATCCGCGAGAGAGCACCATGGCCTTGTTCTCCTCATTGAAAAAGATCGCCGCGGGGCTAAAAGTGTCAAGCTTCAACCATTCCTTTGCCACTTCATGGTTCTTCATCTCCAGCACAAACGCACCGGCATCAATGAGGATGCGTATTCTTGTCTGTGACAAGCGCTTAAGAAGCCCATACTCCGTTAACCTTCTTTCACCCTGTCCCTTTCCATGCTCAGCCAGCTTCTCGTATCTGCGGTTTCTTTTCTCAAGGAGATATGAGAGTACTTCGGCATTGGTCTGAGACAAACTGGGAAGGTCATCTTGCTTGATGGTAAGCGGAAGCAAGTATTTGTTGTCATTCGTACCGCTGAAGCCAGTAGTCCGAGCCAATTGTGATTGATTGGCGGCGATTCGTGGAAAGAGAGGAATATCCCAGCCAGATGTCTGAAGCTTGACTTCGAACTGCTTGCAGTGTTTCGGGAACACGAACGTGTTCATGTAGTAATTCAGGACGGCTCTGTTGAGCCGGAGAAGCTTCCACAGCTGTTCCACCTGGAGATGGTCCTCCGCATTGATCATATTCCACTGTCGAAGATCCTGAGGAATGTTTGCGCAACCCTGGGTCCATATGTCGTACTCAGACTGCGGATCATCAGACTTCAAAACGCTGCCGAGACAGTCGGTGAATTGCTGCAACGTCAAGCCAGAGTAATAGAAGGCGAGACATGTGAAGATGATGGCAACATCAGGATGGCCGAATTCAGCGTTGGCAGATGGGACACCTTTTGCCTAGTACAAGAGGTGCATGTTAGTTAACTACCTTAGAAAATGATGCTGGATAAGATGGACTTACCTCAAAGGGCACGGCAATTGGTATACGATCAGGGTGCAGTCCGTATTGGACGTTCCACCGCTTTTTCAGACACAGTAGAAGAATACCACTGTGAATCAAACCTCGCAGCAGCAAAATTTTGTCAGCAGCAGAGTTCCTGTCAACAAACGCTCGCTTCGCCTTGTTGATTTGGAAGTCCTCCACAACAGGATCAATCAAAGCGTGTTTCAGTCTTTCCTTAACGCTCGGCTGAACAGAATCAGCAAGATGGAAAGTGGGTGATTTTCCAGCACAAACATCAGCAATGATGCGTTGCTTCAAATCCTGTTCGACTTCCGCGTCCAATATGTAAACTCGTGGAAACGCCGAGCCCTGATTTTCCACCTCAATGCGGCGGCCGAACTTTTGGCGAAGGTCGGGGACATGGGCCTCGACAAGGCCTAGGAGAGCTTGTGCAACATGCCATCTGCGGGAGGAAAACAGGTTAGCAATGGAAGCGAACTGGATGTAAATAAACTAGTCTAACCTGTGTGGATGGCCGTCTACGGCCTTCTCGGTACCACTGGGGTATATCAGCTGAGTTTTGACGGCCAATGTAACATCGGATTCATCGAGAATGTCTCTCGAAGTCTCCGTAAGCCAGTGCTGAAACTCGACCATTTGCCGCGTTTGCTTGGACTTGGAGTCGACCATACTCTGAAGTCCACTCAGCGAGAATGACATGATAGATTCCGGCAATGCCAGAATGACTCCCCCAGAATGGAGTATATCGTGATGCAACTCCTCGAACACGTCCAGCATCTCCGGCCCGGCTCTGGTACGACGAGAGAAGGGAATGTGCCGAATCTCGCGGCCAACCAAGCCGCCCAGCCTCGATTGCATGATCTGTGCGGTTTGCAAGAGGAGAGCCTTGGGAACGATAAGTCTGCACAATTGTTGCTTATCTGCCAGAATTGCTGCAGCCATTGGTGTAATGACTGATGTTTTCCCCTGTAGAGTATATCGATGTAATTAGTTGATGATCGTTAAGATTGAGAACGTGGACTTACCTTTCCCATGTTCAATTGCAGAACCGAGTTCGACTTGGAGTTAGGCGAGATAATCGCTTGAGCAACCTCGAATTGTTCATCGCGAATGAGTATGTTGTTCTCCAACTCAAGCAGTAAGAAATCCGGATACTCCTCCGCATCCCAGTTTGTATGCCCCGGATTGGCTAGTTCATCAAGAACTCGTTGGTTGTTATCCTGAAGATGAGCATACCTCATCCTTCGCAGTTTCTGCAATCTCGTAAGTAAAATACCGAGGGAAACCAGAGCACCCTTCATTCCATCTCCAAATGTATTTTCGGCCACGGAGCGAAGCTGCTCCATCATGGTGATTCTACTCCCATTCGGCCAGAGCCCACCTGCAATCAACCACGAAGAGCCGCTGTCCTCGCTGGACCATGATCGCTGTATCGCTTCCACATGTGTTGCGATTGCGCGCTCACATGCCGAAATCTGATTTTCCATCAAGATGAGGGTAGGGCAAATATCGAGTTTGACCTGGCGAGGAGCACTTTGTAAAGCTTTTAAGCTTCTCCGTAGGTCATTTGCATATTCTTGACGAATACATCCTGCTTCTTTGGCAAGACTGACAAGAATAGAATCAAGCTCTCGATATTCAGGACGGACTGAATCTCGCCAGCGATCTGCCTTTGGTCCCAATGCACCCAAATGCATGGGTTGACTCTTATTGACTTCGGCTGAGAGGGCCATGCTTTCTGGTCCTGATTTGGGGAGTAGATCGTGGGCAATGGAAGGTATGACTGGTTTTCGTCTGGGCAACTGGTAAGATCGAGTGTCTATCGGAATGAGCATTGTTGGGAACTCATAGGAACCGCTGTATTGTGAGAGAATCTCATCAACTGCCTCTACCCACAGAGAAAGTTGGTAGTTATCCCAAAGATGCTGCCACCGTTGCTGAAGAGTTTGGAAAACCTCATTAAGCTCATAACAGTCAAGGACAGAAGACCCAATGCCTTCAAATGACAAGGTTTCCGTAGGCCATTGACAGTGGATCAGTTCAGCAATGCGTTTTTGTTCTGAAGCGCATAATTCTTTGTGATGTTCTTGTTCCTTGACCTTCTGAGAGTTGGATTTTGACTTGGCAGATTGTAGGTTGCTAGGTACGGGAAGCTCCATAAAAGGTGGTCGGATAATCCCGTGTATCAACTCCAAGGTGGGTGCCTCATGACGCCGGAAATCCGTAAAACAAGAGCCCTTTGGCTGTTCGAGGACCTTGAGCTCTGTGAGCCGGGAGAATGCCGCTAAAGACACAGCCAAATCCATATCAGCATTTTCCCTGAAGACCAGCGGTGCCAGTCTGAACGGCAAAGCGTATTTGTCTTCTGGAGGAATGTTGCAACAAAAGGAAACCATGCTTCCAAACTGACTGCTCGGCATTTTCTCAACGACGTCAATCAGTGAGAAGAAGTCATGTTCAGGAGTCGCACTGAAGCCTCCGATCACTTTCCAGGCCTCCAATATCTCTGACAAGGGCTTCGTTCTGTCGAACTTGAACTCATTTTCTGTAACCTGGCTGACAATGTGGAAAACGTTGGTACATCTTGGTGATGTCATATCTCGGTCTCTGGAACGATAGAGCTCGTCACCTTGACCGGTCGAAGTGGGAGGGATAAAGGAGCTGGTCTCATACAAAGATTGCCGAAGCAAACCACGCTCCCGAAGATGGGAGATATAAACTCCGGAAGAAGACGGCGGTGTTGATGTAGTGTTGTGAAAGCAGGACAGACGATTCGATTTGGTGATAATAGCCTGGACAATCGCATCATATCCGTCATGCTGAGCATATGACAAGTGCCCCTCCCAGATGGCTGTCTGCAATTTCCTCTGGTTTGGAGGGTAATATTCCCGACGAGGGCATAGGTTATTCTGAATGAACCGCAGCATGGCAAGGCCTTCGTTGTCCAGGGGCTGCCATGGCTGACAAAGACCGGACTGCAGTATGTGTTGTGCCTCTTCTCTTCCAGTACGTCCAGTAAGTGGATCAGGGAACGGAGAAGAGGTGAGCGCATGAAACAACGCCTTCGCGTAAAGATTTCTGGGCTCGGGAAGACACCAAAGGCGTCCTAGCACGTTATCAATAGAGAACAGTCCGTATTGGTTAACCGGGGCGGTCTTTACCACTGTCCGTGATCCTTGGCGCGTCCATGTTGTAACGCCCATAGCAGTGATGATGCTTCTCTGGTCTCGATCTTTGAGGTCGCGGAGACATATCTTGCTCAGGAATCCATAAAGAGTCCCAGCGTCTTGATTGGGGTCAATCTCGGAGCGCAATTCCCTGCTTTCTAGAAGTCCTCGATGATTGACACGAAAGGTCAGGCCCAGCTGTTCAAGTTTGACAGTAATGTTGCCTTTTCCTGGCTGGTAAACAAGCAGGTTTTCAGGATGCTCAAAGTACTTGAAATTTTGCTCAATCATCTTGAACAGCTTCGATTGTGGGTCGATCAGTCTTTGGCGCCTGCGTCTCGCAATCCTCGTCTTGAGGTCTATCACCCAGTTGTGAGCATGCTGTCTCCAAGCGTTAACATGCCTTATCTCCAGCCGCGGGTTTGCTTTATCCGAAACGGTCATCCAATGGAAGCAGTCATTGATCAGACTAGCTGGAATGTCGTGGCCTTTGACTTGTTGAAACTTGTTGCGAGGGATCAATTCCAGGACAGTCCCTTCTTTGGTTATGGCACGAATGATGACTTGCCCATCACGGATGCCAAAATGAACCTTATGTTTATGACGAGTCTCACCCCGCAACGTGTGGCTCATTCCCGGCATGTTTGAAGGGATTGTGATGAGATGCTGATTGCCGAAAAGTTCTTTCACGATTTCGGCATCCCGAATCTCGGCAGGGAGAGTCCCTGGAGGCTTTCCGTCGATAAGGAAATAACCCTCGATAAAGTTGAACTGTACAATGTACTTCTCGTGCCAAGTCCCGTAGTCAGTTATGACCTGGCGTTCGATCCAGCGGGAGTTGGGGGATGGCATAAATTCCAAGTCAGAGAACGTCCGAGGGGCACTCGTTGGATTTGGCCAAATCGGATCTAAGATCGTTTCGATGACTTGGGGATAGGCTTTGATTGCCTGCGCAACCGTGGACTGCAACCTGTATGCCGCTTTCAAATCTCTGATGAGGACTTGCTTGAAATTTGATGGAAGTTTACCAACATCCACCAACATGTTTTCTTGGAGACCAATAGTGGCTTCGAGAAACGTTATGAGATCCTGCATTGACATGGGCGACTTTGGCGAGTGAGCAGAAAATGTCCGGCGGCAGAGAATGGCCGCCCATCTTCCATACTCACTTGCTCTAGCTGCTATATCCTCTTGGGCGGCGTCACGAACCTCCAGTCTCAAATCTCTGAGCCAGTGAAGTGTTACACGGCGAGCGTTCATCAAGAGCTTGTCAGATGAGCGCTTTGTGGAACTGGAGCCTAATTGGTGGAGTCGCAAAGTGATTGAAATCATCACATCCATACAAAAGACATCACGCCAGCTGATGGTTGTCAGTCTGCGATCAACCTGTTCGATCAGACGAGCACAAAAAGCGTCATCATTGAACAAGAGATGAGCGTCTCGATAGACGCTATTGCTTTTGTGCATTGTTCCGGCTTGAGTGATGAGCTCGGAAAACAAGCGGCTGGTCTCTTCAGAGCTGAAGTTCAGGTTCGGGGTATTCAGCTCCAGCAGCATTGTCAACCAGCGCCTGGATGTTCCAGATAGTAGGTTTTGATGCGCTGTGAACTCAGCCGGAGACATGGTAGTAGGGCATTTTGTTAGATTGGCAACAATTTCGTATGACGACGGCTCTCGCACAAGATGTGTCGTCCGCCCAGCATCTTTTGCCCCTTGAATAGCCCCGAAACCATCCGGAAGAGAGACTCCACATAGTCGGACAAGCTGAAATGGACGATCATGGTCTTTCACCCAACAATTCAACTCCTTGTCGAAGTACTCGAAGCGAAGGGCAAGAGGTAGAATAATATCTTCCTTCTGAGGCGATTTTCTCACCTCAGGCTTCTTGTAATGAGTAGAGAGCCACGACTTGGACACGGAGGCCAACGTAACCGTGCTCGACTGGGCGCTCTCGGAGGCGAAGTCCTTTAGCTGGCAATAGCTGAGAAGGGTGTCTGCAGGTTTCGCCTGGGAAGCCACCCCCTGAAAGGACAATGTCTGATGGATCTTCCAAGTTGCATTCCGATATGCAGTGAAGAAGTCCGGCGCACAAAGCTCAAAGACAACTGTCGCTGCTTCGTCTTTGTCTTCAGGAAGGTAATTCTCATGAACCTCGACGACCATTCGTCGCATCTGCCTTTTGCACCAGCAAGACAAGCATTTGCTCACATCTCTCACCGTTTCCGAGATCTGGATACAGAGACAAGGGCCAGCTCCATGCATCTTCTCGTTGAGATCCTCATATTGATACAGAGCAGATGCCCATGCCTGAATTTTGTGTCGTTTGGTACGCTGGCATTCTTCGTCAATGTCATTCCATACTGCGGTGAGTTTGTCTTCATCATCACAGTCTTGAAGGTATCGAACTCCAAACGATGATGGGCTCGGTGGAGCAAAGATCGTTTTGGATTCAGCGGCATTGGCTGTCCGTTCCTTCAGGTATCCCTGTATCTCATGGAGACGGGACAAATCGGACAAAGAAGAAAGATGGAGCAAGTCAAGTGACTCGGGAGAAAATAATGGGTGATAGTTGGAGAGCAGAGGGCAGAACGAGGTTGCGTAGTGGTCCAACGACACCCACAAATCCAGTACATTGAGAATATGGTTGCTCGTCTGCGCTGGGTCGTTATCATAAGCATCGCCGACTTCCGCGACCAGTCTGATGATTATTTCAGAGATGCGCAGACATCCGAGACGATAACCATCCCTGGAATTGGGGGGATCTTGCATCTCCCGTTCGATTAGTTGCAAAATTTCGCCCTCGAGTTCTGCTAACTTGAGATACCTCTCCGCGAACTTGGTAGCTTTTCCAAGCATGCCAGACTTCATCGCCCGCAAGTCAAGAAATGGTACCGTTTTGAGGGGATACGGGGTCAAATCGAGTAGTGAACGCAAATAGTTCCCACTGTTTTCAAGTTTGAGTTCGAAGCTGGCGATTTCTGACTTGGCAGGGAGTGGGGCAATCTTTCGCTGGACAGAAGCTTTATACAGCTCCCAAATCCTTGTGGCATCTTGAGTAGCGACTTCGATGGTATTCTTGAACCAGGGGCTCAAGCAGGCGAAGAGCTGATCGTATACTGGGCGAGCAGATTCAGATGCTTGCAGTTTGTCTGACTCCAACTTGGCGAGGCGTCGGCACAGCTTGGCTCTGAGAATCATCTGACAAAGAGAAAACAATGGCATTAGTGAGTCTGCGAAGTTCGTGAAACTGTAAATGACTTCTACTTACCACCATCTCAGCAGCGAGCTCTTTTGAAGTCTGTTCAAGGAACTGTGCGAGGACAACGCACATGAACATCTTGTAGGTTGCCCGGCCTGCCTCGTTTCCAAGCTCAAGACATAACATTTGTCGAACAGCGACGCGTAATATCAGCCACATCGGGGCCCTTCTCCATGGCTTTTTTGCGTTGTCGAAGTTGACATCGTCACGTACTCTCTTCCGGAACCTAGGAGTGCTGGCGGGCCCACCAATAGCAATCAGCAGTGACATGAGCATCTGAGAAATCAGCGCACAGTCGGCGGTGTCGCGTGTCTCGATGACTGCCGTCTTCTTCTTCACAGCTCGCGCATTGAGGGCGCTTAGAGTCTCGATGCTGGCTTTCTCCAGGAACAAGGCGAGACTGGTCCTAAACGAGTCGTTATGAAAGTCGCTAGCAGGGATCTGAGCCGCGCGACCGGGGAAATCACACAGAAGGGCATTCTTGGCTCCCAGTACGGCCTCCAAAGATGGGGAGGCTTCGAAGGCCTCGAATATCACTGAACCGCTAAAGAACTGTTAGTAACGAGAAACAGGAGAACCAAGCTTGGTCGGGGGACACTCACTTTGAGGCGGGGCGGATAAGGAGGCCGGCATTTTGGCTCGCCACATGCAAGATGAGCGTCTTGTCTCCGATGTCCCGAAACTCTTGCTCAAGTGATGCTTTGCTGAGCATGCCGTCATGGTTGAGAAGCCTACATTTCTCAAGAGAAGGAAGTAGAGAGTCCCATGGTCCAGTGGAAGACTGCTTTCGTAGAAAGGTGCACGCCTTGATAGCACAGTCGATGAGGCTATGGTTGAGAGGTTCTAAGGGATCGGGCTGAGACGTAGGTACCTTGGCCGCGAGGACCAGGTGACAAAAAAGTTCCTGGTTCGAGGCCATGGCCACAAGTGCGGGTTCGTAAGGCTAGTTTGTCTGTGTTAGCTTTCAGTGTCTTTGAAATCGTTCACAACGGATTGAAGATGGTGGAGAACAGTCGTGTCACCGAATAGAGCTGGTGAATCCAGGGAATGATGAGAGAAAAGTAAGATGTGGCGCAAGGACTTACCGAGAATTTGTTTATGTGGTATCACCTAACCATGACTTGAAGTCAAGTATGCTCTTGAACTGGGCCCGAATCGGTTGTGAATAGTCCAGTGACCTGAGAGCCAGAGAGTGAGAGAGACGGGGGTAAAAAAAGCCGTGTGATAAAGGTTGCGAAAGAAATGTGGTGGTGGTGTGGATGTGTTCGAAGTGATGCAGAGGTGAAAACAGATGTCTCTGTCGAAAAAAACATGGGCAGAATGTGGAAGAGGGCAGTTCAAGTATGCCACTCGCCCGCTCATGGGGGTAATAGGAGGTCGAGACGATTGGTTCGAGTGTCGACTGCCCTGGTTTCTTGAGTGTGACAAGCAGCAGAAGTACAGTTGACCTGCTGGCGAGTGAAGGGAGCGCACCAGGCAGATGTTGGCGTAGGTTTTTTCTGAAAGCGTACTTCTGTGGCCAGTGCCGAGTTGCCGAGAAAGTAATCCAGCAAGCGGTTGTACAGGACGATGATCGTAAGGACGAAAGACAAGACCCAAGATGTACTAGACGGATGCTGTTTGGGTTGGCTCGTAACCGTCGCGACGAGACGAAAATGTTCCTCGCGTCGCTGGGATGTTGTGACCGCAGAGAATGCCAGGCCTGTTCCAGAGAAAATGTGTTTCCGAGACGGGCCGATGCGCAAAAGAGTAGACCAGACGTATCTTGTACTTGGTTATCTGGTATATTTTTGCGACGACTGGCAAAGATAGGGCGATGTGACGAGGTGGATTCGAATCCTCGAAGAAGACGGAAGTTGTACCTTTGTACCTTGGATCACCCAGTCACCGAGGGATAACGAAGCTTGGAGGTTTCGACAAACGCAGTCCGGGCGCTGCGAGAGGTTGACACTTGTGGGTGGTCTGCGACGGTCCGTAATGACGAGGGTTTTGAATGCAAAAGCAGCTGGAACGGGCAGGTTAGCATCCAGTACCGTACGTGAGATAACCCAAATGCAGACGGCCGGCATGTATGCGGCCTCGGCAGTGAATGGGCATCAAGCAGCACCGGTACCTACCCGACTTCTCAACCTTTGATGGCTCGACAAGACACAAGTTTCCCCTGTCCTGGCCCATCCCGCCAGACATGGAACAGTAGGTGACCAAGACATCGGGACAAATGGCAGCCTAGAGACCGAAGGCATCAGCAGAAGAAAACTCGAGTGAAGGAGAGTGGGGGAACATGGAGGCGGGAAGGGACAAGATGGGATGAAAGGACTGGACTCGCGGCATCTTGGGCTGCCCTCAAGGTTGATCGTTGGATGTTCAGTCTGTCTCTGTCGCAGGCAGTTTGAGGTTCCGAATTGCACTTGGCGGCATCTGGTCAGCCTTGCGAAAAACAAAAATGCCTGGGCTTTCCATGTTGCGGCAGGCTCTGGGCAGCAATGCACGAGAGGAATTGAATGGATAGGTGGAAGTTTCTCGAGGTTCAGTCGAGTTCGCGGGAAGAGAAACAAGGAGATCTAATTTGTGATGCTAAGGTAGAAAATACGCAGATAGGTACAATAAGGTAATCCTCCAGGGCCATGCCTGCCCGCTGGCCAATGGTCACCGCACCCCCGCGCTTGCAAACGCGCGCGGCAGTGCGTTAATGGGGAAGGCGCAACCCTCAACGGGAGATCAGTGGACGGGCGGTACGGTAGTCGGAGCGGGAGGCCTACCGCGTGTGGATACCCTCCGGATACCACCTAGAATTTCCATTTCCAGTGGGGGAGAGCGCGGCAAGAGGCCTGATCGGACCCACTCTACAGCCCCCTACGACTCGGAACCCCGCAAATGGGATCCGGAGGGGAGGTGGAGAGGAACGGCACCCTCTGCACCAGTCACCTGGGCTTTGCAACTTGCCTCTTTCACTCGACTTGATACAATGCTCTCTACCGAATGTATCATTTGGTGTTGGTACAGGACTTGAGTCGGCATAACAACAATCGTTCCCAACATTTCGGTCCAAGTTACAAGTAGGTGTTAACTACTTTCCAGCGTCCAAACTAGCTTCAACCCTTCGTCGCTCCCTTACTTTTAGGTTCCTTGGTCGCAACATATTCCAACGCAATCACTGGACATTCGACGATGTGCTAACACAATGGTAAGGTAACCTGGAAACATTGTCGCTGCCACTTCTCCGGCGTTTTTCTCGGTTTTATAATCCCCAAGCAATTGTTTCTTAATTTCTGTCATGCAACCCGCAAAAAGTATCATTCCCATTGCTCCTCAAACCCTGGAACGTGTCCCGCATCATTGTCGTCAACGCTCGAAATGGCCTTTCTCCCTTAACCGCGGCCTTTTTACTCTTCTTTGCGAAGTCTTTCCGCAATACCAATCCCAACCCCTAACCTTCCTTCTTGTTCACTTCCAATCACTGTCTTTCCATCTCCCAATCAATTTCTCTCTCAAGGGTCCTGTGCAAAATGCAATGTGGCCCATTCTCCAAGAACTTCTTACTTCTTCGCCATAGAATCAGTGTTACTGGCCATGGTAGCCCACCGGGATGCCTCTGATGAGGCATAGCTCTTGACCTTGCTGTCGGTCGAGCTCGAGGCCGTGGAGCTGAAGGACTTGCTGACGTCACGGATCTCGGAGGCGTTGGACTTCCAGAGAGGAGCTACTGCCGCTTGAGCCCGACCCGGACCCAGAGCCGGAGCCGGAGGTGTAGGAGCTGTAACCAGTATAGGAAGACATCTTGTTTTCTCTGAGGGGTGTGCGTTTAGGCTGTTGTAAGTTCAGAATGTGTACTAGAGTGGTAAACATTGGTCAGTTGCTCCACATATACTGATACTACAGTGAAGCGGAAGTGCCACGTTTGGAGGCTTATTATTACTGACTTTTTCCTTGTGAAGATGTGATAGGTAGAACTGGCGATGGCTTCGTGGTTGGTTTCTCGTGTTGAGTTCGCTTGTGGTATTAGTGTATGATGATGCTGATGGATATGAGCAGGCTCGAGAGAGTGGAGGTTCATGATCTCTTATACTGCCCGTGGTGGACGCAAGATCGATGTTATCCTCGGCGACATTGCTCACCCTGACCCCTAATCCTCCATCGTTCAACCGCAATATGGAGCGCGACAAACGGACGTTGAGATTCCAACCAACATAATATCATGACTGTTTGTTCATGGTACGGGCGGAGCGTCAAACATAGAAAATGTCGGTTGGAAGTTGAGGATGGAAGGGTATCCCACTTAGATAGGTAAGATTACCTGCGTTGGCGACCCATGAGACAATCACAGCAGTGTATGGATCAAGATGGAATTCTGAGCGGTATCTTGATATGTTTTCGGAGAGGCCACAGCCACAAACGCCGAGTGGATGGCCCCTTCCTCAACCATCCACCCTCCCTTCATACTTCTCCGCATATTCGCTCACAATGCCCTTGTAGTCCTCTAGTCCATACGGCTCGATCATTTCCGCCAACCAGCTTCTCTTCCGGTGAACCTTCAGTCCCAGATCACCAACCATCAAGTCGATATACGGCAGCGCATCAAACACAAAGTCTGGGAACTGGTGTCCATGGCCCGCCGGATACCGCCACTTCCCAAATCGTGCTTGGAGAACAGCCTCGTACCTCACCTCTTCCATCGTCTTTCCCTTTGCGCCCACTGTTCCTTCCTTGAGCTTCGACTTCCCGTCCAGCATGACCTTTCTGGATGGCATCACACTAAGGGGCAACTTATCGTCAAGAAACGCGGAGATCCAGAGGGCCTGGGGATACAGGGAGAGCCCAGAAGAGAAGCTGGAAAAGTACCCGATGAATGCGATATCTCTCGTTATCAGAAACCTGGACGACGGCGGTACCATGAACCGATACAACGTCCACGGGGTTAACCGGGCCGGCTGAGGGCTTTGCCCGTCTCCCGTTGAAAGGCCTTCAGTATCCGTCATGGGCTTGTACCTGTTGTTGATGACAGGTTGGTCCCTGAGCCGCGGAAACCTCGAGAGAATCTCTTCATCGGCTCGCGCCACCATCTCGTCCGTAAACAGAGGCTCAGCGTCACCACCCCCCGGGAAATGAGGCAGGCCCAACTCCTTATCGATGCCCTCCGGCAGAAACTTCACAGGTGGTACGTGCTTCCACCCCGTGACACAGCACAGGGCCTCGGTCGCTAGCTTCGTTCCGTTGGACAAGTGTACCGTCTTGGGCGACAACTTCGTAACGTCGGCAATGTGTATGCTGACGGTTCCATTGCGAATGAGGTCGAAGAAGTCTGTTGGGAAATTGAGGATGGAAAAGCTGGAGGCAACGAACATGGCTGGCGCCCATGGCTCGAGCTTCTTGATCTCCGGGTGTGAACTGTACTTGTTGATCGTCTTGACGTCGTTCCCCAACGCCCACCAGAAGCCGTTGGTGATTGCTCGCCCGATGGCTGTCCCATGCCAAAATCTCCGGATTAGCGAGAAGCCATCGGCGGCTCCCCAGATGCATGGCGAAAACCATGTCAGGATTCGAGTTTCTGGATCACAGCAACTTGCGGTTAGTGTTACACCACACATGTTTGAGATCAGTATTCAGACTTGTCACTTACGAACCAACGCCTCCAACCATAGCTTGAAAGGCGTCACAAACGACGGCGCCATCCACGCCGGTCCATGTCCGGTCTCTGCATTCCATTGCCATCAGTCAGCAAACAGCTACCGGGCTTCAGACCCAACACATCGACAACCACTTACCTCGAATAACCCAATTTACCTTAATCCCTTTCGACGCATACGCATACACCGCATCCCAGGCCGACTTGGTCCCCCCAAGCACCGTAACAATCGTTGCGCTCTCCAGCGTCCCGCCATATTTTTTAAACTCCTTACTGTGAAACAACGGCGCCCCAAACTCCTCCTGCACCTTGAAATCCGGCAAAATTGCCTCAGACGCCAGTCCAGTAGCCATCACCATCTTCCTCGCCAACACCGTCTTCTTCTCTCCATCAGGACATTCCACGGTCAACACCCACCCACCCTCATTCCCTCCATCTTCGTTATGCTCAGCCGTGAGCACCGTGTGCCGAAGACGGATCTTGTCCATGATGTCAAAAGCCTCGGCGTAGCTCGTCAGGTACTTGTGCATCACGGGACCGGTTATGTACTCCCCTGGCTTGACGCCGAATGTTTGGGGGTCCATGGGGTAGTCGAGGTACTCGTATGTGCCCTTGAGGTTGTTGGTGCGCAGGCCGTCATAAAGGCGTTCCTGGGCCCAGACACCGCCTATGGATTCGGCTTTGTCGAAGATGGCGAGAGAAAGGGTGGGGTGGAATTGATGGTAGGTTTTGGCCATGGCAAGGCCAGAAAGACCTGTTGTGTTTCGGAAGGGCTAACTGTCAGTATTTCGTTTATCTTGTACGCGTTCATTCACGCCGTGATCTCCTCCCCCTGCAGGACAGGACTTGCCTGAGCCGATGACGACTAGTTCGATGGTCTCCATGTTGATCATCCGTCGCGTAACCACACGAGGTGGTTGCGAGATCCTGCGATGGATTTCGAAGTTGTCTTCTCGACTGTCGTCGACTTTCTGTCCTTGTTGTTACAGGTAGGGGCGGCTACAGCCGATGAACAGGATAATCTTTGCACAAAAATGGGGTCAAGAAGCGGCCACATCGTCCTATTTATCTCGCCGGACCCCTCAACCCTCGAAAGCTACCTTACCATCCTGACGATCGCCGCCTTGTCATGACCACTGGATAACTTGGATAGGCCGTCGATTTTCACGCCTAGGTAAGTTATCATGGTATTTGCCAATATATTGCCCTTGCTGTGTCACCCTCTGTGGTAACATCGCATGGATGCTGACATGCCTTCCTTCCGAAGCATTACCGAAGCGAGGTTTCGCAGCCCCCTCCCTACCTATATCGCTCTAGTCACCAAACAACTAACCGATTATTAATGACTTCCTATTCTTGTTCTCCTTATATCCAGTGAGCTAGTTGAGCTTTGCCAGTTAAGGTACGTAATTCCCTACCCCGATAACACAGATCGATACTTATTTTATGAAGAAACCAGGATACTTCAGCTTGCCAATGGTTGCGACTCTGCCAAGTACGGTTCCTGCATATTCACAGCTCCCCTGTCACAGTGCCATTCTAAAAGCCCGGGAATTCTTTCTCCCCATAGCACGATAACAAATCGAGTAAAGCGTCAACATATGAGCTTGTAAGACATCAATCGAATTTTCGGGGTATTCATGGTGTTTTCATTCATTTGTCGGCGAAGAATCCCATCCTTTTCTGCACGACATCTCAAGGAGTGACTGAGGTGCTAATCTGCCATTATGCTTTAAACATGAAGCCATCCATCTATCCATCATCCTTCTGACAAATTATTCGGAGGGCCTTGGGCCACGGTACACAAGATCCTCCATCACAACATCTTGCTTCTTCTCATACTCCTCCTCCTCCTCAAATTCCTCAAACTCCTCCTCCGACTCCGGCTCTGTGCCATAGAGCTCTTCCGCCTCGTCATCATCAGGCTCCTTGATCTGGAGCTCGATCACCGCGCTGATAGCATCCCAGGACACCACAGAAGCCGCCAAAAATCTGTCAACGGCAGCGGCGAGCAGACAGCGACGCTCTTGTCCATATTTGGACATGTTTTCAGCGGCAAAGGCAAGGAAGCGCTGGCGAGCCTCGACCATGACCAAAAACAGGGCCTGGAAGATGTGAGGGCTCAGCATCTGCCCAAGCTCGGTGTTACGATCCAATCATTGAGCCTCATGTAAGCTAGATAGATTGACCAATCAGATAGGACCCGGGGTCCCGAGTCTACGGGACCACGGGACGGGGTTGAAGACCAGTATATAAGAAGGCCTCCCGGCCTTCGTTATACCGGGTACTTCAGCAAGCAATAGCTATCACAATCTATCAGTACCTTTTGGCTACTACACTGTTACTCTATTGTTCTATCCCAGCGATAATACTCCTGTGCTTGTAACGGTTCGTCACACTCGGTGCCCAAGCGAGCCTGCTCGAGGAAGGACTCGTCCTCCCAGTCGTAGGGGTTCCAACCCCACTCGCAAACACCAGCCAGGCCGATGCCGGCCAGGGGGTCGTTCGCCCGGTTTTCGCGCACAAGGCGCGTGCAGAGGTCGACGATTTCGACCAGCAAACGTTTAGCCCGACGCTTGGCGGGGGGCGCGGTCATCCTCATGTTTGGGTAAACATTTTGGACAAGGATTTCGAGAGAAGAGGCGACAACCTCGTCCCGACGCTCCGGCTGGATGATGTTGCGGCCGCTATTGCCGGGCCAGCGCATTCCCTTTCCGGGAAGGATGCGGCGAAGGAAAGGAGGCGCAGCGGGGCCAGACATTGTGGTGTGCGGAAGGTCTGTATTCAAAAATCGGTCAGCGCAGTTCATGTGTGAGATCACTTGCTTGTCGCTTGCGACTCAGCGAGCAGCTAGCTTTGGACTTACATTCTTGTGGAGGGGCAGGTGGGCTAATAGCTTGATCAAACGCGTGACGACGTGAATGGGAACTGAGAGTGCATTGAGGTGAGTACAAATTCATGATATTCTTTATCACGAGCGCATGCGAAGATAGGAGCTTTTAACTTACACGAAGTGTGTGCGTTTGTGGTTGTTGGTGCGACTGGAAAAAACTCGTCGGGGATATTCGACGTCGTCGAAGAAGAGAAAGAGAAGAAAGGTCGCGGTCGAAGGTTGAAAGTTTTAGAAAGAGGAAAAGCAAATCAGCAAGCACGCCAAGGGATGAAGTAAGTGAATGGCAGGAGCAAGAAGTGGAGCCCAGATTGCTCAGTAAGTCCTGCGTTTGCTGATTTTCTATTTTCAAAATGACCCAATAACTCATATTGTTCTCGAGATGGGATGAAAAGCACGCTTTGCGCACTTTTATTGGTGGCAAGCAGCAAACGAGGAAGGTGCTGTAATTGAAGAAAGGAAGAATTCACCAGCGTGATCGGTCTTCACGATTCTTTTGGCACGTCTTTCCAAATACGTACTCCCCACCCTCCTCTAGGTGGGGATCGCTAAGCTAGAAGCTGTGAACTTTGGGAGTTGTGATGCCGAGGCAGCGGCCTTGCTTGGTGTTGACGGCGGGGAACGAATTACTTTGTCTGACGTAAAATGGGGGCGAGAGACACTCAGTGAGGCTGGCCGTTACGTCCTCGTTGTTAACTCTAGGGCAACTACCAGGGGAGAGCTTGTTATCGAGCTCGGTGTTGCTGGCAGATTTGACGTTCTTGTCAAATTTGACTCGCCTGGCTGACGGGCTGGCAGGCAAAGGCAAAAAAAGAGGACTTCGAGGACCTCCTGTGCTTGCAATGGCGTAAAGCCAAAATTCAAGGCAAAGCTCACAGCCGCTGACCTGATAATCCCGGGATTGAACACCAAACTCTTCAAATTCAGCAACTCTCGCCAAGTGGCCACCGGTTCTCAACCTTCCGGCCCAGAATCCAATTCAACGTGAAACAACAAAGACAACTACCTTGTACAGAACGAGGCCCGTATCCTGTATTTGATCGTATCCTGTTCGGCTCCTTGTTGTATGCAAGGTAGAATAGCAGATGCCGTCATTCGGTCCTTTCAGAGAATTATTTTACCACTTGTGCTACGGTCAACCATGGAAGGAGGTCTGGACGCGACGTTCGAAAACAAAGGGCATGCATACCTCTATATATCCACAAGAACGAGAGTCGGTGCCTGAAGTTTCATCCCAACCCTTGGTCACGCTTTGCCTATTTTCCCTTCACAACCCCATGGGAAAAATCATTTTGCACCTTAGACGGGATGAATGGCACGGTTCTTCCATTTGGCCGTTGGTGAACTTTGAGCGAGTTCAGGGTAAGGAACGCTGCCTGATCAAGAAGGGAAGAATCCACTAATGATCAAAGTTTAAAGGAACCAAAGATATGCTTGAACGCCCTTTTGAACGGATTTTTTTGAAGCAGATTGGCATTTTGAATCACGTCAAGTCATCTTCCTCTTGTTCCTTAACCGATCTGTTTAAGGGTCTATTCAGGAGAAGATCCTTCTGGGGGAAGGCGGTCGCTGGACTTGGGCTAAAACTCGAAGTCAGAAGGAAGTTAAGTGTATAATTGCAAATCGGGTTTGACTTGGAGTTGAATGCCCCTCGGTTAGGACATGAGGTCAAGGGCTGAATTGGGGTCAGATGTCATATTTTCTCCAAAAAAAAGAAGAAAAAAAAGACCACATCCCGCTTCTCTTCATCGCGCTCATTTCTCTTTCCTTTTGGTACTGCATCTTCTCAATGGATTTTTCACAATGTCACAAGAAGTGTGCGCATGTGGATGGAAAAGAGGGGTTTATATAGGAAAGTGGAAGGAGTGGAATAAGGAAATGGAACAAGTAGAAGGTGCAAAGTAGTTTTAAGCCAAAGAAAAAACCTAAATTAGCGGCCAGGACTTCATATCCCCCGAGACTCTTCGTCTGGTCAAAATCTCGAATTATTACAAAACCTCATTTTTCACCCTCTAATACTATATTAGTACAAAACCTCAATTACAACACTGAGTTCAGCGATGAACCTCATTGCGACACCACGTCCAGCGACCCCCCTCCCCCAGCAGGGGATGGTGGAAGTCCGTGCCTAGGGCCGCCCACTGTCCACACTTTGGATACAAGACGCGAGCAGCTATGAAGAGAAGCATAATGAATGGGCACAAATCCTCAGCTGTCCGCCAACATCAAAGGTGCAATTAACACATCTACGCTCCATTCCGGGACGGCTCGAATGCAGGGCCATCTATCTCGTAAATCGTGTCACGCGTGGCCAGGTATGGGTACTATGTGCAAGAGCTGCACTCTCCAAATGTCTGGTATACTTTGGATTGGGGATAAGAGGTTGAAAAGAAAAAAAAAAAGAAAAAAAGGAATCCCAAAAAGAGAAAGCTCAAAGCTAAGGCTGGGTTGTAGGTAGGCCCTAACTCTGGAACGGAGCCAGAGCCAAGCCCAGAACTGACCATCTGCAATGACCCAAAGCCGTGAATGGTATCCACGACGGCACCGATGTACCTGCCTTCACATTTGGGTAAGGACCATGTCACTCATTAGGGCACCTCCTTCCCTCGTCGTAGGCAGTAAATCCTCGCATCGGTCACCATGTATTGGGATCTGGTGTGTCTCGTATATTGCGAGGACGAAATCAGCCCGTCTTCAGAGCGCAACATCGCAAGATGTGGTACCAGAAAGGAAGAAGCCTATGAGGAGGAATTGAAGAATAAACCAGGGGTGTTGTTCAGCCTTGCAGATTTGAGCTGCGCTTTTGCTGCCTTGAGCGTGTAGAGAGGGAAGCCGCCGGAAGGTTTATACCGGCCTGCCGGGCCGTTCCTGCCGGGACACTCTTGCCGGAGCATGCGGCCACCCTCCAAAACGTCCAGATAGGTCCTATATATAGAAGGTCCAGTGATAAGTTTGCCACCAAGGACAATACCCCAAAGACTACCCTAGGACTATGGCTGAGCGGTCATTGAGGCGCGCCTAAGGTGCCCTCACTGTGAGGCAGTGGGTTCGATACCTACATGTAGCCTCAGTTCTTCACTTTCAGTTGTAGTTGTAGAAGGTATCCTGCGTTACGCAAGAAGTCCAAGCTGCTACACTCCAACAGCCAGTGTTGTCCTTGATTTATCTTTTTATTTATTTTTTCCTCTTCTTTTAGTGCAAATGAGGCTACGGCTTTTACTGCGCTTTATCGCAACCTGCGTGCGCTCATCTTGTTAGGGTTATTCTCCATTGTTTCTATTTTTGCGCGATAGACTACGGTTCTCCACGAGCTAGTAGCTTGATAGGGATATTCCACTCCTGTGAACGGTGCCGCGCGATGTGTGTGCAATAAAAACCGTGTCGGAAAAACAATAACTTCGCAAATCAACGAGAGCGGACGGACCTTCCGATATTATCACGGACATGTTCGTGATGTTTTGATCAACTCTATTTAGACACACATATTAGAGATAAATAGCCAAAGTCGCGCATTGTGGTACTGCCAGAGATGAGACGCTTGAACGTAACGCGCTACAGGTAACATTATACTATTTAAGATTCAAGGGAAAACAAAAACATGGTAGCCAGCAAAGCTGAAATAAATCTTGACAAGGGCACAGGGAACATCGCGTGCGAACAAACGATGATTACCGATCCACAGCAGTCTAAGTGTGCCCCGTTGACAGGCGGAACTTTAGAAGATTGCAGCCCAATCCAACGGGCCAACCGATATCTGCATGTCCCTGGAACATCTGTGAATATTGGCCACGATCGGGTACATGGTGTCCTTGACAAAAATTCAATGCGAGCTGGAAGAAACATAACAAGGTTCAGCATCCTCGCAGTCGGTTGAAGCACTTCTATATCACTGTTAGGCACTTTTGTGAAGAGAACATGACCAATGGTGGTGTTTTCAGCCGACTGAGTGGTATCATGAATATCGTTTCGTTCCTTTAAGCTTGTATAAAGGTCTTGCCCACACTGAGTAAGGCATAGGATGTGTCTGACTGTTGCCAACGTTGAGTTCCTGGGACACTTGCGTCCATCCATTACGGACCCCTTTCCCCTCGTTGAAAGCTTACCCATCCTCCTCCTCTTCGTCCACCTCCTCCTGCTCTTGCTGCTCTTGCTGCTCTTGCTGCTCTTGCTGCTTTTGCTGCTCTTGCTGCTCTTGCTGCTCTTGCTGCTCTTGCTGCTCTTGCTGCTCTTGCTGCTCTTGCTGCTCCAACGCCATTGCAATCATCTCTTCGTATTCGTAGCCCTCGGACTTGAACTGCACCGAGACGCTGGTCATGTCCCAGAACAACGCTGCCACCAAGGAATTGTTGCAAGCTTGGGCCAGAAGTAAGTGGCTGGCAGGGTCTTGCGGTCCCAAGTTCTCGGCCGCGAAGTCGAGGGAGCGCTTACGCGCCCCAATGATTGCCAGGAAGAAAGCATCGAAAATATAGGGCGTGATGAGTCTTCCCTGCTCGGTCGTCAACATCCCGGGGAGAATCCTGTCGAGCACTAGCTGGTACAGCAAGTCGTTCGCCCTGAGGTATTTGCGTAGGCTAGAAGTCCACGGCTCAAAGTGGTGGTGGCCAGTGGACAGCGCCTGGCCCCTCTGGTGCGTTGAGGAGAAGCCCTCGTTGTGGACTCCGGTCAAGTCGTGGCCAGCCATGGGTTCCTTCTATCAAACGCAATCCATTTTCCATCGCATTGAATTGTCGGAAGCATAAATCGAATATGTGCCGACAACGAAACGCCTTTTGTCGAATGCGATGCACTCCTTAGATTCCCTGTTTTTCTGTATTGGGCTCCCATTTTCACTTCAGATCTCGATTGACCGCCTGTCTCTGGATTCTACTGCGTAAAAACACATTTGACAGCAATCCATTGCGCCGACGTGTCGATGTTGTTGAAAGTGGATTGCATTGAGTGACTCTGAAGATGTGGATGACAACGAATATCAATTATTCCTGCACCCCGATGACTACCAAATACTCATGGCCGACATTGCCGATGGTTGTTGACTCGATTGGGTGGAGGCTCCGGAGCACCGCTATAAGGTGCATACAACACTTGTACGCTAACCCGAATTGTAGCTGGTGCTCCACGTGACAGGGGGATGCGCTTGGCAGTGACAGTGTCCCTGCATTCTCGCTACTCTTCGCTGTTTCCTTGATTCGCATATCATTCTACCATCCAGTACTTACAGCTGCTTCCGTTTCATTTCCTCAACCTCGCCCTGATTGCCGAACATTTTCTCATATTTGTTTGTTTTTCACCCGCCAAGCATCCTGCTCCTGCCCTCCAACCTTTGCATCCCCGACACGTTCGTCCCGTCCCGTTCTCCATCGGTTCCTGACTCCCCTACCCCGCCAGTTACGTCATACGCTATGGCGTCCTCGACCGCACATTCTGGACCGGCAACACAGGCTCGCCAGGCACCGTTTGAGCCGCCGGTACCAACACCGCAAACAGAACTGAAACAACCGCCAAAGCGACCCAAGTGGTGTCTCACCGAACACCTTCTCACAACGTACGGGTACGAATTCCAGGCCGCCACGCAGCATCCGTTTCTCGAGGCAGCTGCCAGGGGTGAGCTCTCCAAGGACGTCCTAAGTCGCTGGCTCGCCAACGACAGGTTATACATCCACAGGTAGGCCTCTTGTTCTGATCACTGGCGCCCAATGCCATGTTGCTGACTTATCATTGACACTTTTCAGTTACATCCGCGCCGCCGGAAAGCTTCTTTCCACCATCGACTTGCCCCAGAAGATCCCAGCGCCCAGGCAAGATGGAGTCGACCCCGAACCCGAACAGTGGGAAACACAGCTGGTTGACTGGCTGATCGAAGCCCTTGGCGCCGTCCGCAAGGAAGAGAGAATGTTTATCGAAGTTGCTGAGCGTTACGGCTTGACGATTGACCTCACCACTCCCGCCGCAACAGCAAATAGCGTCAGTACCAGTACTAGCACCAGTGTCGAACACCATCTCCACGCCCCTGCCGCCAATGTTCTCACTATTCCCGATGACCAAAAGCTCCCGGGCTTGCTTCAGATTACCGAACTCTTCTCGACCATCATACCTGCTCCCATTCCCCAGGCGCCCGCCCGCAGCCTCGTCGTTGCCGTATCTACCGACAAATCATCTCCCGACGACCCGCCCTCTACCCCCGATCCTGACCAGACCGCGAAAGCCGGCGACACCGAGAAAGACAAAGAATCGCAACCTGACAACAAAGACGAAGCGGAGGAGACGCCAGTTCACCCTCCTCCCGCTCTGCCATGGCTCGAAGGGGCTCTCACCTTCTACGGCACCGAGCTCGCCTACCTGGCCGCCTGGTCCTACGCTAAATCTCTCCAGACCAAATACACCGCGGACGCCGCCTCCCGCGCAACTGGCTCCCAAGGCCAAGAGTCCTCGTCATCATCCATTGCCCCAGGCGCCCTGGACAGATACCCAACGCCTCCGCACACATTCACCACCACAACTCCAGCTACCTCCCCCGCCCCAGCCCGCGAAGCGCTTTCCGCATTTTCCTCACCACACGTCACCATCCAGCCGTTCCAGCCCCCTCCTCCACCGAACAGCGCTTCCGGCAATAGATCCGCACCAGGGAGTCAGGATGCGGATGGGGGCGCCCTGAGGAATGAGTTCATCCCTAACTGGAGCAGCGTCGAGTTTGCACTTTTTGTCAATCGGCTGGGGCGAATTATCGACGGAGCCGTGTCTGAGTTGCTCGTAGCTGCGGGAGGGGAAGGCCCGGTGGCCGATGCAGCGAAGGGGGCTATTCTGAGACGAGTGGAGGGCAGGTGGAAGAGCTTGATGGTTGCCGAGTCGGCATTTTGGCCCGAGGTTTAGGGGCATCTTGGGCATTCCGGGACCAGTTATAAGCGGGTGATGATGAATTGATATGCCACTGAGGACGTGAGATCTATGACAAAGCTGGATGATTGAAGGGGTGGAGAAAGATCAGATTTCATATTTCTTTGGACTGAATCGTAGAGTGGCCGAAGGTTACTAGACTTTTTTTTGGATAGACCTTGGATAGATTAACGTACTGTATTGTACGTCTTGAATCATACACACTGCATCCTCCAGCCGTCCCTGGCCCTGCCCGCTGGCGCCATCGATCAGTCGGCGTTATGAGCTAAGTAGCCATGTGAGCCTTGATCCTCCTCTCCTCCGTGATTCCTTAACGCACACGCTGACGTTTCTGACTCTCTGGAGAAGACCCAGATCCTCGATACTGCTCCTCGTTTTCTCCCGAAACGCCTGTACTCTCACATCGCTCTCCATCGCCGAGGTAGTGCTTTGCGAATTTATGACCGCTTGTGCTTGTCTCATAGGACTCGTAGTGTCCCGGAGAAGAGGGCCCGGGTGAGATCCGGCCATCGTCACCGTCTGCGGAATTTTTCTCAAGCGTGGACACGGCATTGAGAGTGCCCTTCAGCTGTATTCCCTGCCGGCGGTACGAGTTTGTGCTCGAGTTCGGGGAGGGTGTCCGTAAGGGCTGGGAGGTCCAAGAGCTGTGCTGGCCTTGGGCCTGGGTCTGTGCTGAGAGCGGTGGGAGCGGTGGAAGGAAGATGAGTTTCGCGGTTGGCCGTTGCACGACTGCCCCTGGTGGCCGATGTCAACATAGTGCTTTGTCTGTCTGATGGGTTTCTCTTGATACCGGACATGATCGGTGTTGAGCGAAGATATGGCAATTGGCAATGATCTGTACGAGTGGCGGGCGTTCGTGATAGCTTACGAAGGCGATGGAGAGAAGGAATGGATATGGGATTTGTTGTCAAAATTAACTCTCAAGACTGGCAGGTCCTTTTATCACTGTAGGTTGGTTTGGGGATTTGTTTGCTTGTTTGTTTACTTATGTAAACAGAGCCTGATTCAGTAGCCGCAAAAGTGGATGAATGGGCGGATGAGCTGCTGGAGGCCCGTCGTGACGAAAGACATGCCTGTCCACATCCGACAAAAAACGGCACAAAGGGCCCCAGGAAACGAGTGCGCATTAGCTCTAGGGAAAGCTTTCGCCAATCTTATCAACCCAACGTACGCCTCGACGCCGAAGTCTGACGAGCGCTTGGCCTGTCGTGGGATCACCGTCCTAAAATGAACCTGCGCTGTGCTATCCGTCGCGTTGTAGAGCTCGGAGGAGATCGACCGAGAGTTGGGCCAATATGGTGGTCAACATGTGACTTTAAACGGACATGGAGGAGGATTTAATTTTCTTTACGTTTCTCTTCGTGCTAAGCGTTCTTGTGTTAGCGGCCATTAGGCTGTTTTCATTCTGTCTCGTTGACACACTAATTGTAAGCGAGGGACTCGCCGTCGATTCAGCGTAGGAATATGTATGTACCTCTATGTCGGGTCTCGTGTGTTTTTGCTCTCGCAACTCTTCCGTCGCTTGTGTCGAAAAGTTACAGCCTGTAACGACTTGGCTAAAAGGTTAATATGATAATCCTCGCTCAGAAAACGAGACCGACGGCAACTTAGCTCGGCCCCGTTGAGGGTTGGCGAGATCGTAACACGCTTGTCGACGTTTCATCCACTGCAGTTTATTGCGGACGCGAGGGAGCGGGGGTAATTATAATTTGCGAGTGTCTATTAAGGTGGAGGCGTTCAACGTAACGGCCCTGAAGGTATTGGGGGTTCTGAAGAAGGAAGAAAGCGAAAGAAAGAAGAAATGTGAAAAGGAAGAGAGTTCCGAATACACCTTTGTAGTTGTTGAGTGTATAATTACCTAAATTCTCCAGGACCAATTGTCCATTCTGCAGGAACAACATTTAAGACTCAAGACTCACCTCTCCCTTGGTCGCGGCACCGAAACACCATTACACTACAAGTATGGAGTCGTAGCTTCCCGCACTCCTCCGTCCTTGACCTCCTCTCGTGCCTGCCTCTCCCGCTATCAAGGCTCCAATCCTCTGTCCTACCATCACCAGCACTGCCCTAGTACATTGAACCACTCTGTCCTTCCTCCTGTCTTCTGCTTCCCTCCTCTAGCCGTTACTGCCTCATCTTGGTTCCCTTTGCCTTGAAGTTCCCTGAACGACCTGATCTCATCCCCTGCAAACAGGTAGCAGCAACCGAAGCGACAACTCGGTTGTTACATGACTTCGTAGTCTGCGGTCCTCGCGACGTAAGGAAGAACTACAATTTCCTTCGTGCTGTCATCCCGTGAGAAGCGTCATCGGAAGCTGATTGCAACATATTCTATCCTTCCACTACAGACAGCTTACAAAATCATCCCTTCTCGGCTAGGTACTGATACTTCCTCGTTTCTTGTTTGCGAAGTCAATATCATGCTAGAATGCAAATTGCCCTTTTCCATCCCATCCCATCTCAGGTGTAATATGAGCTTTTCGTCTGAATTTGGTACATTAGATATTCTCAAACGCAAAGCTGGCAGCAAAATTTCAGCCAACAATTCACCCTCGCCTTCTTCTAGTTAAACCCTTGCGCTCGCTGCGATTTCTTCTCTCTCCCCCTTTCAACCTTCCAACCTCAAACCACACACTCGTTCTCGCCTCGACAATGAACAGCCAAATAGCGCACGTACTTCCTGTAAGTATAAATCTCCAATCTTTATAGGCCCCATGATACGGTATGTGGATTGCCGACCTCAACGTACGCACGGCTTCCATCAAACTACCAAGCGTTGGATCGACAAAGTAACGCGATTCTTCATCAGTTATCAGTAAGTATTCATCATATCTCCAGATTTCGCTATTCAGTAGTGTATGTTCTCAGATCGCTGACTTACCATGAACAGAAACCAAACAAGACAAAATGGTTGTGTACTTGCATGACGTGATGCCGAGGATTGGCTTGCGCTGGCGGTACTATTCCCACAACGGCGCCCATTTTATGATCACGCCCCACACTCGCCGTGACACGGCCATATTCACAGCTCTCTGTGCTCTCGTTGAGAGCGCTCTTCCTGGTGCCAAGATGAGCTCCCGCCCGGCAAAGAACCAAGCCGAGCGGTACTTTGTCGAGGCTGTCAACGCTGCCACTCGCTTCGTCCGCAAGACCCCAGCCATGCTGGACTACATGGACCCCTTGGCTGGCCTCGGCTTGACCGGAGTCCAAGAGCGGGGTGTGACGAACCGTTACAAGCACAGGAGTATTATCGCTGGGATAGAACAATAGAGTAACAGTGTAGTAGCCAAAAGGTACTGATAGATTGTGATAGCTATTGCTTGCTGAAGTACCCGGTATAACGAAGGCCGGGAGGCCTTCTTATATACTGGTCTTCAACCCCGGGTCCTATCTGATTGGTCAATCTATCTAGCTTACATGAGGCTCAACGATTGGATCGTAACACGGGGGACCTTCAACCCCGATACTGATGAGGTATCTTTTCTGGATCGCGCCAGAGAAAGCCACTGCGCTAGGCAGACTTCTAGCCTGAATATTTACCGAGTGGACAAAATCGGTATGAAGACAGACACTAGGCTATATGAATTGACCAAATCAGTTTCAAAGTTGGACAATGCATATTTTTGGGGAGAGAGAAGAGGAGGGTGACAACCATGGAGCGGAGATACGATCCGTCATTGGGATAAAGGATTTGCTGGCTGGTGGCCATGCCAGCTGTCATTGACATGGCTCAAGTGCAGAGCATTCTGAATCGGTCTCGCAGGGCCACACGAAGCATCATGAGGGAGGAGGCTCTTCAAAAGAAGGCCAAAGAGGAGAAGAAAAGAAAGGCAGAGCGCATGGAACAAAGAGAGGAGGAAAGGAAGCGTACTACTTTGCAGGAAGAAACAACAGACAAAAACACCTGTGACGAACCGTTACAAGCACAGGAGTATATCGCTGGGATGGAACAAAGAGTAACAGTAAGAGTAGCCGAAGGGTACTGATGTATTGTGATAGCTATTGCTTGCTGGAGATCCGGTAACAAGAGGCCTGGGAAGGCCTTCTTTTATACCGGCCTTCCTGGACCCGACATACCGGACCCGTGGACCCGAGCCTTTCGGGTCCTCCGAGTACGGACCCGGGGGCCCGAAGCCTTTGGGCCTTCGGGTCCAATCTGATTGGTCCGTCTATCTAGCTAGCTTACATAACTCTGGTTGGATCGTAACACGATGCCCTCTCTCTGTAGCTTTGTCCTCAACGCCACAATGTAACCTAAATAATAATACTTATCCGCTTTCGTTGCTTGGGTGCCAACGAGTTTTTGTTGGTCGCTTCCTTATTGCCTGCCGTGCCCCAACACTCCTCCCTTCCTGATCATCTTTAACAACCCTGTGTCACCCTGTTTTCCCGCTTGGTAGTAGGTTTCCCTTCCTCTTCTTCGTCTTTTCTTCGATTATCATAACGCGCGGTCGTGTTTCTCGTGCGCAACGAAATGCCCAGAAGGGTGCTGCCGCTAAAACTCTGGCAGTACTTGTCGAGGACCAAGGTCATTCTCCCGAAATGCCTTGCAGCAATTGTCATCGCCATGGTCATCACTGTGTGATTGACCTCGACATTTCGAGTTCTTGCAGTGAATGCATTCGACGCAAGGTTGCTTGTGATGGCGGGGATATTAGTGCTCGCCGTGAGTGTTCTGGTTCGTGTTTTTTTTTTGTTTTTTTTCGGTGCTAACTTCAGTAGTCTTTAACGCCATGAAGGAATCTCGTCGTCTGGAAGACGAGGAAGATGCAGTGATGAAAGATTTTGCTGAGCTTCAGTCGCGTCTGACTCGCATTCGTGAACAACGTCGTCATTTGCGCAAGCGCCAGAAGGAGTTGTTTGATCGGGGGATGTCTGATTTGTCGAAAGAAATTCGCGGGGAGTCGTCAAACTCGAATGGGGAGAGTTCTGGTGTTATTAACGACGAGGTCGTCGCCGGGGAGGGCTCTGACGATTGGTTGAGAGAGCTGGAATCGATGTCTCCTGGGGCCTTGGAGCGGTTGGCGGCTTCGGTCGGTCAGGGTTCTGACGTGCCAATCCTCAATCTCTTTCTTGAAGTTGAGGAGGTATTCTGGGGGTTCCCATGTATTGCTTTCGTGTCCATAACCTTTCCATTTGACAAAGTACTTGATGTTTCCGTTTTCGATCATGGAGTCCAATATGCCTTCTGCCATGAACTCGTCACCCTCGTTCCAGGTTTCGACCTTCTTGTCGAGTCTGGCGTTCTTGGGCGCTGGTTCCAGTAGTGAGATGTGGATGGTAGGCCATTGTCGCATGCTTTTGGGTAGTTCAAGACGGTAGTTGCTAGTGCTAACTTTCTCGAGAACCTTGAATGGTCCCAGTTTCTTATAGTCGAGTTTGTCACTGGGTCGTTTTGTTTTGATATTACGATGGAGGAGGTAAACTTTGTCTCCCCTCTTGAAGATCGGCGCCGTCGATCTAGTGCGGTCGTAATATCTGCTCATCCTGTCACGTACGAATGTGAGTTCGTCGCGGAGTGTCTGATGCATCTCGATGAGTCTCTCAGCGCGAATGTGTGCTCTGGGCACAAAGAATTCTGCATCCCATCCTCTGCGCGAACTCATTTCATATCCAAAGTTGGCAAAGAATGGTGTGACTTTCGTAGTCTCTGTCTTTGAGCTGTTGTAGGACATTTGCGCTGTCGGAAGTAGTTCTGACCAGTTGTCTTGTTCGTAGTTGACGTATGCTCGTAGGTAAGCTTCCAAGACTTGGTTCATTCTTTCCGTCTGACCGTCAGTCCTTGCGTGGTATGCTGTTGACATCTTGTGTTTGACACCTAGTTTGTTCATGAAGGCTTTCCAGAATCGTGACGAGAATAGCTTGTCTCTGTCAGTCACGAGTTCCTTTGGCCAGCCATGGTTGGAAGTGATGTGTCGTATGAAGATGTGGCCAAGTTGTTCCGCGCCAGTATCTTCTCTGAAAGGCAAGAAGTACGCGAACTTGGTGAATCGGTCGACAACCACTAAAATGCTGTCGTATTCAATGCCCGTGGCTGGGTCCCTTGATACGGGTAGCTTCGTGATGAAGTCCATCGTTACGCATTGCCAGGGTCCCTCAGCGACAGGGAGTGGCTCGAGGAGGCCATATGGCTTGTGTCGATTGGCCTTGGTCTTGTGACAAACCTCGCATTCGTGTAGGACCTTAGTTACTACGTCCTTCATTTTGGCGAATCCGAAGGTTTCCTGCAGGCGAGCAATAGTGCGAGCTATTCCGGCGTGTCCTCCTTCCTCTGGGGATTCGTGTACATCCCGTACGAGTTCTTTTCGCAGGCGAGGAGGTACCCACAGCTTACCATTGTGCATCCATGGTTCGATAGACGTGGCGAAGTGCTTCTTGATTTCTTCGTCATCTGCCTCGTGCTGTGCATCCATGATGCGTTCAATCCAGTCGTCTGGTTCTCCCTTGGTAACCACGTAGACCTTAAGGTCGTCTTCCATGTTGAGGTCGATGTCGGCGGGAGGGACGTGGCGAAGCGATCCGTCTTCATTTGCTTGGAAGAGCGCGGGTGACGAGGTTGACTGCTTTGATTCCTTGAGATCCTCTCGTCGGCTTAGCGCGTCAGCTCTGGCGTTTTCTGATCCCTTTCGGTACAGAATCGTGAAGTTGAACTGTGACAGGAACTCGGACCATCGCGTTTGTCTTTGGTTGAGTTCCTTTGAGGTCGTGAACCACGTGAGATTCTTGTGATCGGAATATACCAGGACGGGGTCTTCGGTTCCGCTTAGCCAAGGTTTCCATTCCTTGAAGGCCCAGATGATGGACATGAGCTCCTTGTCGTGTATTGGGTAGTTGAGCTCTGGTCCTCGGAATGCCTTCGAAAAGAAAGCGACTGGGTGGAGACGACCTTGTTCGTCTCGTTGTCCTAATTGTCCTCCCATAGCCCAGTCCGAAGCGTCGGTTTCTACTTCGAACGGCTTGTCGGGGTCGGGGAGTTTGAGAATAGGATGCTTCAGCATCAGTTCCTTCAAGGTGTTGAAAGCCTCGTCGCACCCCTTGGACCATACAAAGGGTACGTCCTTCTTGGTCAAGTCGTTGAGCGGCTTGGCAATTCCTCCAAATCCCTTGATGAATCGACGGTAGAAGTTAATGAATCCTAGGAATCCTCTGACTCCGGTAACACTGGTTGGTGCTGGCCATTCAGCGATGTCCTTGACCTTCGCTGGATCCATCTGGACCTGGCCGGGTGAGATTCGGTAGCCCAAGAAATCCACTTATTCCTCGTGGAATTCACTCTTCTTGGGGTTAACCGAGAGTCCAGCCTTTTCTAAGGCGGCTAACACCTTGTGGACGTGTTTCTCGTGTTCTTCCTCGTTCTCGGAGAACACGATGATATCGTCGATGTATGCCATCACGAATTCTCCTGCGAATTGTCGGAGCACGGCATCGATTCGAGCTTGGAACGATGCGGGCGCATTGGTGAGTCCTTGAGGTATGACACGGTATTCGTAGTGACCTAGGGGAGTCCTGAATGCCGTTTTGAGTTCTTCTCCCTTTTTCATGCGGATTTGGGAGAATGCTAACGTCAAGTCGAATTTTGAGAATATCTTGGCCTTGCCGAGTCTGTCCCTCATTTCCTGGATCAGTGGCAATGGGTATCGATTCTTGACGGTTTCGTTGTTGAGGTAGCGGTAATCGACGACTAATCGGAGTTCTCCATCCTTCTTAGGTACGAAGAGTACTGGGGAGCCCCAGGGGGACTGAGATTCTCGTATGTGTCCCAGTTTTAGTCGTTCGTCGATGTATTCCCGGAGAGCCTTTATCTGAGCTTCATTGAGCTGGTAGATCTTGTGGCTCTTCGGCTTGGTTCCTTCTTTCAGGGGAATCTCGTGGTCCCATGGACCGTGTTCTGGCAGCGTGCACTCGGAAGAGGATCGAAAGATGTTGTACCCTCGGTACTGAACGGGTACGTCCTTGAGTTGATCGTTTTTGCTGTCAGGCGGTGGTTCTGGAGGGGGTGTCTCCTCCGGATAATTGTTGATAAACATGACCATTCTCAATGGTTCTTGGGGTGGCGTAGTCTCGTGTGACGAAGGGTGCCAATCCTTCCGGTCAGTGACTGAGACTTCTTCAACGGTTGTCGTGCTGGTGGGAGCATCTGGTATTCTTTTAATTTCCCAGATTTCCAGTCAATATCCGGGTTGTATTTTCTCAACCACGGTCTGCCCAAAATGGCGTCGTGCTTTCCAATGGGGGTGATGTCGAACACGATTTCTTGTTCGTCTCCATTGATGACAACCTTCATTGGTACCGTTTCTCTGAGTACCTGTTCCTGCTCATAGCTAGGGCTTTTTCCTCCAAATGTGTACACTCGGTAGGGTCTCTTCTTGAGCACCCATGGAATCTTCCAATCATTCACCGTTTGTGGGGTGATGAGATTGATCGACGATCCTGAGTCGATCATCGCTGTTGCTGTTCCTTTGAACGGCTGCGTCCAGTCCATCTGGACTTGATAAATCGAGTCCTCGTCTCGATTTATCTCGAGGACCTGTGGCGGAGCAGCTACTCGCAGTCCTCTCGCGAGGAGCTGGCGCCATTTCCCTGTCTTCTGCGGCCTCCACGACGCTTCCTCTGCGATTTCTCGCGCGCCGTGCTACTGCTTGAAGACGCTGCTGCTTTTTCCTCCTCCTGCGAACTGCTGATCGCAGGCATCTTCATACTTCTCGCTTCCTTGACTGCCTGCCGAGCATGCAATTGTCTTGCCTTGTCCTCCATGTGGACAGCGCAGTTAAGTCGACAGCATTCCTGGTAACGAGAGTATGGAGATTCCATGCATTCGCGGCTGTAGCACTCCTTGAGCTCCAGGCGAAGCATCTGACCATCCTTGGGGGTAATAGTCGATGTAGGTGCGCATCTGCAGGAGAAAGCCCTGCAGTCTGTCCTGCTGACCTCCGAACTTATCGGGAGCTTCGATCTTCACTTTCTTCTTGGGGAGCGTCGGGCCTTCGACCGGGGGGTCCGTCGGTTCGTCGCCCTCAGGTTCGTTATTGTCGGGCATAGTGGCTGCCTGGAGCTGCGCTTCCAGCTGCATAATGCGATTCTGCAGTTCCTGGAGGAGTTTGTTGGTGGCCTCGGAGCTCATAATGCCGGGCTCCGAGGTGTTGCTGTTGTCGATGTGAGAGGACATAGTGATACCTTCAGTACTATCCGAGATAGGCCAAAGGGAGTAGTCAACATGTGACGAACGGCAGGCTGATCTGCCTAAGTAGGGTAGCTGAAGGTAGATAACTATCAGTAGACGTTCGGTGAAGCCAGAAAGTTCACAACAAGTATACTCGTGATACTAGTCTCGATGATGATGATCTATTGACTACTGTCGAACTATCTGACAATCTGAGTTCTCCAGTCGTCTCTTTATAACTCCTCGCCCTTTGCGAGATATTTGTCTCCGGCTGCTCTACTGAGCCCCATAGTTCTATCTACTGGATGTTGTGTGTCTGCTCACTGCCGATGTCCTGCTCACCGTGAGCGCCGCCCTTCAGTGAGCACTCTGCATGCGCTCTCTGGTCCAATCCTTGTCTTAGGTTACACGGTCCTAATCGTGAGCGGGGCTATCACATCCCGACAGCCTGGTTGGTCCGTGTACTTGCTTAAGTTCGTAACATAACCCCATTGTATTTAGCAACAACAAAAAATAAATACTGGCGTAAATATTACCAAATGAATGAAAAAACTGCGTTCCAGCCATTAAGAAAACAGAACCATTATATATATATAACTATTAATATTGAAGTTAAGAGATTCTCAACACCATAAAAGTATTACAACATTGGCGGTCCCAGCGGTGTCACGGAATGCACTCGGGTGCCTCTTCCGGGACAAACTATATAAGACCACTTGAGCGACCGAACTGCCAGCTTCGGTTACTTATATCCTTTTGGAACATCGCCTAGTGGTGTAGTGGTCCGCCAGCGCCGTGACAAGCGGTCTTAGCGCACTTATCAGATTGAGCAGGGATATCAAATAATATGAGAAAACGGGATTTTACTAGCTAAAATGGCCGTATCTTATGACAGCTGCCATCTATGGAGCCATGTATGGCCATAGAATTACCCATGCGTGGCGGTAGAATTCCCCTTTGGGTTGGTCTAACGGATGAGGAGAAACGAAATCAAGGTAAAAGTTTTCAGGAACGGCATGCTGGCAGACGGGCAAGGTCAGTGAATGGGCGGGACAGGGCACGGGCTTTCACTAAAATTGGCTCGGGTCCAAAGCAAAATACTCCATGTTGCGAGTGCCTGTGCCACTCCGGTCTCGTTGAGCAACTCATGTGGCTTTCAGGTCGGTACTCCGTCCAGATGGGCTCAAATTGCGCCAAACATGGCATGCAGGGAGAAGCGGTTCCAAAGTGGTTATTGGGGACAAGGAATTCAGGAATCGAGTAATGACAACGACATTAATGAGAATCTGGTTCCTTAGAAAACGGGTTCACCAAGATAACCGTGACCGTACGGTGACCTCCGTTGGCTCAAAATAACGCTCAGCTCTGATAACCGATAATCTCAGACCAACCTAGCTTACCGCTCTAAAGCAGATGTCTGCACTCTTCTTGTGTCACACGGACATTCGACCTCGACCCTAACTCAGCAGCACGAGGCTCGCAGAGCCGCACGGCTGAGCCTCTCGAACCCTTCAAAATGCTTCAGGCAACCAGGCCAACTCGGTCGGAGAGTCTATTCGACCGATAGCACAACCTACCCGAATCCCCTCAATAATCCCTGGCGTATTCCAGCCAACAATACGTACGCCGGCTGCACTGCCCCTCATACCGGGCTGTGCTAGCCAGGCCAGAAGGGAAACCCTGCTGTCACAAGAACGATCCCTAACCAACCAAGGCACTCCGGCGGCAATAGGGCGGTACCCGTGACGACGCCGGCGTCATAGGAAGGAAGGATATTGGAGGAAGATACTCGGGAAGGATCATATGTAAGCACAGCGGTGCACACCGCTAGATAGATGCCTTATGGCCTCATGACCCAGATCAGGCCAGCAGAAGGAAGGAAGGCTTTGGCATAAGAAGGTCGGGAACCCCAGCCTGGATGGAAAGGCTTGAAAGGATTCAACAAGGCCTTCGAGACCAAAGTAGTTATCAGCTGAATTGAACTACTGTTCCAAGCCCAGAATACTGCCCTTGTCACATCTTGGCTAAATAAAATTTGGGGCGCTATATGCGCAGCCGGGAGCCTAAAGAGTTGAAGAAACTCGCTTTTGGAAAGGGACGATGAAAGAAAGAAGATTGGGAAAGTGCAACAAGGAAAGGTGTCACACGGACATTCGACCTCGACCCTAACCCAGCAGCACAGGGCTCGCGGAGCCGCACGGCTGACCCTTACGAACTCATCAGCCTAACCAAGATACCTCAGGCAACCATGCCAGCCTAGTCGGAAGTCTATTCAAACCGATGGCACGACTTACCCGAATCCCCTCCAAGCCTTCGGCGTATTCCAGCCAACAATACACTTGCCGACTGCACTACCCCTCACACTAGGCCGCGCCAGCCAGGCCAGGGAGGAGAACCCTGCTATTGCGGGATCGATCTTAGCCAACCATACCGACAGGGCGGCGTCGGCAACATAGCCAGCGCCAAAGGACGAAGAAGACTGGAAGTCATTCAGGAATACCCACATGTAAGCACACGCGTGCACAACCGCCAGGTAGATACCTCGTGGCCTCATGCCAGCAGAGTCATGTACGTACCGATTAGGAGAAAGGAAGGCTTTGGCATAAGAAGGCGAGGAAACCCAGCCTGGATGGAAAGGCTTGAAAGGATTCAACAAGGCCTTCGAGACCAAAGTAGTTTATTAGCTGAATTGAACTACTGTTCCAAGCCCTGAAAACAGCCCTTGTCACAAAAGGTGAGGAGAAAACGATGAGAGAATGAAGTAGACGGAGACAAATGAACACAAAAAGAGAAAGACCAAATTCAAAATGCCAAAGTCCCCTCAACTCCCGAACTCTCCCAATTTCAACATTTTTCGCCGTCATCGTCAACGAAATCGACCAAGACCATCGTCATTATCCGAAAGGTACCCATAACTGCATCCACAGTTCAAGTCGTCAACTAACTTTGTGTTATTTCCACTTGATAATGAAGGTTCACCAATACGATAGGGATAGAGATGGCGACTATCCTAAACTTCGAAGTTCGATTTCACGTGGCGACGAAGATAGGAGCGGGCGACAAAAAAATGGGAGGGCAACAAGGTCATGGGAGTGCACCGACGAGATGGAAGACTTGACATGGAGAGGGAAGCAACGTGCTAGGAGAAGATGGATATTACCGGGGGTGTGGTTATCTTCCCCTTGGAAACGAACCTTGTGAAGTGGTTTCTTAGTGTAGAGTAGAAAAGGCAAGAGCATCCATTTCAAAAATGCTCTGAGCTGAACGGTTATCCGAGGGTAATATAATTGCTTACATTCAACCATACCACTCAGGTACGGTGATATAGGTCACCAGGTTACCAGTCATAGAGCAATGATACAGCCAATCAGGGTAAGTTCGATCCAAAGTGTTGCTGTTCGACAGCTAGAACCTCGTGATCTTGGCAAGATGACATGCTGCGACACTTTTCGATGTCTTTTTTTTGGAGAAAACGCAACCGGTGAGTTGAGATTTTGTCGCGTTAAATGTACGGAACAATGTTAAAATTCCAGACTTTATCCATTTATATGTTTGTCTCATTCCTGACGCATCAATCCTAACCTGAGAAACGGCCGGGCTTGTCGCCACTTATTGTGAGACCTGTTCCCTCGTCCAGGACAAAATTGATAACACCCCAGTCTACCACTCAAAAAACCAAACCCAGCCAGATCACTACAAAAATGAAAAGATTTTCTTGCATTCAATTCCCAGAAAGGGCATATTGTCAAGCTATAATGCCCTCGTGTACTTTGCACAGTCAATTTTGTCCCGGGCGAGGTTCCTCAAGCATCTCCCCTCAATTCTACAACAAAACTTTCCTCCCTTCCAATGTCGCTGCGGCACATGGGACATCGGAAACTGAATTAGACGCCTCCCATAACTACATACTCTTCGTCGTCTGTAATCGGCTCGACGTCATCCTCATACTTGTCGTCGCCAGAAGGAACCCAAACATCGACTCCATCAAGACTGGTGGCAAGAGATCCCGAGGCATCATCGTCGGCCACTGGCTTCTCATGCTGCACATGACCCAACTTCTCTTCTTTCTCCTCCACATTGTCCTCGTTGCACAGCTGCTCTCCTTCCGCGGCAAGTACACTATGCGTGTCGTCCCAGAACCAAGCCATATTGAGGAACTTATCAACGGCCAGTGCCATCTGGCAGTGCTCTTCGATGGACGGCACATGCAATTTACTCTGCTTGTAGTGCTCGAAGTAGAAAGACCGGGCCTTGATGACTTCGCTGAAAAACTCGGCAAACACGGGCGGCGAGACTTCTTTCGCAAAAGGGACGATTCCGCGAAGCGTGTCGAGAAAGCGAATAAAGGCCTCGAAGTTGGCGGTGGAGGAATTGCCCTTGTTGACGGCTTCGAAGTAATCCGCGGGAGGCTTGGTCTGCCTAGCAGCAACGACGGCGCTGTTGACCATCGCGGTAGCTGCCGCTCTCATCGCCTTGATGTTGGCACTGCCGAAGCCGAAGGGGTTGTTTACAGAGGCCCAGAGCGCCATGTCGCGGATGATTCGATGACAGACAAAGGCTCTGTCCGGGAAGCGCATGCCATTTTTGGGCATAGCCTTCATGACGAAATCCCATCTGGGAACCTTGGTAGGATGAGGACGCGAGGACTTGGTTTTGTCGAGGGGGCTGTAGCGGTTCTTGTCGCCATTTTTGCGGCGGTGCCTACGCTGAACCGTGCTATTGCCGCTCTTTTGCTTCACGGTTTTATGAAGAACCTTACCGGTAGACACCTGGGGCTTGGCCGGCTCGTTAGGTGTGGCATTGTCGGCTGTGGCAGGAGGGGCAGTAAAAGTGTCCACCAAGTTTATGTCAAAATGAGGGCTATTAGCAGGTGCACACGAGACGACCAGGATTCGATTGCTCCCAATGTGCGCATCAGGAAGCGAGAATGTGCGTATGTGTAGTGAAAGGTCATGGAAAGGGACAATAGAAGAAAAGAATGGCGACCATCTTTGTCGCCTCAGTCTCCTGCGAGCAACGGAGAGCGACATTTTGTTGATAACCCAAGCTCATGAGTGAGTAACAAGGTGAAGGGTTTGCTGGATCAATAGGACTTACGAAACTGGCTTGGGCCGAAGGGCAATTGCACCAAACGGGAGGCTCATCGTGAAAAGACCAGAAAAGGCGCGCTGGGTGGTAAACGTTGTTGATGTTGATAACGAAGACTGGTTGAGAGTATATTTAAATCGTGAAAGAAGTTGTCGTGTGGAGATACTCGACTGAGCTTCTGTGGTCCGTCAACCCCCGCCGTTCGTGGCGCGGGAAAAATCTTGATTGCAAGTGGGTGCATGCTTGGGAAATGGAAATAAGTAGAGGCAGAGGATTGCAGGAGCTCTTGAAGGTCCTAAGCCAAGAGCTGTTGGGAGTGACTGTGGCGCCCGAGGACCCTTCACTAGACACTCATGTGGTTTGAACATTTTGTCAGATGGGATGAATTGCGAGAAACCTCACCCAAGGACGAACGGCGATCAGAGTGGGAGCTCTTCGAAGTGAAAGGCTTTTCTTAATAAAGAATCCGCCACGCGTCGACGCAAATCATCAACGTGTAACAGTCATAAGCTTTGTGAGTGTGTATCTACCTGGAGGCCTTGCGACTCAGAGAAGACGCATTAGCTTGGCAGCCATGACTGTAGATCACAAAATGTGGAGCGGCGTAAACGCAAAAGAATAGCGGCTGACACGTTCACGAATGGGTAAAAGAAATTTAAAAAAATACGCCAAGGTCGTAGTACCGCGCTTTCTCATTTGAACAAGAAGCAAGACAAACTCTCTGTAAGGTCAACTAATCGACTGTCGGCATGTGTTATACCGTGTAAGTACTGCGTGAGACTTTGCGACGCCCGCCTAGATCCTGGATTGGGCAGAGGTTGAGCAAACCCGGTTCGTATGAGTAAATGCGGTAAAATGCTCGGAATGGATTCAATATGGTCAAAGGGGTACCACAAATGTGTCACAGGGCCTTCATAAGCCCAACTGGGAGCTGATATCCATTATCGACTTATGTGTCCGGCTCGCATATTGGTGTGAATGCCCGAACCTAGAAGCGGGCAGTTCTTTTCTCTGGGGTGGAGCGATTCCGAAAGAGAGTCGGGATTTGGCGAGCGCGGACAGTGTTCAAAACATCTCTGCACCAAAATTACCAACAAGGACTGGTTTGGGTATGTTGTCATTGAGTGTCCGACCCGTACTATCGTGCTTGTGAGTTCAGAAAAAGGGCTGAAGTCAAAAGTGGATTGACGCTGCTTGTCATGAGTGGACTGCTCCGGGAATGACGTTGATGAGGCTCAATCGGACATATGCCTGTTAGGCAAGGGTATCCTAATCAAAGGTCCGTTCCTGCGCCTCAGGGGTTCAGCCAAATTTGGGGTTGTTGTGCCACATGTGGCGGTGCATTTCAATGACTAAGCAAACGACGCGGCCTTTGCTCGGCCTGGTCGGCGCGAGAGGACTGGAGACAACGGTGTTGCACATGGGCCACGCCGCCAAGAGAACCAAGGGGCCAAGCACCCCCTGTGAGGCCGCTACAATCAGCCAATGTGTGCTCCCAACATTGAGCCAGCCAGGAAGGTGTCCACAGGGGCAGCCACCAAGGTACAGTAGGGCGTTCCGTCACAGTAACTTAGATACCCGCATGCAATTTACCCAACCTTGCCGGCTTTCATTTATATCATTTCTCCCGTCTGTCGTTCCGCTCCCCCGGTCGTCACTTGGGACTTGGTATTGTATCAACTTTACAACCATCAACATCTTCGAATTGCTCGATCTCTGAGACAGCTGAACCCTATCGTTAGTTGACCTACCACAAGCGACATCGTTCTTGTGCGTCTTGCCGGAACAGGGACACCGGCCACTATCTCCATCTCGGGGCATCTCGACCTAGACTTCCGTGTCTACATCACGCTCCTTTGCCCACCATTCTTCAACCAAGACGGGGTGATCTACCTACGCCCACACTCCTTCTGGAACCCCTTTACAAATAATCTCCGGGAATCCAATTCCGATCCGATCCACCTCTCAGCCCCTCGTTCCCCCCTTCCCCAGACTTGGGCCATCGATACTCGCCGTCTAAACCTAGACTTCCATTCCACTATCCTCAGATTCCGAACCGACCGGGTCGCATGCGAACCACCGCCGCCCTCAGCCCCATTCTGATCCTTCGCCGGCCTTCATAATGGCGCCGGACAAGAGCCAGTTCCGCTACGAGCCCGCACCCCCCATACCTACCTACGACGAGGCCATCGCTTCCGGCGCTGGCAGCCATACAGTTTTCGAAGCCCCACACTCCCCTCTCGACGCCACAGACCATACAGAAGGCCACTCTCTGCTCGGCGGAACAGCATCATCCTCGAGTAACAATGACCAACCCCGTCCACCGCGTGGCTACCGGCCACCCACGGTCGAAACAGACGACGAAGGAGAGCCATGGGGCTCTGACGATGATAGCGATTCTGAGGCCGATCACGTCCGACGCGAGATGCAAGAGATGGAGATAGACGACTCTAGCCACCGATCACAAAGTTCATGGGGCAAGCGGATAGGGAGATTCTCGCTACCACGATGGAAGTGGGGGTGGAGGTTACCACAAATATCACTACCCCGATTCAGGAGACACGATGCGAACGCCAGCTTGGAATCAGCTACGACGCCGGCCACCAACAATGACACGAATAACAGTAACAACCAAGAACAGCCGAGCTCTGGAAGTCGATTCGCCTTCCCAACATTGGGCAGCACCGCCCTTTTCCTAATGGTTGCGCGCATCCTCGCCCTGATCCTCCTTCTCGGCTTTGTTTACTTGATATTTGTCTACGATGTGTTCGGGAACATGTCGCGCCGCCTCGGCTCGGGCATGTTCAATCCCAGCGATATCCGGGACTACTTGCAAAACAACATCAGTGCCAACCAGATCAAGGACAATGTCCAGCATTTCACCTCGTACTCTCACGTAGCTGGTACCGAAGGTGACTATGCCCTGATGGAGGATATTGAGTTGCTCTTCCGAAAATACGGCCTGGAGGACATTTCGCGTGACACTTATCACGTCTATCTCAACTACCCCAAAGCCGACGGGCGTGCGGTGGAAATCATCGACGACAAGGCGGCAACGGAAAAGGGTCAAGGGCTGTATGGTCTGCGAAGCTGGAGGAGAATGATCGATCAACGGGATTGATCGGACACCAGACGTTGGCTTTTCACGGTCACTCGAAGACAGGAGATGTTCGCGGCCGCCTTATCTACGCCAACTATGGCTCGCGCGCGGATTTCCAGCGTATCAAGGACCTTGGGATCAAGACTGACGGCGCCATCGCTCTTGTTCGCTACTATGGCCCCCAGGCCGATCGCGCTTTGAAGGTCAAGGCTGCCGAGCTCGCAGGTTTCGCAGGTTGTCTCATCTATTCGGACCCTGCCGATGACGGCTTCACAAAGGGCGACACTGCTCCCAAAGGGCCTTTCATGCCTGCCGATGGAGTCCAGCGTGGCAGCGTCAGTCTCATGTCTTGGGTCATTGGTGACGTGTTGACCCCGGGCTGGGGCAGTAAGGATGGCGTGCCAAGGATGAAGAAGGAACAGACGAAGGGACTTGTCAAAATCCCCTCTCTCCCGCTTGCCTGGCGCGACGCCAAGGTGCTTTTGCAGCATCTCAAGGGCAAGGGCCACCGTGTGCCGGATGACTGGGTGGGTGGTGTTCCTGAGGTTGACGAGTGGTGGACTGGCGACCACGAAAGCTCGCCCATCGTCCGGCTCAAGAACGACCAAGACGAAAAGGAAAAGCAGGCCATCTGGAACGTGTATGGAAGCATTCTGGGAATTGAACAGGAAGAGAAGAAAGTCATCATCGGTAACCATCGTGACGCATGGACTTTGGGTGCCGCTGATCCTCATTCGGGCACGGCCATCATGCTTGAGCTCGCCCGCGTCTTTGGCGAACTGATGGCGATGGGCTGGCGCCCGCTCAGGACCATCCAGTTTATGTCTTGGGACGCAGAGGAGTACAATCTCATTGGCTCGACCGAATTCGTTGAGCAAAACGACGATATGCTGCGCAAGGACGCGCTGGCGTACATCAACCTCGACACCGCCGTAACGGGCAACACTCTGCACGTGGCCGGCTCGCCCGTGTTCAAGGGTCTTCTGATGCAGGTCCTCGACCTCGTCAGAGATCCCTACGAGAACGCCACATTAAAGGAGCTCTGGGAGCGCAGAAACGCCAACGACCTCGAGGGCCTCGGCGCCGGCTCGGACTACGTCGCCTTCCAGGATATTGTCGGCACGTCTTCGATTGACCTGCACTTCGACGGCAAGGGCCACCCCTATCACTCCAGCTACGACACGTTCGAGTGGATGGAGCAGGTTGGTGACCCTGATTTTGTACACCACACGATGCTGGGACAGGTCGTTGCGATCATCCTGTACGAACTGGCCGACCGTCCCGTGTTGCCGTTTGACATGCCGCACTACGCCGAGAAGATTCGCGACTGGACAGGTGAGATCACCAGGTGGGTTGAGGATCAGGCCAAGGCCGCAAAAAAGGATGCTGTGCCCAAGGAACTTAAGACGTCGCTCGAAAGCTTGAAAAAGGCCAGCGATGCCGTCTTGGAGGCCGTGCGTTGGTTCGTGGAGTGGGAGCATGAGTGGCAGGCGAGTGTCGTCTCGACCGGTGGATGGGAGCCTTCCGGGTGGGGCAGGAGGAGGTGCGAGTTTAATACGAAGATGGGTTCGTTTGAGTCAGATCTGTTGGATAGTGAGGGTGTAAGTTTTTTCCTCTTTGCTTCTATTTCCTCCCCATCTATACCCACCAAATTTCCAAGTTACTAACAGCACAAATCCCAAACCCAGATCCCAAACCGCACCCAATTCAAACACGTCCTCTTCGGCCCCCAACTCTGGTCCGGCTACAACGAGGCCTACTTCCCTTCGATCCGCGACACCGTCGAGTCCGGAGACTGGGCCCTGGCCAACCGCACCATCGCCAAGGTCGCCGACATCATCAAGCTGGCCGCGGTTAACTTGGCCCGGGGAACTCTTGGGGAAGATCAGATAGGATAAAGAGAGAAGAGAAAGAGAAAGGGAAAGAGAAAAAGAAAGGGGAAAGTGAAAAAAAGACACTCAATGAAAGGGAGGAAGAGGGTGTCTTGTGTTTTGTTCCATTATCATCATCTACTTGACTTTGCCACTGAAGCGTGAAGCGTTTCTTGTGTTTTTTTTTGTTTTTTTTCTCGTTTATTTTTTGGGTACATATTTTCAACCCCAGTTATTACATAGAACCAACCAGTGCAGTCAGCGCGCGGCACCGCCGCCTGTACATCTATCTATCGGTACACATATCTTCCAACGTCATTTGTCCGGTATACAATGTGATCGCAGTCGGTTCATGGGTACATTAGAAATGTGTTGTTTAGGTAAGGAGGACTTGTCAACTCAAAGATTGGCATCACATGGCGCAGGTGGTGGTGGATCGTTGTCTTTTCATATTCCATCCATCCTTCCCTTTGGTCTTTGTTATTTGTAAAATCAGCTACTTGGGGGTTGTGGTGCAGTGGTGGGGCTTTTCCTCAACCCCCTACTTATAAAGTAGGAGGAAATAAAATTCTGGAATAGCGAAATATTATAAGATGATTTAAAGTACAACCGAAATACTAAGAAAGTTATTAATATACGTGACGAACGGCAGTCTGATCTGCCTAAATGAGATAGCTGAAGGTAGTAACTATCAGAGTCGTTCGGTGAAGCCAAAGGGTTCACAACAAGTATGCTCGTAATACTGGCCTCGGTGATAATGATCTATTGACTACTGTCGAACTATCTGACAATCTGAGTTCTCCCGTAGTCCCTTTATACCTGCTCGCCCTCTGCGAGATATCTGTCTCCGGATGCTCTTGTCGAGCCCCATAGGTCTATCTAATGTGTGGTGGCTCACTGTGAGCAGTGGCTCGTCGTGAGCCCGTGCGTGTGCCTCTTTGTCCTTGTTGGCCTGGGAGGGTGACACGACCTAACCCGTTTAGGCCGGTTGTGCTACCGGCGCTGTGGTTGGTCCGTGTATCCTCATAAGTTCGTAACAATATAGTAATGCTCACGAACTAAACAACTACGAAAATTCTATGGAGTTGAGAAGGCTTCTAAATAACTATTTCCTAATTTGTATTAATTTTAGCCTAAGTAGAAAGAAATAACAGTAGAAAAGGATTCGAAGTGTATTAAACTTTGATTGTTAAGATGCGGCACTTGCTCAATTCTGGTAGCTAAATAATACCTTTCTCTCTACTATACTTTCCCTAATAGAAATAAAAGCCCAAAATTTTAATTTTCGCTTTCTGACATAATGAAAAACGTTTAGGATTTTTGGCAGAATTTTGAAAAATTCTAGTGTAGTTTTGATGCAATGTGTTTCGGTTATACTATTAAATTTCTTAGTATTTTAGTTATAGTTCAAATTGTCCCATAATATTTCGCTGTTCCAGAATTTTATTTCCCCCTCTTTTATGAAGAGGAGGTTAAGGAAGGGTCCCGCCAGCCGAACTGTACTACAACCCCCAAGTATATTTCATCAGCGCGGTAGACATATACAATGATACGAACCTGAAGGTACCTGCTACTCTACCTTTTATACACATGATGTTGTCGTTGGTTAGATCGGAGATCAGCATTCACATGTCTCATTCGGACCCTAGACCTACCAGTTTAGATATCTTCACGGTACTGCGGTTCTTAAACGCCTTGCTTCTCTGCCATTCATTACATATCTACATAAGTACGGGGGGTGGGGGTGGCTATAGTTATCGTATCATCGGGTTCCTGTCCTGTCCTGGTCCTGCCCTATTCCATCATCTTCTTGTAAACTGCATATCTCATCATCACTCATCTGTTATTTCTCATCTCGTCCGTCACATCTTATCTCGTGCCTCCATCGCCTTTGGCTCTTATTTTTTTATACAACACTTCAACAGCTCTGGTGGGCTGACTGATTGCCTTACTTGGGAGTAAGCACGATTCCTTCGTACTCCTTGCTCCTGATGATCTCCAAGGTCTGCAGGAAGTGCTTCCGGCTGGCCTCGACCGAAGCCGAGTCTTGCTGGTTGCCGGCTAGGTTGGAGTGAATGAGCTCGATTAGGCCGTTGAGGTACTTGGTTGTGACCTGTGGGAAGCAAAATAGTTAGATGGTGATAAGGAAAGGTAGATACGGGGTGGGGAAGGTGGAGGGGACGTACCGATTCGTTCTTCTGATCGAAGTAGTACACGTATCTGTCCAAGATCTCGACAAACAACTCAATGGAGGTAGCGGTCTCCATGCACGAATCCGCAACGCGGAGAGCGCGCTGCAGGCACTCGAGAACACGCTTACCGTCTCGGTAAAGCTATTGCATAAGATGTCAGTTACATCCCTCTGGAACAGTGCAGGAGCGCTATCACTAACCTCGGTCTCCTCAGTCTCCCCGTTACTAGCAATCGGAGTCGCCCACCATAGATGACTAGCCAGGTAAACAGCCCGGCACTGATCCGGCTTCCTCAGGAGCTTGCTCGCGTGCTGCGCGCACTTGGTGATGAGCGTATCGTAGTTCTCCTTTCCAAAGTTGCGCGTGCGGTGGAGGGCGCTGGCGATAGCGCAAACGGCCTGGAACTGCGCCTTTGAGTCGCTGATGGCCTCCTCGTACACCGTGAAGGCCTGCGCAAAAAACTCGTACGCCACCTCCTCGAACTCGGTCTTGTCAGCCATCTGGCCACAGGAGCAAAAGAGGCGCAAAGACAGCTCGGCGGCGCCGGCGCCGTTGACGCGTGTGTAGAGGGTCGAGATGGCCGAGTGGAGGAACTTGAAGAGCGCGGAGCACTGCGACTGCCAGTTGTCGTCATAGTGTTCGCGAGCCTTGTAGCGCCGGGCGAGCTTCAGGCCGGCGGTGATGATAGGTGGCGTCGTGGTCCGGATCCGCTCGTTGCCCTCGGCGTAGGCCTTCCTTGTCATCTGCAGGAGACGGAACTGGGTGTCGTTGTTCTCGGACTGAAGGAGGTGGACAAGGCGGGCCAGCCAGCCCTGTTCCTCCAAGGTTTCGTCTGTCTCCAGGGCACGACCGCGCTGCTGAACGACACCGGGGTAGCCAGACGGCGCTTGCGATCCTTCTTTAATAAGGACCTTGAGCACCTCCAGGACATTCTCCAGATTGGCCGTGGTAGTGATGCGGGTTTGGTTCTTGATTAAGTGTCTGGCCACTTCGCCAGCGACGGCCCTACGCGTGGGGTAGGTTTGCGACTGGAACAGGGGAACGTATCTAGGCAGAGCGAGCGCCGTAAATATCGAAACATATCTCTTGAGGGGTGCCTGAAGCAACGCCAGAATACTTTGCTGCGCTGGTGGCGAATGCAGATCGGCACTGTTGGCGTGTTCTTTTATCTTTGAGTGGGCGTAATCGAGGATTTGGTCGACATAGTCGAGCCTTTCAGGATAGATGTTGAGTGCGAGGTTCGTGAGAGATACGCACAGCGCGATCGTGTCCTGGATCGGAAGATGTTGCGCTTGCACGAGATTCTTGACTTGTCCGAAAAAGATTTCGTATAGGGGCACGTTCTCGGGAATCCCCCTATGCTTTTTGGTTGGCTCGGATTCGTCTCCATTAGTCGCGGTAACCTCGGTCTCTGCTGCTGCTGCTCCTGCTGCTGGTTCGGCGCTTTCAGTCTCATCGGTCGAACCTATATCAGCTTCCGCATGCTCTCCATTTTCAGGGGCTTCGGGTGTCGGCGCGCTCGTTTCCTCGGCTTCCGCTGCCGATTTTGCAAGCTTCACTCTTTCCAGCAGTTTCGTGAGCGCTTCCTCCTCCAACTGGCCCCTATCCTCGTCTTCTTCGTTCTGCGACTCCCGCTCGGCATAGTCTGATAGTCTGTCCATCAGGCCAATAACGATTCCCTTAACATTGACGTGGGGATTTAATCTGGACACAGCGGCAAGGAACTGATCGAGGGTGTGAAGATGGAACTCGTCAGGGAAGACCTGGGTGATGACCTCGAGCAGATATTCTTGCGCCAGGACATCCCGACACTGCACAACCTGCTCCAGCAGGGGGGCTAGGATTCCATTCTTGTATGTCGGCAGATCCACCAGCTGGCTTAGACGGACAATGTTGTTTCCCACGAGCAATTGCAGCTCTTTCCTCTCTTGCGTCCGCTGGTCTCTCTCCCTTGAATGTCCTTGATGTTGTAGCCGGACCCAGAGCTTGTTCATCTCCACAAAGTTGGTCAGGATGAAGTTGATCGAGTCCTGCAGGTTGCCTTCCGGGCCTTCGGAGTCGCCAGCCGGGAGGTAGTCGCGTGCCTGCCCAGAGAGGTAGTAGCGGAGAAACAAGCCGCGAACGGGATGCTGGACACCACGGCTCATGTCCATCATATCCTTCATGAGCTCCTTAACGGGGGGCGCCCTCAATGGACATGTAGGCGGTGCCGACCGTGATCATGAGATAAAGGCGGGGTATGATGTTGCCGGCATACTGGACGAGTTCGTAGAGGTCGGCGAGGTGATTAACGGGGTGGTTCTCGCGCAGGTGGACGGAGAGGTATCGGAGAGCATCGAAGACGGCCATGTACAGCTCGTAGTACTGTTTGGGGCCCAGGCTGCTGGTTCGAAGCTCGGAGACAAGGGTGGAGCTATAAGTTGTCGAGGGGTGGTCGACGACGGTCAGCACCAGCGCATAATCGGCCATATGGTATCATGCTCTTCCGGGGACATACCAGCACTTGAGAGCATCCATGAGCTTGCCGGGAGTGTCGAGGCATTTTCTCATGAGGGTGGTTTGCTGGCGCACGGCGATCAAGGCATCTTCAAGGAGGCGGGCCTGGTCTTCAGGCGGCGCGGGGGTCGACATGTCGCTTGTTTGTTGACGGGATTGTAGCTCTTGACCTACGACAGGTACGTGTTGGTGTATATCTTTGACGTCGTGCTTGGTTCAACGGTTGGTCGTTTTCGAAGTGGCTAGGAAGCGCGGGACCATGCGAGCATTGGTCTTGTGTCGGCAACAGGAACGGTGATGGCGCAGCAAGTCGTAGTAAATGTCGGGTTATTGTTCAGTCGCGGAATGACGACGCTCGAGGAGACGGGAGTTGTACAAGCCGCAGCCGCAAGGTACCTATGGACACTACCTAGCTGGCCTATATGGGAGCTGCAGAGGCACCTGTCATGGGGCACTTGCAACTACTAACACGTTAGTGGGGTCTGTTTGTATGTTCCAGGGGGTTGACTGTTAGCACAACTAGCATAGCCAAACAGGGGCAGGTGTTCTTCACCTGCATTGAGCATTGAAGCTGCCTGCCAAGCTCGATTGGAAACCGGAGCTCTTGATTACATAAAGCTCTCCACACGTGACGAACGACACAGGCTAAGGGTTAGGGATAGTACCCTGGCATCACTTGTACACCCAAACGGGTTCACCACCATACAAACCAAAACAATGCATCCATCATCAACATCATCCTGACCAAATATTATCCGCCGTCCATCACTATCTCTTTAATGTCCCACTATCCAGGTCCAATACTTTGCTCAGCAATTCCACGGTTGATTTTATCCTGACCCTGGAACCCACAGTACGACCAGCAAAACAATATCGGCCAAAGTAACTCTACCTTTGACTTCCAGCTTCCGCTAACAGTGCTTGCTGAACGCCGGCCGGCACCGGAATTCATGACTGAATTGGGGCCATTCAGACCACTCCCTTCGCCGCTCAGTTGGAGTGTGGCCGCCACTCCATTTATCAACAACATGGCCGCACCTAATTTGAACACCTTGCCGGCCGAACTTCTCCTGGATATCGGGGAACGTCTTGGTTTCAAAGACCGTGCCTTTTTGATTCGTGTCTCCAGATATTGTCACGCTGTCTTGACTGAGAAATTATACAATCACTTCGGCAAGATAGAGGCGGCGCGCTGGGCCGCCAATAATGGCAGCTGTTTGGTCATGAGAACCGCGCTATCGCATTGCACCGGGGAGACAGAAAGGGACTTGCTCATCAACATGCCTATCGATGATGATCTTGAAGATCCCGAGGCACCGGTCTATGCGACTCCGCTTGCTCGCGCATCTTACCGTGGTCATCTTGATGTTGTTACGTACCTCTTGGACGTTGGGGCACGCCAGAAAGTATTGTCGTACCTGTTCTGCAACTGCATCGACTTGCAAAGCATCTTCGAAGGCTTCGAGGTTCACGATGTTCCTAATGTCCCGACATGGTATCCTCTTCATTACGCAATATGCAGGTAAGTCTTGAGCCCTTGCCTTTTGGCATATTCCTCGTTTGCCTGTTCTGAACAATGCACCCAAACAGTAAGAATGAAGAGGTCGCTCTGCTTCTTATCGACCGGGGTGCGCCTTTGCTGGCGTGTGACGGTGGTCCTCGTGTCACTGCACTCCAAAGTGCCGTTGCGAATGGCTGTCTAAAAGTTGTACAGCGCCTCGCGAAACGGTACCGTGAGCTGAACCGCGGCCCTCTGTTAACCCCTAGGCATGAGGCAGACGTAGATCGTCTGCTAGACCCCAGGGCAACCGATGCTCGTCTCAACACTGCGATGCACTACCTCACGCTGTGTCCGCGTCGTGAATATCTTCGCCAAATATGCCTCTGTCTGATGGATCTTGGGGTCCCGCTAGATACTCCATGGGGTAGTATGGCCATGTCGCCCCTTCTGATGGCGTGTGCCATAGGTAATTTTAGGGTAGCTACCGAACTCGTGCAATTCGGGGCGAACCTCCAACGTCGAGACCCTACAGAACAGGAACGCCAGCAAAACCCCCAAGAACACGTATTGCCCGAACACCGACAATCAAACGCCCCATACGTGTATTCTGCCCTGGGAGCCAGGTATATCCGAGCTACCCAGGCGGGCGTTGTGTGGCGGCCAGGCGGCCAGGCACGCTGGGCAATCGATCGTCAGGAATTCATCAGAGTGTTCATCCAGCACAACGGTGAGGTTAACGCACCCGTGAGTCTAGTTGGTGAAACCGCTTTGTTAAGAGCAGTCGACAGAGGGTTCGTGGCTGAAATCCGAATACTTCTCTCGGAGGGAGGCGCTGTTGTTGACAGACCAGATGCGTTTGGGATGACACCGTTGTGCAAGGCTGCCCTGCGCGGTAACGTGACTATCGTCGAGGTAGGTTTACATCACCATTTACATCCCAGCAATCCGTTTTCTAATGAGCACCTGTTAACTTGGTTCATAGGCCCTTCTGGAAGCCGGGGCGGACCCAAACCTTTCCAGTCGAATCGGTCAAGTCACCGCCCTGGAGCTGATCAGTGGCATGATTGCGTCACCAGAAATCGAGCAGATCATAATATTGCTACTACGCTACGGTACGCGTGTGGGAAGATTATCACCTCGGTCTCCCCATCAATATGATCGGACTTACTTGATCACTTTGATGTGGCGATATTTCGAGCGTGGTAACCATGCAGATTACTGGGTCACGGCGACAATTCTCGAAAACAGCACTGAAGCAAACATATCGCGTGGCTGCTGGCAATACGCGGCCGAAGTTGCCCTTCGCCTAGATAAACATGGAGATCGGGAGAAGCCAGGACATAGACCGTTATGCTCGCTCCTAGGTTTGTTTGGTGAAAAAGTCAGCTATACTTTTGATGATTCCAGACTCTACTCGATTGTCGAGCAGCTGATCAAAAGGGGTCATGCCAGTAATGTGTCATGTCTGTTCTGCCTCGGAGGAAGGAATATAGAACTTCGAGCGCAGAACTATTTCCACAGCGTGGTCAAGACACTCAGCGGCGTCTTCACTCAAGAAGCGATGCTGGCCTTGGTCTTGACTCATAGTAAAAAGTCAGCGTTGCCTTTGGCCACTCAATTGCTCGTTGAGTGGGATGCGGCCGATATCGACGTGACTGGGAGGATTCACTGTCTCAGCACCAAACCGACGCTACTTCATCTCGCTTGTAGCAAGGGCGATTGGGGATCCGCAGGCCTCCTTATCACCAAAGGTTGTTCCCCGGACGCCGTCAATGGCTGTCTTTTGACGCCCATGGCAGAGGCTGCAGCGGGTGGTTACAGGAAGCTGGTCGAAGCTCTGATGGACTGTACGACAGCCGATCCACACGAGTCATACCGGAATCCTTCAACCACCACCAGATTATTGCAAGACCAAGTAGCATCCTCAGGCGACTTTCTTCGCCCGCCTCCCGGGACCAGGATCTCCCAGTTCGTGCTCCGTGAGCTTATCAAGCTTCAGGGTGCACGTTTAGGACTTCCCAATGCCGATACCAGCAATCAACACTCCATAGACCCATCCCTTCCCAAAAAGGGGGGTTGGAACCCTTTCACGCCACATCACTATGGATTCTCTGCCTTTGAAGCTGTAAGTTTTTTTTTACTTCTCAGGTAGTCAGTCCCTCACCGTCCTGACCACTAGACTGACCTCCCGTGTACTCCCCTAGGCCTGTCACGAGGGACACAACGACGTTGTAAGAGCCATTCTCAAGCGTAAACCCCTCGGACACCCTATCACCCAAGTCCAGCGGGGTTTCATGGTCGTAAAGCCGTCCTTCAGCTCCCTCACTGACGCCGCTCTGAACGGCCACTGGGACACGGTGCACACCTTGCTCAGCGCCGGTGCGGACCCCAACCAGGGCATCCTGCGCGGCTGTCTCGACCTGACCCCCCTCCACATCTGCGTGGAGGCGCTCGTGAACACGGTCCGGCTATACAACCTTGATGCCGAGACGCTGGCTACCGAACAGCCCATCCCCCCTGGTTCCGATCTGGAGGCCCCCGCGCCGTTCCCGCCGGATATGCACCCCCAGCTGCTGCCGTTAGTTAAGAGGATTCAGAGAATTGTCAGCGTTATTGTGCATCTGAAAACAGTCGGGGCAAAGGAGGAGTCGGATAATTCCGTGTTTAGAGAGGTGCACTCGTTGCCTGGGGGACCGTTCCCGCCGGATACGATGGGCTTGCTGAGGAAGCTCATGAAGACGGAGGAACTGGGGTATATGGGGGGAAGGTTCATGGAGAGACATGGTGAGGTGGTGGTGACGAGGAAGTTTACGTTGGATGATCCGGAAGGAAAGAAGATCGTACTGGTTGGTGAGGGGAACGGCGACGCGAAAAATCAGGACTCGAAAGATGAAGATTCAAAGGACGGGGGTGAGGAGAAGCTGAAGAAGTAGGGAATCACGGGCAATGATGGGCGCACTTTGGCGTTTGGTGTTGTATCGGGCTTTGCGCTTGGTTTTCGGCTGAGAAAGTTTCTCTGGATTGCGAATATGGTTACGGATACCCTCTCGTAGGAATAGCGGTTTGTCAACATGGATACCTACTGGATAGCGATACGATAACATGAGCTTGTTCAACCAAGTTTACTATCTATTACTGGTTTATTTGCTAGCTTGGTCCTCGTAGCACACTGGACGAGATCAATGCCGAACTGTCCTAAACCTCGCCAACAGGATTTCAATATGGCTTGTCAGGTTCCCAAAACAGCATTCCAATTAGATATTCCTACGCCTAGGATAGTTGACCAGAGGTCTCGAGCCAATAAACAAACCACTATTGGAATGTATGTTGAAGTTATCATGGCCGTGTTGATGATCCGAACAACTCCAACGGTTAGCCCTAACCCTGAATACCTGTGCAGCTCAATCCGATGGACCGAGACATTGGGCTCTGACATCGATCCCAAAAATGAAAATCAATTCAGTGGCATCATGGTTACTTCATGACTCTACGAATCGGGTCCTTTTCACCCAATCATTCCATAACGTATGCACTTGATCTAGAATTGATAATGGACGTCAAAAGACGTGGACAACATCTAGCAACGCAACAGGGCCCCAAAACAAAGTGGGTCTTCGACGGCATGCCAAGGTTGGACTGACACCTCGGAGCATGGAGCTTGGGCTCTACGCTGGCTCCTCTAGGTACACAGCATGCTGCTCTTCCATATGCGAGCTACAGTTTCTCTCATCAACCACCCTTCGTTCTTTTACTTTTTCCCCTTTTCCTCACACAACCTGCGCCCGACCAAACTTCAATCAATCCGAAATGGGGATCCCATCTCCTCCACCATCAGCCGGTCTAACCCCCAGCACCTGGGGCAGCACCCAAGGCCAAACGGAACACCGAACCCCCCGACCCAGTCCATCCCCCGACACCCGCCCCCGCCGCACCTCCATCATAGCCCAGCTCCAAGCGCGGCGCACCTCGGGCTTTGTAGGATTCGCGGGGAAATGTCTCGCAATCCTCCTCATCCTTACCTTTCTCGGGACTGGTGCCTACGGCGGGATGTTTACGGGGTTCACTAATGGGTTCTTTGCTGCTCTTACCAAGATCAAGACCGGCGGCCCCTCGGCCGTCGCCGGTTATGAGTTGAAGCAGGTGTATACGAGGGTAGACGCGATTGATAAGATTTTGGTTACGCTGGTGACGTTTTTTGCTGCTTGGTTGGATGCTGGAGGGCCGGATATGGGAAAGGGGAAGTGGGAGGGGCCGTGGCTGGAGGGATTTCACTTGGTGAAGGGAGAAGAGGGGGGAAGGACGTGGGAGGTTGATGTGCCGCTCTGGGCGGCTCTGGTGCAGTTTGCGGGTGCTTGGGGGTTGGTGAGTGTGGAGGGATCGAGGAAAGGGAATAAGGGGGGGTTGGCGAGGGTGGTTGGTTGGTAAGTTGGGTGGTTTTTGCTTGTTTTTTTTTGGCCCGGTTAATATTGGGGGTGAGGGTGAGGGTGGTGAAAGAGGACACGGACAAGGTTGACTAACAAACGGTTATCACAGGACTGGATTCTGGGGAATGGGTATGCAGTTACTGTCATACACCATTGCTGGCCCGATTTACTTTATCATTCATTTGTTCACATCACCTGTGGCAAGCGGCAGCGATGTCGATGCGTTGGTCGTCAACGCGGGGGATATGGCTCTGCTGCCGGCGTGCATCACGATGGCTTTCCTCGTTCCAGCCTTCATGATGGGGTTACCAAGCCCCCAGCTCATCCCGCAAGCTGAGCATCAGAACTGGATGGCTACCTGGCAGGTATTCCCCATTCTGCAGGCTAACTTGATGTTCTTCCTCAAGAGCTTGTTTGGTTCTTCCGGTGCTGGCTCAGAGGGGAACAGCAACAAGGTTATTGGGAGGAAAGCGGCCGGCGCAAGCCCAGTGTACAAGTTTACTATGACCCTCTGCGTGGTCGCTCAGTTGGGCTTCCTGACCATTGCGCTGACGCCGCCCACTGCGTTACCAGCAAGCTTGGCTGCCTCTTACCCGTGGCTTTCGGCGATATTGAAGGAAGTGAACATCGATTCGGGTATCCCTAGGGCGCTGTGGGATCCGCCGTCTCTGGACGTGTCGAGCTTGGAGAAGATCCGGATGGCGTGGTTGGGGCCGTTGGCGAAGCACTTTCTGCAGTGGGATGTTTACAGTGGTAACTTTGCGCTGCTCACTTGGGCTGTGTACCAGTATTGGGCGGCTGGAGTCGGTGGTGGAAAGCGATTCGGCAAGGCATTGGGATGGTTCGTGCTTGGAGGACCGGTCGCGACAGCGGCGTATCTTTTGTGGGAGAGAGATGAAGCGGTTGTTGCAAGAGATGATGATCGGGGAAGGAGGAGAAGTCGGTAAACGCTGGCTAAAGTGTTTGACTGGCACAGGATATACGCAGTTTCCCGACAGTGCGCCTCCTCCTAAGCGGCAGTTTAGGTTTCACGAGGCGGGAAACTTGGATCAGAGACCCGACCCAGCGGCGGGGGTCGTTGGCGACAAGGGGCATTTTTGTATCCGTCGTTTCTGTATAAATGCCGTGTCACGATTCACAGATTGGATTGTTCCCGAGGTTGTGTCGCCATAAGCACAAGATCTCCATTGACGAAATATTTCCCGCATTGGTGTTGACATCCACGGCGATGCTTCTCGACTTCTGTTATCAAGATAAGGTTATATAGAGTTGAGACCGGGGAAGTCGGACTCGGGACGGAAGCAAAGGACAAACTCCGAAATGTGGGGCGACGGGATTGTGGGTCCACCGGCGGTCCAGGTCGTCCGTTCATTGGCAGGGATCATCCTGTTGGCGCAGATTTCCCGTCTCCACTATCACGGAAGGAGCCACGAAAGCGACGGGAGGGACAAGGATCCGAAGCAGGATTCTGGATTCGATGTCGACAATCTTGGCGCCTTCCCTCTTTCTGCCTGGGCTGTCATCTTTATCCCACCTCTTGTTCTTTCCCTTCGTCATTCATTCCCAATCGTCAATTTCCGTCTGTTCCGGCAGAAACTCACCACCTTCCACCGCAACTAGTACCAGTCGCTCGCTTTCTTGCCGATTCCGTCGCTCGTTTCAGTCGCAATTCGATTTTCTTCCGATGCATTGATTTGATTGTTCAGTCTGATCTCGCCCCCGATTGAACCCCTTGACTTCAACACTTTCATCCGGGGCCGCTCTCCAGAGATTTTCTCGGGTTCCTCCCTGGGCCCGTGCAGCTCCACAGAAAAAGCCGGGAAGCTGACGACCATCACCGTAACGATTAACGATACAGGGGCACCCAAACGGCCAAAACCACCGATGATACACCGTAGCTGAGCCCCAGTAATGACCTGATCGTCCCGCCAATCCATCGAGTCGATGACCGTGACTTCTACAGTACACGTACCGCGTAGAGATATCCAACACATGCGCTGGCGCAACCTAATCACCACCCATTTCCATATCCCGACAAGCGACGCCATGAATGTCAGACCTCTTGGAGAAGCACCACCATGAGGAGCTTTACCAGGAGCACGGCCGACGAGGGAGGAGCCAGTGTCGAAAATGTTTCGTTGGAAAAGGGCAGCAACACCTTCAGTAAAGCCGCCATCCTATCGCCATTGCGCAAAACTGGCACCTCAGCAACAACAGTGACCAGGACTATCAAGGCCTCTACACAACAGCTGTATCAGAAATACATCCTCGAGCTCATCTTTCAAGAAAAGGAACTTCCGCCTTCCAAAGACGGCCGACATATCCCATTACGACCCCATCATGACACACCCCTGATCGACGAACGGCGAGGGAGCGCATACATACCAAACACGATTCGAACATCCCGATACACCGTATACGACTTCCTACCGAAGCAGCTATTCTTCCAGTTCTCGCGCCTGGCCAACTTCTACTTCCTCTGCGTCGGTGTGCCCCAAACTATTCCGGGGGTCAGTACCACCGGAAACTTTACCACTATTCTACCCCTGCTCTTTTTCGTCCTTCTTACCGTCGTCAAGGAGGGATACGATGACTGGAAACGCCATCGACTCGACAAGGTGGAAAATGCAAGAAGCGCGACCGTTCTCCGACCAATAGGTTATGTCGACAGTCGACAGGATTGGCGGACTGGGTTTGGACTACGGAGAGAAAAGGAGAAGGACACAGGGGCTGTGGACGAGGACATATCAGACTCGGGATACAAATGGTACGCCACCCAATGGAAGGATCTGAAAGTCGGCGATGTCATCAAGCTCTCCCGCGATGAGGATGTTCCTGCAGATATCGTCTTGTTGCACGCCGACGGCGAAAATGGTATGGCCTACATCGAAACGATGGCCCTAGACGGAGAGACGAATCTCAAGAACAAACACGTCTCCAAGGCTCTACAGCGTTGCAATACCATCCAAGGCATTGCCAACTGCCAGGCCGAGTTCGTAGTGGAGGATCCCAACCCAGATCTCTATCGATTCGACGGAAGAGTAACAGTGGACGGTGAAACGTTGCCGTTAACTTTGAATGAAGTGGTGTACAGAGGTTGCACGCTACGCAACACAACATGTGCCATCGGCATGGTCCTCAACACGGGAGAAGAGTGCAAACTCCGACGAAACGCCGACCGACACCCCAAGGCAAAGAAGCCGGCCATGGAAAAGATCGCTAACAAGATTGTCATCAGCCTTGTTGTGGTGGTTATTTCTCTTTCTGTCGGTTGCTCAATGGGCTATTTGATCTGGAAAGATGCCTACGAACGCAAGGCATGGTATCTGAAGCATCTGGGAGTGGAGTTCCAGAATATCATTATCGGCTTTTTCATCCAGTTTAACAACATCATCCCTTTAGCGCTATACATTAGTTTGGAGATTGTCAAACTCGGGCAGATGTGGATGCTCAATTCCGACCTGGAGATGTACGACAAAGTGTCTGATACACCGGCCAAGTGCAACACCAACACCATTCTCGAGAATTTGGGGCAGATCGGCTACGTGTTTTCAGACAAGACTGGAACTTTGACTGAAAATGTCATGAAGTTCCGAAAGATGAGCATTGCCGGAACGACATGGTTGCATGAGATGGATATTCTCAAGGAGCAGGAAGAACTAGGCCTCACTCAGACGAGAACCAAAGAGAAAGAGATGAGGGTTATGTTGGAACCGACCCCTGAATACGATGACGCGTTGGCAAAGACAACGACCGTCATGTCAGTTCGCTCGCCGAACCCGCGTCGGTCATCCTCACAGTGGCGGTCGACTGGTCGACCTGACCATGTCCAACCAGAGGTCACAACTGAGGACCTCCTTGAGTACATAAGATTACGTCCAAATGCCCCTTTCTCGAGAAGGGCAGTTCAGTATATACTTGCCATGGCCCTCTGCCACACCTGCTTGCCGGAAGTTAGAGACGGGGAGATTGAGTTCCAGGCCGCTTCACCGGATGAGCTTGCGCTTGTCAAGGCTGCTCAAGACCTTGGGTTTCTCGTGGTCCAGCGTTCCTCCCACAAAGTCACGCTCCGTATATCGCTCGGCGATGGCACAGAAATGGAGCGCACCTACCAGATCCTCGACGTTATTGAGTTTAGCAGCAAGCGAAAGCGCATGTCCATCATTGTCCGGTGCCCTGATGACAGGATATGGTTGATCACCAAGGGTGCCGACTCTGTCATTCTTCCACGGCTCAGGATGGCACAACTGGCAAAGCAAAAGGCCAACGAGGTCCGCAAAAGCTTGGAAGCCGAGCATGAAATGCAACGCAGGAGTGAGGCTCGAGAGCCACGCAACAGTTTTGGTGGCCGACCAAGTCTTACAATCCGCCGCAGCATTAATCTGGCGAGACAGAACAGCATCGCTGGACCTAGCAAGCGCCCAGTCAACAACCGCAGCAAGTCGTTTGAGGTGGGCAGAATGTCACTGTCTGCACCAGAAGATCGCCTCAGGCCCCATATCACCGTCCGCACAGCGTCCTATGATGTACCTTATGAGGACGCTGCCGTGGCCTCAGTGCCAGGCAGGTTCGCATTTCTTGACGATCCTTCCGTGTGCGATGAGGGTTCTATCTTCGCTCGGTGCTTCAAACACATCGACGATTTTGCAACCGAGGGCCTTCGAACCCTTCTTTTTGCAGGTCGGTTTTTGTCTGAGTCCGAGTACAAGACATGGAAGAAACTATACCACGACGCAGAGACGAGTCTAGTCGATCGTCAAGAGCGCATCGAAGCGGCTGGCGAAGTAGTCGAGCAGACGCTGGACCTCATCGGTGCCACGGCTATTGAAGACAAACTTCAGAAGGGTGTCCCGGAGACGATCGAGCGTCTTCGACGAGCTAACATTAAGATCTGGATGCTTACTGGCGACAAGCGCGAAACGGCCATCAACATCGCCCACTCGGCTCGCCTTTGCCGTCCTACTTCCGATATCTATATCCTCGACGCCACGAAAGGAAACCTAGAAGGCCAACTGATGGACATCGTCGACGAGTTGAACATCCGGGCCGAAACCATGCATACTGCAATTCCCAACCACACCGTGGTAGTAATCGACGGTCACACTCTTGCTGCTCTCGATGAGCCAGAAACTCACGGCAACGCCAAAGAACTCTTCTACAACCTCATCCCGACGATCGACTCCGTCATCTGCTGCCGCGCCTCTCCTGCCCAAAAAGCCTTGCTCGTCACCGCCATCCGCAACCACTCCCATCAACCGCTTACCCCCAAAAAGAAAGGCTTTCTCTCCTACATCGTCACACCTAAACGAACATCACCCCTGACTCTCGCCATAGGCGATGGTGCTAATGACCTAGCTATGCTCTCGGCCGCCCACGTCGGCGTAGGCATCTCGGGTCGGGAAGGGTTGCAAGCCGCTCGAGTTGCCGATTATGCCATTGCACAGTTCCGCTTCCTCTCCCGCCTACTGTTGGTACACGGAAGATGGAATTACGCTCGCACCGCCAAGTTCATCGTCGCCACCTTCTGGAAGGAAATGTTCTTCTATCTGCCTACCGAGCTGTACCAACAGTACACCGGATACACAGGCACCAGTCTTTACGAATCATGGAGTCTAACGGTGCTGAACACTCTCTTCACCAGTTTGTGCGTGATTGTCCCCGGAGTGTGGGAACAGGATCTGAGCGCGGAGACACTGATGGCTGTGCCGGAGCTGTACGTCTGGGGCCAGAGGGACGGCGGGTTGAATCTGAGGCAGTATCTGGGGTGGATGGTGGCGGCTGTTGCACAGGGTGTGGTGGTCTGGTGGGTGTGTTGGGAACTCTACGGTGGGATTGCGGTGAAGGATAATGGTCTGTTTGCTGTGGGCAATTTGGTCTTTACGGTCGCCATTGTGTGGACTAACTTGAAGTTGCTGTACGTTCTTTCCTCCTCGTCCTTTCACCCTTTACTTTGAACACGACACTAACATGTCAACCAATGACAGCATCATTGACACCCATTACAAGACGGGCATAACCCTCGGTGCATTCGGCATCACCTTCGGAGGCTGGTGGATTTGGCAAATCTTCCTCGCCGGCGCTTACGCCCCGGGTGTCTGGCCCTACGCGGTCCGCGGTGGCTTCTTTTCCTCTTTCGGCCCCGATCCAGCATGGTGGGGTGCTTTCTTTGCGGCCGTTGGCCTGCTCACCGCTGTCGAACTCGGTTACCAATCCATCAAGCGGAACATGATCGTATCCGGGCTATGGAGGCTGGGATGGAGGAAATGGATGCAGTGGGAGACATGGAAAGGGCTCCTTGCACTCGGGAGAGGCGGGGCAGCGAGGGGATCGGGGCCCATGTGGGCTTGGGATGAAGCGGGTGGTGAGGGCAGGAATGTGGAGGAGTGGGATGTGGAGCTTTGGCAGGCCCTGGAGAAGGAGCAGACCGTTAGAGACACCTTAAAGGGGATGAGTAGGGTTGGGCATGAGGGTGATGGCCCCGAGCCTGATGAAGAAATATCGGAGGAAGAGGGCGATAAGGAGAAGAACAGGGAGGAGAGCCCAGTGACAGACTGCGAGAGACAGGAAGGGTCAGGCGTGGTGGTGGAGAGTGTGCAGATCTCGAAGTAGGATTTCGAGGTTGGGCCCTCTCTGTGCATCTGCGTTGGAAGAGTGGGGAAACAGTTTGGTTTTTGGATTTCCGATTTCTCTTGGATTCATACGCATCGAGATACCCTTTCGTACATATACAGCTTTTTTTTTTTTACTTATCTTCATTTTGCACTTGAAACACCATCAACTTTCCAACATCCAACATCGTGGGCATTGACGGCGAGGTTGTCCGGAAATATCCGTCTGCCAATCTCCCTTCATGGATCCTGATGGCCATTGGACACAATACGGATACGCTATGGTACGAACCAACAAAATGACGATGACAAAAGGTAGGAACAAGCAACGCTAAGGCAGGTACAGACTGCCAGTGACACCCAACCCAACGAGGAAGGAAGGGATGGATGCTCACTGGCAACCACAACCCAAAGTGCAGCCAGCTAACCAACAACCGAGTCTCTCGAAAGGCACCTGCTAAGGTAAGTTGTCAAACAAGAGTCTTATCACGCCTAGCAGAAAATCCTCATTTAACTAATGCAGAGTCCTTCATAGTCAGTTCTCGGTCTTATTAGCCCGAACATGGTACGATCCAACATCGAGATAGCAGATACCCAGGTGGATATGTAGCAGAAAGCACGCTACTGTACTGTACTTGCTTTCTACAGTTGACATGCCATTCAGTTACTTCCATGTCCAGCGGAATACTCAACTGGAGACACAATCGTCCAGCGTCCATGCCCAAAGCCCTCACCAGTCTCACGCTAGGTAAAGTTAATAATGCCAGACACAACGAGGCACCATGGAAGCAAGGCATTTTCCTTAGCACCCAGTTCCCAGTTCTCAGTTGCTACGTCCGCCGAACGAACCACCAACGCTGTTCGTTCCGCGTAGTGTACAAACCAAGGCTCCATTTAACCAAGCAGTGAGTGGTGTCTGTTACAACCGCGGGTACCACCATAATGATTTCAGAAATTCCGTTTTCAGGATCTGACGGGATTTGACGGAATCTACCAGTTATAAGCAAATCGAGCACCGCATTCTCTCTCTCGAGCCGGATAGGTATTTATTTCCATGATGTTTAACCCTCAGTGGTGGTTTTCTCGAAGCCTGGGACCTGCCTGCTATGCTCTGATCTGGTCTCTTGCCAGTCAATCAGTATTCAGTGGCTGGGATCCAGCCAGGCTTCTGCCAGATTCCGCAAAACGGACTTTCCCAAATTATGCGGTACAGAACATTGTAAATAGGAACGGTGGTGGTTTGTGTGCAATGTACTTACCTACCTGCATAGGTATGTGCCTGGGCGCCTTGACTAGGACTGCGACTGCGACTGTCACCGTGACCGTGACCGTGACCGTGACTGGAACCAGGGACGGAGAAAAGTTGTCCTTAAACCAGAGTTTTCCCCTTTTTCAACATTGGAACACCCACAAGGAAACTGTGGGTTAACTCTCGCGTTGGTAGCTGACTGGTTTCCAGTGTGTCAGCCTGTTAGCCTGTCAGTTAGCCCGTTAGTGGGTCAGTCAATTAAAACCCATCAGTCAGTCAGTCAGCCCGTCCGATCCGGCACCGGGTAGGTGGACAAAGGGTGAAACCATCGAGGACCGGTGTCATTTCGAATACGACCACAATGCCAACTTTGGTCTTAGCGGTTAGTTTAGTACTTGGCAGGCGGCCGCTGGATAAATACATTACAGTAGATGGCGAGTAGAGACAACTGCAGTTGGGTCAGCTTGTCCACAGCCTGTTGGTCGAGTGTGCGTTGAAGGTTTGGTTTCGGCTGTTAATGTAGCTGTCCGTTGGTAGTGACTTCCTTCGTGACTTTGCCTGAACAATGACAAGAGTAAAAGACCGGCTTTCAATAGAGAAATGTGTCAATGAGGCCTCTTACCAGCGGAGTGTTCTGTAAGGAGGGGGATTCGGGTGTTGTCCAAATGGCAGTCAGCAGGGCTGAACAGGCACCACACTTATAATAAGATACTGTTAGTGCACCATCAACAACAATCGGACCTTATCCGTTCAATCGGGTATGGTGTAGCGGTAACATCGTTGACTCTCACTTCTTAGGAGTGACTGCTCTCTCAACAGCCCCGGGTTCGACTCCCGGTATCCGAGTCTCAAACATCATTTTTTTCTTTCCTGTTTTTTTTCTTCTTTTTGATGTCATTTCGGTTTACATTGATGATCTTCGTGTTTGTTTTCCCTTTTTTGTTGTTTCTGTCTCTGATCATGTTTCTGAGTTGTATTGGTTGGTCCATGTCAATTTCTGATAGACAACGGAACGACACTTCGTTGGGGCTTCTGCCAACAACACCAACAAAGACAAAGACAACGCCAAAAACTTGTTGATAGTCCCTTGTAGCACCGAATTCTTTTGAAAAGAGTTCGCAGGGGTTTTAAACCGCCGCAGTCTCAAAACAATTGTAACCAACACCCTACCATCACCTCTTCTCGGCACGTCTCAGTCGGTCTTGACTGGGTGAGATTCGGAAACAGGAAACCCATTCGCTTGAAACCCTCGAAAAGCTTACCAAAGTTACATCGTGAACAGCGCGTGGTAGGCAGGGTTGGTTAGTATGGCCATTGAGAGCGCGGTAAAAAAAAAACAGAGGGCGAGATGACCTCTGGGCATTTGCTTGTTTCTCTGAGGAGAGCTAGGCCAACACGAACGATGGAGTTTTGTCGGCTTGTGTTACCTGTGGAGATGTACTCTTTTTCCAACCGTTCCGTTGGTCCTCTTTCATCATCACATGGTCACGATGTTCTCCATGGCTCCAACTCGTAAACACTCACGGCACTTGCTGTCCACTGAGTGCATCCATTTATCGTACAGTTTGTACATCGTATTCGCCAAGTCTGTCTGCATGTTGTAGCATGGTTCCGCTTAGCGAGAGGCTTTGTTCCTACGTCCGCCCCAATTTGTCTCGATGGTCTGTATGCACGGTTCTCGATAGCGTAAAGCGAGTATTGTAACGATTCCGTGGAGTTGTGTTTTGGTCATGTTGGCTGTCTTTCTTTCATAATAATGATGGTGTATGGTGATGAAAGATTAGGTATTCAGAAGAATCCCTATCCGGAACCCCTACGTAGGCAGCAAAATCACACCTCTGGGCATGATGCTTAATTTCCCCTTCATGCTGTTGGTTCCAGGCCTCCCTACCTATGTTGAGCCAATTTTTGTACCCTAAATGGGCTTGAGTGGCAGCTACGAGCTTGTATCAGGCATGTGACCAAAGCTCCTGGGCGTTCTTTCCGGCGGACTGTTTGTGGGTGGACGTAGGGGGGCACGTTGTTGTGAAAGATCGTGTTCGACTGGTGGGTGCCATCTGACTACATACGGGAACCGACATGGGTTGATTGAGATCTGTGTAACGTACATTGAGCTGTCAAACTCTGAGGTGATGTGGTGATCGAGCTGCCCAGCCTTGTAGGTACAACGGATGCATCGAAGGTCAAGAGGGTCAGGTAGGAGAAAGCTGGATATTATCTTAGCGGCGGCGAGTATGCTCTCGAACCAGTTCTGGAAGGCTTGGAAGGGGATTCTGGACATTTTCGTGAAAGATTTTCAAAGCTATTGCCATCGAGCAGTAGTAAGGGCCGAGATGCTGATGGGGTACCGGGCGGTCGGCTCCTTGAAGCTTGTTGAGAGGGTCAAGGCCATGGGCGAGATGCCGACCACCCCACTAGCACATGGCTCTCAGACAGGCGAGACGTCCCGGATCATCGGACGACAACGGGGAGAAACTGGAGGGCTAACTGATGATTCTGATTGGACGGCTGAACGAGGGCACTTTCACTGGGCGCGTTGCGATGTCGCGATAGCATCGTCTTCCAATAGGTAGCGACCTCAACCCCTGAGGTGGTGCTGATGGTTAATGAAAGTCCGGTACCAAAGATTTTCCGGGCCGAAAGACAACAATGAGTTGAGATATAATGACGGGAATACGAGCTGTTTGTTGTGCTGGCATGGTGAAAAGTCAGTCGCACCCTCGTCGGCATCGTGTCTGGCTCTCTGACGCCGTGCTGGATACCTTGGAGGCGCAGCCCCGCTGCGTAGGGCTAGAAGGGCCCCTAAGTTTACAGTAGCAGAAGCACTGTGTACCCTGGCGGATCTGAGCAGCTCATTGAAGCTGATGCCTACGGTTGGCGTCCAGATTGGGAGTTAGTCGGGGTCGGTGTGGGAAGACCAGCAGGTAAGGAACTGGAATAAGGTTGACGGGTTGGATTCCCTTGGTAAAATTGGGAGCAATAGAGTCGTGAAAGCTTCCAATGAACGAGTGAAAAGAAGGAGAAAGGAAATGATGAGCACCTCACTCGGCACTGTTCATGTGCCGCGGCGTAGATTATCCGGACGCTGGTTGGTCGGTTATTCCAATCAAGCATTCTGCGCGCTGCAGCCACAAAGCCAGATTGACGGCCGGAGGTGTCAAATGAAAGTGCATGCATCGGTTGGGTGCTGTTGAGGTTGACCGCTGGGGAAGCTGCGAGCCTGTGCCAGACCGGCGCGCAACAAACGGTAGCAGCAAGTAACAAAAGGCGGCAAGGCGGGACCTGCAAGCACCTCGCTTTGTCGCTGACTTCAGTTGGCTGAGCGGTCTAGAACAACATCACCATCTCAACCTTGATTGATCCCTTTGGACCCTTTGCAGATCCGATGAGCCAACTGACGAAATGCCGAAGACGGAACGATGTCGAAAGGTTAATCAATGACGGTTGCAGTGGTGGGGATCAGATGCGCATCGTCGCTATTAACTGGCAAAAACTGAGGGATCACCGCGTTATGATGCAACTCTCGTTGAAGCACAAGCTGTGTGGCGAGTGGCACGTCATAAAGCTTCTTTTATTCGGATTTTCAGGCACAACGCGGCACAGGATCGACCAGACCAAACAACTCAACCACTGTATGACGGGCCAAAACGGGGTGTGGGCTCCTGTTAAGCTTCCGGCTTGTCGATGTTAAGAAGCTCTGGGGGATCCTCACCTAAAACGCACTCGGTTCCTTTCCCACGCTAGCGAATACTACAGCCGGCGCTATTGCTTACTATCAAGACGTAGCACGGCCCGTAACCAGGAAGCCCCAGGAATGAGCGCTCCGAGTCTGGACTGTTGTCTATTTGGTTACCAGGGGCGCTTCTGTTCATCCTGCCAAGACCCCATCTCATCCCTCCTCCCATCTTCCGATCTCCCTGGTCTCACTCCCTCGTTTCTCTTCCTTTGGCTTCATCCTTTGTTTCGACCGCGGCGCCCGTTGTTACACATCGTGACTTCCTGAGTGGGGAAGTCTGTGGGCTCCATCGGGCAGACACGAGAAAATGTCAAGCTTCAATTCAAATGTCGCGCTCGCGAGGTCAGCACCTCCATGCTCACCACACACAATGAACCTCAACACCACGTTCCCGCTTAGCACAATTTCCATTTCCTCCACCATGTCACTCTGCGGCCGCTCTCTTGTGCCCTCTCAATGGTACGAAATGGTTTGCTTGAGCGCACCTTGAAAGAATACATACTGTAGGTACACCCTTCTCAGCTTTCTCTCCCTAGCTCAGGTGCCTAGCAACCGCCGCTTCTCCGGAATTGGGTCTGGATCCCGGTCTAGTCCCGTTGTGTCAGCAACTGTCAACACACTAGCTACTGCGGCCATTGCTCATGGGACATGGGACATTGGACGGTATCATGGCCGGGGTTTTTCTCTCTCACGGTCTGATCCCCTCATCCCAGACTCACAGGTTGTGACCACGCACGGTACTAGGCACCTGCGTTGGTGATGGGCTGGATGGTCCTCTTTTCTCAGGTTTTTCACCTTCTTTTTTTCTTCCCTTACCCGCTTTTTCTAACACGGACGCACTGTACGTGACATAACACCATCATGGCCGCCACAGTCATCACTAGCTCTGTCTAACCAAGATGAGGTGACAACGGATCAAGGCTGATCGGGCAAAACCATCGTGAGGTTTCCCGTCCCCGGTCCCCATCAACTCGGCCTTCCCTCCTGCTTCCCAATATATCCTACCGTCTCCCTGTGTCGCTTTGTTCGGGCCCCTTCAACCTCTACTTCGAGTGAACGTTACCCAACCCTCCACTTCACCCTCCCCCATAGTATCACATACCGTCCCGGTGATACGACCCGGGCGTGGTCTGACTTTAGCCTGTCCGTCCCCAGCATCACAGATCCTCCGATACCTGACTGCTCAAGAACACCCGACTTGTTCAGTCACACAGCAATATCAACTACAAGTGTTACCGGTATTCATCCGGACCGTGGATCGGTTTCTCCTCACCTCGACCACGACCCATCCCTTGTTTGGTGCCTGACAGTCGCCTTTGTCTCCAACTCTTTGTTGACGGATCAGCCGGGATATCAAAGAGACGACACGACTTCGATTTCGGGAGGCCATTTACATCCCCCTAGTCCCCCGAGTCCAACGGCTGGACATTGGCGCCAATACATATCTCGACGACATTATACGAGTAGCAACTCAAACCACGTCGATCACTCTCACTCCCCAAAGCTCAGCATGATTATCCCATCATTGAAGACCCTTTTGATGGGTGAGTGTCTCCATCCCCTCCAAGTCTGTCATGAGCCATCCCACTGATATTCTATTTTCAGCCTTGGCCACCCCCTTGGCTAACCAGGGCATAACAACCGACAACGTTGGCAATGGCGGCAAGACGGTTGCTGCCCTCAGCAACGGGGTTGCCCTTCGCATCATGCCCCTTGGTGCCTCCATCACATACGGCCAGGCATCTACCGACGGCAACGGCTACCGTAGTTCTCTGCGTGATGCCATCGCCAAGCTCGGTAACCAAGTGAACATGGTTGGTTCGCGTCAGCACGGAAGCATGAAGGACAACGAAGTTGAGGGCTGGCCGGGTTACAAGATCCACGAGGTCCACGCAAAAGCCCGCACCGCGGTACCCGCCTACAAGCCCAACGTGGTCCTCATCAACGCCGGCACCAACGACGCAACAGGGAACGTCAACCTTTCCACGGCAGGCGATAAGATGGGCGCCATGATTGACGAAGTCTTCGCCGCCAGCCCGCGCGCCGTGGTTATCCTTAGCACGCTCATAATCAACACAGTACCCGCTACCGAGGCGCGCGTTGCGATCATCAACGACCAGTTCAGGGGGTTGGCGAAGCGGATGAGGGACGCCGGCAAGCGAGTGATTCTAGTGGACATGCACGACGCCTCCAAGGGGCCGATCCCATCCGACATGTTCGATACCACCCACCCTACCGACGTCGGGTATCGCAAGATGGCCAACATCTGGTACCAGGGTATCGTGGAGGCTAGCAGCCTCAAATGGATTCAGGCGCCCGAACCCGTTGGCAGCGTGCCGGATAGCGGAGTGGCTATGGCGACGGAGGTGAAGAAGAAGGTTGGGAAGCGCGTGGAGGTGTTTGAGGCGTGACACCATCACTCCCGAAGGGAAAGAAAAGGAAATAAAAAGGACGAGAAACCCATATTCGAATGGGGCAGGTTTGCATGGCTGGCGGAGCCTGGTGTTACGGAGCGATTCCTTCGCGATTCTTCTTTGTTCATGTTTTATGGTTTTGACGTTATACCCCTTTTGTGTTTTGTTCTCGGCGCAGGCGGGATGAATAGCGGGCCTTTTGGGATGGCTTGGTGTTGACAGCGACAAGAGGGAATATAAAATGGAGGATGCTTGTTTTTGGAGATAATGGCGTTTCTGGATGACTTGATGGATGAGTTTCAGTATTATATATATATATATATATGACAAGGAAAAGAGCGAACGATAGAAGAAGATTACACACTACCTCGTTTGCCTCCGTCGAAGGTGATGTGAAAGTGAGGTGCAATAATACCATCTGAGGATCCATCGTTGCGACTCTCCCGTGAAGTTCTTGAGGGTCGAGCCCCAACCTAATGACCTTCTCACATCTCAACGTTGGTTGTGTCAGAGATTCCCGGGAAGTCCATAGCCGTGCTGCGAGGCTCTTAGGAAGGCTCGATGCTCTCCATCGCTCCTTCCTCTATACCCTCCGATCGCCAGTCTGGGCAAGGTGCGCCTCGAAGGTCTGGTTTGCAACTTCCTAAACAAATAATGCCGTCATCCGGTTCATACTGAGCCCAACAAGAGCATCAAACTCCGTCTACCGAATGAATATCGCAAGGAACCCGACGCTCGCCAAAAAGTTCCGAGTCCAGGCAGCGGGGCTGGATCAATTCCATGGTGCCGTCTAACACTCGCAAATTTGGCGTTTTTGCTTCGCTGTCTTCTGACAAACATCGCATTAGACGCAATTGGTGTATCTGGAGTTGTAAGCGTGATGATGTTTCCCGATCGTTCTGCATGGGAAAGGCCGTTCGATGTAGTTAAGTTTGGTTTGATTGGTAGCGGTGAAGATCCGCGATTCGTAACCCGTGATCTCGTCCCGATGCGAGGATTACGGAAAGCGCATGTAGTTGCGGTCCATGTGTGTTGATCAAGAGAAATGCGTGTAGATTAGGAATGTCGTAGATGGCAAGACGAAAGTTTTTGCTAGAAAAAGAAAAGAGAAAGGGAGAGTCGTTCAGCTCACCTTTAAGCTTTTTACAGAGAGAAACGAAATAAGAATCAAAAATCTCAAGCTTTTGCAACCTGGAAAGCCATGTGCCATGTGCCGTTTAAGTGTACTTTTTACCATGTGTGCGTCACTTTGCATCGATACCGTTCGATACCGTTCGATTGGCTGGGTCGGGATCTTTTTTTGATGTGTAGTGTAGGTACATATGAGGTAGTGTAGGAGTCGGAAAGCTTGGTGGTGTCTTGGTACTATCTTGACTTCCATTGCGAGGTGCTTCGCTCCGTGCCAGCATCCGATATCCGATATCCGATATCCGATGCGATCCGCTCGTGCCGGTCTAGACTACCTATTGGAAACCTTCTCAGAAACATGGATCTTTTACTGTATGAAGCTCCCTCTACCGATAGTGTGGTTATTCGGGTCTTTTTTTCTTTTGAAAGGATGTAGCCGTCTTAGCTTTTGTTTTGTTTGTTGGATGACTGACCGACTACCTACTCAACTACGTACCTGCTATGTTTGAGTGCACGGGGCATACATGACTGTTCCCGTCAAGGAATAATAAGAAGAAAAAAACCGAACATTGAACGCTGGGAGACCCAACTGTTGCAGCTCTCAATATTGTCTCAAGACTCATACCGTATATGTACTAGCAATGTGTATCAAGCTCACTGATGTTCCATTAAAAAGAATGGTCTCCGTGATGTCGATGATGGGGAGTACTCTAGCGCTGTCAACTTCCCTACCTCTACATTTATTTAAGTCACAACCAGCTACGATCTTTCACCGAAGGAATTGAAGTCAAAATAAACCAGCTGAAAGAAAGTGAGTGTGTGAGACTGTCATGTGGCAAGCCCCTACCTACCCACTCGCGACCACGATCACTGATACACTACTCAAGGTACACTCCACAAGACATCGAGTCGTGAAACGTACCACAGCCGGATTCCAGTCACCCAAGACTTCTTTCCATTTTCGTCTTTCCTTCCAGTCACTTACCATCAAAGTTAAGTCATACCGACAACCATCACCATCATAGAAGGGTCTTTTTCTTCTTCTTCTTCTTCTTCTTCTTTTTCTTCTTCTTCTTCTCGACGCACATGTCCTGGTATCGTATCGCCCACCTCACACTGATGACACGCCTTGTATACATAGGTAGGTAGCTCTTCTTCCCCTCCTTGACCGTCCGGTCAAACCCTGGACCCTCTATTTAGAGGTACTTTGGTACAAAGGGATCCCCCTCTGTTGTACTCCCGGAATAAGGTAGGGGGGAATTGAAACCATGTTATCTAAGAATGAGGAGTGAGCAAGGGCAAAGTGCATTCATTCTAAAAAGACTCTACGTAAGAGACAAAGCATGGAGAACTTGAATGGTGACACAAACACCTATCTATGGTAGGAGGCGTTTGGGCACACATGATGGTTCGAGTTGTTGGTTATTAAAACACACAGCCAAACTTTCGTTCACGTGTCTAGATGAATGAAAACGCGGGAAATAGTCTGTCATTTGAGGCTACAAACATACCTTAATTTGAAGACAACTAAACTGATGTGAAAACTCAACATCGAGTCATCGACACACTCGTCCACGGTACTGAAACTAGTAGGTGGGTCATTCCTGAGTTCACATGGCATAGAACGGGAACCTTACGTACGTATAACAACTGCCTCTCTCAAAAAGTCATGATCACGCCGCGCATCAAGAACCAAAAGAAAGAAAGGAAAGGAGAAAAAGAAGACAAGAGAGAAGTATCATGAACTATGATAACACCAAAAAAGGAAACTTGGACGAGCTGGGAATCGAACCCAGGACCTTTCGCATACAGATCAGTATGCTAAGCGAACGCTCTACCAACTGAGCCACACGCCCGTGAACTGAAAGTGGCGGCGACGGATGGAGCTTATGAGGCAAACTGAGGAACAGGAAAACAAACCAAACTGGGTGTCCGGATTAGTGATTTTTGGGCTTGCTGAATTAGAACAAGAAGCCCAGAGGGACCAGCTACACTAGATACCGAAGACTGAACAGTGATGGGGTATGATTTTGAGTGGAGACAATATTGAACACGGAGAAAGAGAGTTGAAGAAGATCAAGTGAGTGATTGTAATGAGTTTTTTTTCAATTTCTTCGTCTCCTAGTGTGTTGAAACGAGGGTATCATAAATCACAAAAATATAAATACCGAAAAAGAGCATTGGTCCAAAGCGGTGACCCAGAAAACACGTCCAACCTCCTCATACCTAACCAACGCCAACCTGCTCGTTGTGAGACAAACCAAGAGCAAAATGAATCTGTAAAGGGAGAAAAGAAAAAAAAGTCCAACGCCTTAGCCCACCCCCAACGCTTATCCATGCAACGCTTCTCCCCCGAAATTTTCGACAAAAATGATGATGATGAGAGCGTCCTAAAAAGAACGTCTGAAGCAAATATGAGAGCAATGAAATTGGTAGTCGTGACAGACGTGGTGAATGAGTTTCGATGCCGAGAAAGTAGTCGATATTCCGAGCAATGACGTCGGTGTTGAGGGACGGTAGAATTGCCGAAGACACTTGACCATCCAATCGAGAGCAGTCGATATCAACTGCTCTTAACCATCTTAATAAGAGTCGTTAACGACGAACTCGGAGTCGACGGTGTCATCACTCGAGAAACTAGCTTGACTAGAGGCGTCGAAACAAAACTGTTAGCTGAGCCCATCCAACCAAGATACCACACCTTCATCAAAGGTACCGAGACAAGAAGTCGAACTTACGATAACTGACTCCACCCCTTCTTCGAACTCGCCCTCGCAATGGACTCCTCAGCAGCAACAACATGCGGCAACCACGGCTCGGCGCCCGCCTCCCAGACCCTCCAGGCCGCCTCCTGGACTTTAGCCGAATCGGTCAAGTCGTCCACAGCGGGGTCGTTGCGGAAGTACAGGAAGATGCGGCCGAATTGGTCGTAAATAGCCTGTAGCGTCGGCTTCTCGCACTTGCATTCGACGTTCTTGACGAGGATCGAGAGGACGCTGTGCACCTCCGAGCACGTGTTGCAGACCCAGTTGCAAGGGAACGAGTGCGGGATCACTTCCCTTCCGCGTGAGTCGAGCTGGGGACAGTCGGTGCAGTAGCCGTGGGTGCAATTTTCGGAAATGCACTGCTGGTCGTGAGATGAGCCTTCTTCGTTGCATCTGCAGCAAGCTCGAGAACGCGCGGTGAAGAAGCTGGTGGGCTTGATATGGCTTGCTGGCATTGGGGCAGCCTCAACGGGCGTGGGCTTTTCCATTGTTTGAGCCATGATGATTCGGGGTAGGTGGGCGATGATGTATGATAAATTCACTTGCGGGTGGGATCGTTGTCCGAGCAGCGATGTGGACGATGTCGTGTTTTGAGGAAGTTGGAAGAAGAGCAGCGGAATTTGCCAGGTCCGGGATAAATAGCTGAGCCGATGTTGTTTGCCGTGGGAACCGTTGAAGGTTTTGTTTGACAAGCTCAAGGTGAAGGGTGTCTACCGATTAGGTGGGTGATGCTGAGAGCTGGACAAGGTTCCAAAGGGGGTGGTTAACAAGGTTCGTGGTTGCCAAGGGATAGTAATGCGTGGGGTGTCGAGGTTGCAATGGTCGCTGTTGAGAGCTTTATCCAAAGACGGCAAGTAAGACGGGTAACACAGGTATGTATAAGAGAAAACAACTTGGAGCAACGTCGACGAGCCATGACGGGGGAGGGGCGACACTTTGTTCTCAAGAGATTTTATATCACCGATGGAGTCGAGCAATTGGCCGAGGCAGATCCGGCCGGCGGAGTGCTGTTGTCACTGAGATGCAAGATTGGAGGCGCCCCCAGTTGCCCAAGTCTACCAAGCAGAGCCCAGCATGCCAAAGCCTAGCTGCACCCACTGAGGTGCGTCAGTCCCACCTGTTAGGGCGGCGATCCGCAGCGATGCTATCCTGACCCCAGAAGCTAAGATGCGATTTGGCGATACAGAGTCGCCCTGAAACGACCCTTTGCATTCTTCCACCACATCGCAATCTTCTGTTGAGAAGCTGCAAGGTAGTCACATGAGCATCAAAAACTGGTTCCCCCGGTTTGACAAGGACGCCATGGATCTGTGCTCATAACCCTTGAACCTCTCACACCTCTTACGCCTCTCACTTCAACACCCATCATAAGTGGCAGACTGGCTGTATGCCTACAGTATGCGGACTTCCCCTATCGAGGTCCGGGCGTGATGGGTACCTATCGTCAGTCCTGAAAAAAGATGGATGATTTCCTGTATGAATGACATCGGATGGGTACTGCCCACGCATGCCAGATATGGCAGCCCTTTGAGGTATCAGTCCGGCTGCATCGATCCGGCTGCAGCCATTAGCTCAAATCTGGTAAGCTAAATGTAGAACTTCACCGCAATCCTTTTTGCAGATGCTCTTTCATCACAGGCGCATATGGCGGCACTTGCCATGGCGATATCATCTCAGCCTCTCACACTTTGAGATGTGTCTGATGAAATGTCCGAATCCGGGATGATAAGGACACAGCGTCGCGATATCAAAAATCACACAAAGGCCAAGCGTAATAGCTGAGAACGTAGTGTGGTGTACTTATGTCGAAGAGACCCCCAACTTTGAACCAAACTTGTGTCATGATCGGCGCTCCCAAGGCGAGCAGAGGAACAAAGGCCGAACTCCAGCTTCGGAGGGTCCCCACTCGATGGGCCTAAGAATTCCGGGGCCGTGACGGGGTGTCTGCATCAGCAAAACTCCGGATGCATGCACGCAAGACAACTCCATCGGAGATTGACACGTTCAGACTTGACCAAAACGGGTTGAAGATAATGACGATAAAATGGATGAATCCTGACCACCGCAGCTTGCGCAGGCGTACCAAGTCCAAGGTTTGGTCTGTTGTTTTACACTAGTGGTGTTCTGATATTGGTGTCGAGGTGGATTTGCCACTGGATTTGACCGTCATCGACCAAAGATAAAAAGGACAGTTGTGTTTGACGGCAAGGCGTCGAACCGACGTTTGCTCGGTTTGATTGCTTCAAAGTGGAGAGGAAAGAGATTTGGCACGAAAAGTTGTTGGGAATCTTGGCTTGACGTTTTCGCGGATTGTTGTTGAGGAAATGGGCCGGGAAACGAGAAAAAGGATTGCAAAGCATGTGAGGGGAAAAAAGGACCCAGGCCCCTTGCTCCACTATTCATGCTTAAATGTTCGCTAGTGATAGGCGGCGACCACAGCGGCAGGGCTGCCCGACAAAACCCCACACAGCGAAGCGAATCATCTCCACAACTGCCCGCTGTGCCTCCAATATCCCCATAGTTCCGTTGACACATGCCGTCGTGGAGTGCGGGGACAGGTGGAAAGCCTCAACGTCAACCTTCATTCACAGTTACAGTTCCGTACATCCAACATTGGCACTGCATTTTGAAAGTGCGGTCGGAGACGTTCAAATACCACACGGGACGAACTCGACTCCTGACTTGGCGTTCGTCTCAACCCAAGAGAATCACGGTCTTTGATATCTTCAGGGCGCAACCCCTTGAGACGGCCCGCGCGTTAAGCTTATCTCAAATAAGCCTCCTTGAGATCCGTGACACTTGCGATCCAGAATGCCAAAGCTTGTTACATTCCCTTCAAATAGGGGTCACTTCGAGGCTATAGCCAGAACTAGGAGGACAAGACAAGTAGCGTGGTATAAGCATGAAATAGATCTTGACGCCCTCGGTAGCTACCTCGGTTCCGGGACTACATACCACAAAAGACGAGATACACAAGGAGCCAAGATGTCGCAGAATATTTCCAACCTCTTCCCACAGGCACCATGCCGTTTCATACTCGACGATCAGGGGAATTTCCTTCTTGAGCCTCTCAGTAGCTCCTCATATAATAAAGACGATCATGATCACTTTCCCTGACAATCTCTCGTCCATCCTTCGACATTTCCACCTTGAACTAATTCCCACGCCTCGCTGAGCTGTGCTCGCATATCCTTCCATTCCGGGTCCGGTCAACCCTCATACTAATCTACATCAACCACTTTTTCCAATCCACGAAAGCGAACACCGCAACAACAACTATCAACTACTCCCCACAACCCGAGAGATTAGCCAGCGAACCTTCACAATGCACACTACCCGCTTATTCCTTTCCCTCTTCCTCACGATACTCACCCTCACCGTCACCGCCCTCCCCTTGAACATCAACTTGGGCGCCTACTCTCCTGCCATGGTAGTCGGTGATGGAGCCATTTCGTTCGAGGACGTTAAAGAAGAGGGAGCGGAAGCGGGAGTGGGCGAAGGTGCAAAGGCGGAGAATCTGATACAGACTCTTCAATGAGGAGGGTCAGCTTCGAGGGGAATAATGACCGAGGTAAGATGTATCATTTTCCCAGAAGATCATGCGCGACGCTTACATGGTTTTGATGTAGTGATCATGTCTCGGACTATATTTCCAAGAAACGAATAACGAAACGTCGGAATAGGTAACATCGCAGGAAGGGTCGGGATCACGGGCATGGAATAATGTGAGCAGGAACTCGCTACGCGTTATCTTAAATCATGTTGGACAATGAATACCTACAAACAGCAATGGTAGACCGTTACGGAACATATCGTCATCATCAGCATCAGTACGCCTTTCCAAGGTAAGGACAGCACCATGGAATACAACAACCGGCATGATGAATTCGAACTTATTTTTTAATGTCGACTTCTTGCCTCCCTGGGGCATGAGACAGTCGCGAATGAACTTGTGTTCTCGAGTCTAGCTATGCTCGACATATGCTGCGCGTGTCTACTTATTACATAAAATCTGTGTGGTTTAAGATAAGAATCATAAGATACAACCAAACGCTCGCTTGCTCAAATGAATCCCTGTAGCCGTCGTCATGCAAGTGACCAAAAACCACTGACAAATCAGTACTCATCATCATCCTCCACTTCATCGTCGTCGGCGAAGGGGTTAATCTCTTCTTCGCCGCCCTCGTCGTAGTCATCGTATCCACCCTCGTTCTCATTATAATCCTCCTCATATTCCTCTTCCGCTGGTGCCTCTTCAACCTCATCTTCCGCTGGTTCCTCTTCAGCCTCAACGGCCACAGCGGCTGCGCCACCAGAACTGCCCTCCTCGTTGCTGCGGTCTTCAATGGCATCGCCAGCCTCACTAGCCAGCTCGTTGTCCGCCTCTCTGCTTCCCGGCCCTTGCTCATTGAAGTCCAAGTCAAAGATCTGCCCAAGCTTGGAGTAATCGAGCTTGGTACTGATGCCGCGGTTGCGCATCATGGTGACGGCCGCCTCCTCGGCTGTTTCAGGTACGCCGTTGTCCTCGTGGACCCGGTTCTTCTTGTTCTTGCGCTTGTTGGGGCCCTTGTTCTTCTCGGCCAGCTTCTGGTCAAACACCCTCTGTTGCTTAGATCGGAGGAAGTCCACGTGAATGTTGACCCAGATCTGCTCCTTCATCTTGGCCTCGACCTCGCCTAGGCGACAGTACTTGACTTCGGGATCGTCGGCGAACTCGTGTTCATGCACGATGGGGTCATCCAATGCTTTATTCAAGACGTACTGGGGGCGGGTATACGGCATCGAGGATGACAGGTTGGGGCGGTCTGTGACCGGTTCTTGCTGGCGCTCTTCACGAGCAGGAGCATCTGCCATGACGGTGTCGGTTTTGTTGGTGTTTGGCTGCTCGGAACTGTTAGGCGTAGGAGTGGGGTTGGCAGCAGAGTCGGAGGTAGTAGCAGGAGTAGGGGTAGGGGCAGGTGTAGCGGTAGAAGAAGGAGCAGGGGCTGAAGAAGTAGAGGCAGAAGCCGTGGGTTGTTGCTTCATCTTTTGCCTTTGCGCCAGAATTCTCCTCTTCCGAGCCTCTTCCGCCTTCTCCTTCTTAGAACGACTGTCTTCGGCCTGAGCGGCATTGAGAAACTTGGGATCGTGGAGATGACCTTCCATTTCTTTCTCCAGAAGAGCCTCATCAGTTTGCCATTCCTGAGTGATGGGCATCGTGATCTTCCTGAGCTTCCTTGCTCCCCTCTTCTTTTTCTCGCCCTTCTTTCCCGCTGTTTCGCCATTGCTGGTTGAGGCTCCAGAAGTCGCAATGTCAACACCTTGAGCCTTGGCGAAGGCGACCTCGCTGCTGGGATCAACCTCATCCTCATCATCGTCGGAATCAGAATCGGAGTCGGAGTCGTCTTCATCCTCTTCCTCCTTATCAAGTTCACCGTACTCCTCGACCAAGGTGTTCAATTGCTGCTCCTCACCACTAACGGCAGTAACAATAAGAGCCTCAGTCTCAACCTCGGGATCACTGTCTCCTTCTTGTCGCGGAACTGGAGGGACAACGAAGCCATCTTTGTCGACAGTCGGGGGCGCAGCGGAGGATCCATCGTTAGCCCGCATCTTCTTAGCCCCCTTGTTCTTGCCATCTCTAGCCTCCTTTCTCTTCCTCTTTTTGGGGCGGGTGTGCTTGGCCTTCCACTCGTCTGTTTGCTTGTAGACAAAGGGGGGATCGTGTGCTGGACCCGCTTCCAAGGGGTCCTTGTTGTGGAAGTCTTGTACAGTCAACTGGGCAGCAGGCACGCTGGCGAACTCGTCCATACGCTCCTGAATGGTGGCCATTGTGACTTTGACAATGTAGACAACCTCTCTGACAGTACGGCGATAGTTGTGAGCTCTGGCAGCCATGATGAGAGCAGCACCGCAGATACCAGCAGGCCTACGACCATGGGTGATGTTGTCGTGTTGCATGCGCTTTGCAATACGGACAGCAGACAGAGCGACCTTGTTAGTGTCGTGCAGAAACTCCAGCTTGGAAGCAAAACGGTAAATGAGATCCTCGATTACGATAGGACGAGGGCCTGTGAGAAATTCCGGAAACCGGGTGAGAAAGTCCTTGTAGCCACGACCCAGAGCAAAAACGTCGACCTTGAGGAGATCAGCCAAGTCAATGAGCATGATCTTGTGGTTATTTTCGCCCTGCAAGCGGCGTACAAGCAGATGGCGGCCACATTTTGCTTACGGCGACCCTGGACGAAGTTGGCGTGTGAGCAGGCTTTGTAGTAGCGGAAGGCAATGTCGCTGATGCTCTGTCCGATTCTGAGCTGGTAAGAGTACTGTTGCATCATGGCCTTGACCTCGCGAAGACTACGTTCACGGGCCTCAGAAGCACCACCGCCAGCGACACGGCGGAATGCAAGACCACCAACGCCGCGGATACCGCCTTGATCAAAGGCGACATGGGTACCGTGAACGACAGCGGCACCTGAAGAAGATTCACCAAAAGTGATTTCGGAGACAATGTTGCTGTCATCAGCGACCATACCGCAGGTCTGGCAGGTTCCGTCGACGACATGGGGCTTTGGACACTTCGGGTTGGCGCACTTGGGTCGGTTAGGCTTAGGCGGTGCTGCTGTAGGTGTGGTGCCATTGCTGGCTCCTCCGTTAGACGCTATAGAAGCCTCCCTGACCCGGCGCTCGCGGCTCTCTTCACGCTCCATGATGCGGCGCACGGCATTTGGCCGCTTGGGCTTTGGCTTTGACGACATGATTGCTGGTTTGCTGTCTCACTGTTGCTGTTTGCCTGTCTGTTGCCGTCTTTCTGTGATGCTGTCTATCTCACAAAAAGGATATCCAAGCAAGGGCACCGACGTTGAGAGCAAAAAGGAAAATGTAGGCAAGGAAAAGGCTGGTGGTTGATGGGAGGTGCGATGTTGGCTGGGAGTGTTGCTGTGTTGAAGTTGTGAGCGTGGGCTGAAAGCGACGCGTTGTTGAATCTCAAAGTTCAGTATAGTGGGGCGCTGGTCTCGTCACCCACCTGGAAAGCTTTCAGGGAGGGGGACGATCCAGGAGATGAGCAATTGAGAGAATCGAGAGAAAAGTGAGGTTGTTGATGTTGACATATATCCAGCCCCTTTTAGGAGTATCCAGGGGTGATGAAAGGGGTGTAAGACGATTGGTGAGAAGATGGGCTAGTTCCTGGACCGGGTGGTGATACTGGTGACGGAGAAAGTTGCGAGGTCGAAATGAAATGAGCGGTTTGAAAAAGTTGTGTCCTGGTGGTCGAGCGGGGTGTGATGCAGACTCAAAACTCGCAAACGCACTGACTGCAAATAGGTTCGTGCCCGGTGGGTCCCGCGAGCGAGAGGGCGTGAGTTCGATTTGAGGATTTGTTCAAATCTTTTTCCCATTCACTTGCACTTTTTCACTGTGCTGTCATCCGAACTTCACATCGCTATTCACACTTGTCTCACTCGTTCTTCGCTTGTGATGTTGACTCACATATCGCTTTTCTTAAGGTCCATCCTTGCTACAGATTTGAGTTCAAGAAGAGCGGTCCTGCAAAATGATCGCTATAGTTCTCTGCAGTGTTCTTGCCCCCGCTGCCCACTGTATCAGAAACGGGAAGCAACAAACCAGGGAGAGAGAGGACAGGAGCATCCAAGATTAATTTGTAGATGGCACCAATGGCTGTGAATTACGGTTTGGTGCCTTGCGACTTCCTGACCGCGAGAGCTCTTACCCGGAAGGATATGTGGGAAATAAATGAAACGGACTTTCGCAGTCCTTCTGCGTGCGAGGATTGCATTTGTTTATCCCACGATCTTCCCAGCTGGATGCGAAGGAGGAAGAGCATTGTACACAATATCAACCGCAAAGGGCATTCATCATTGCCCGACAGGAGCCTGACTTTCTGGACCTCCGACCGAACTTTAAGTTCTCCCGAAGTTCTCCCATAGTCTTGGGATAACCGGGCCGCTGTACCTTCTTCTTACTTCTTCCCCTCGTTCTTCGAATGTTTGTGTGGACAGAAACACGAGATGTACGAAAAGCCAAGCAAAACACATATACCAATAATACCGGATGTTTCATGCACGGGAGTAGCTGAACCAAGGTGAACTCGTGAGGCCCCTCATTGTAACCTAGCCGAGCCAACGTTACTCCTATCATTATCGTACGCCATCACTGTCGGTTGATCTCCGGGTCCTGGTTTCTAAACAAAACACGATGCCCCCCATCATCTAGAAACATCTTACATGATTGAAAATGTGAAACCAGCATCAATATACTCTAGACACCTTTGCCATTGCCTTACCTTCAGGTATAAAAGAGTCCACATATCTCGACCAGAGGAAATGACACCGAAGCCAACAAGCTCTCACGCCAAGTACTGCTTCCCATCACCTCATCACCCAAGCAAAATGTCCACCAACACCAACACAGACATCTTCACCATCCACGCCGTCCCCGGCACCGATATCTGGCGTAAGCCACCCACGACCAACATCTACAACGGTATAACATCTAACCTCCCTTTTCGTACAATCATTTGATCACTAACCACCCCTTTTTGAAAAACAAAAAGCCCCAACAGCCGCACCCCGGACCACCCGCTCCCGCGGCCCTTTATCTTCCTTCCTCTCCGCCCGCGCCTCCTTCTCCTTTCCCTGGCGCGAACGCTACGACCAAGCCGGTATCTTGCTTGCCTTCCGCCCTCGCTCATCTTCCTTCCCATCGGAGACGAAAGAGGAAATCCCACAAAAATGGATAAAAACCGGCATCGAATTCTACCAATCCGCGCCTCAATTCAGCACGGTGGCCACGGATAATTGGGCCGATTGGAGCGTTACCCCCCTTACTTCTCCAACCGACTGGACGACTATTTTGGTAGAAAAATCAGGGGACAAGCATGGAAAGAGTCTTTGGGTCTATCGAGTGGTTTTGGATGAGAAGACGGGCGAGGAGAAGGAAAGGATTGCGTTGAGGGAGATTTGTTGGGTTTATGGATTGGACGGGGAGGCGTGGGATTTGGAGGTGGTGGCTATGGCGGCTAGGCCCGAGAAGAATGCGGAGGGGGGCGAGGAGTTGGTGGTGAAGGTGAGGGGGTGGGAGGTTAAGTGGGAGGAGGAGTAGGCTTGATAGGATGGATGGGGTTGATCTAAAGCGATTGTCACTGTCAATTGCGACTTTTGGCGAGCAGGGACGGGAAAACAGTTTGGGAGGTGGTTAAGGTTTTTCCATTACATAGTCCTCCAAGCGAGGAGAGTGCCTGCCAGCTAGCTAAGGCAGCTATGGAATTTAAGTATTACCATTGTCCTTCACTAGCTGTGTTCATCATATTCAGCATAAGAGTCATTCATAACATCATAAAGTTATCGTGGCCAGTCCACTAATCAAAGCGACCGGCCCGCGCCAATGAGTTTGTGGGTGAGTGACTCCTTACTCTGTGCAGCTAACAAGCCTCTCCCATATGATTTTCAAATTATCCAAGCCAGCCAACCATGCAGGCTGCCATTTCGTTTCGAAACGCTATTTGATCACCCAACCAGGGGATTCATCCATAAGGTACGTGTGTGTTGTGTCATCGTCTGTCCGTCCGAGCGATAAGACAAAAGGAAAAAAGAAGGATTGAGTTGCGAGCGCCCTATACGCATATGTCGGAGAATAAAAAAAGCAAGTTAATGCCTCCCCGATCGTTTGGTATCAGTCTGAGTTGCGTTTGTATGTCCGTTGTCCGTTTTTGTAAGCCAGGAAAGCCAGTGTTTGTTGCTGTTTGCAACACGATTAAGGGAATGACCAAAGCATCCTCCCTCAAAGGTTGTCGTAGTCGTCGTTCAATGTCGTTTCCGAACTCCGTCAATTGATCGAAAAAGAACGCATAAGCCAAAACAAAAGGCAAAAGAATTATGGTTGGGTATCGTCGTGAGATGAAGAAAGTAACTGAGGCCCCCGCGTCGCCGCATTGCTCAATTCAATGACGTCGTCGAGGTGGTTACACATGGCAACGAACAGGTCGAAGAACAGCTTTCCGCTGCCCTGCCCGTACAGATTACTGCTGCCGGCCTTCTCCATCTCGGCCTGCATGGTGCCGCTGCGCTTGAAGGTCTTGCGGCACCGGATGATGAGTGCCAGGTAATGGGCGCGCAGGCGGCTGTCGGAGTCGGGCGTGTGCGCGTAGCAGTACTGCGCGCTGCGAAGGATGGTGCTGACGTCGATACCAGTCTGCAATCCTTGTTTTCGCAGCGCCAGCTTCTTGAGTTCCTCCAGCCCGTAGCGCTCCGCGGCGCAATAGACCACCGTGTCGCGAAGCAGATATTGGTTGAGGCTGGAGAGAAACACAGTCGGCTCGACAGACGGAGAGGGGCCCTGGCCTGCGCGGCCACCTCCGCGTTGTTGTGGTGAGTTGTTGCCGGTCGGGGGTATGAGGGGTGCGGCCCGACTGGCGGCGGGGATAGAGAGAGAGTCCTCGAGCTCCCAAGAGTCCTGCTGCTGGTTGTATAGCAGGCGAGGGTAGTAGTCGCCCTTGTAGAGATATTCGAGGATGGCGCTAAAGACCTCCGGCTCCTCATCTTCGAGCAAGATCCTCTTGGGTTGCGCACTTTGATTCCTGCCGCGTAGCATCCTTTCGAACAGAGCAGCCTGGCACAGGATATCCTCATGCGCAGCAAACAGTCGCCCTTCGCTGCCCACGGTGATGGTAATAATGGGGGCAGGGGTGATGACGAGTGGCTCCTTGGCAGGCTTCGCTTGTGTTGACTGTTGTTCTTTGTGCGAAGAGTGCTCGCCTGTGAGCGACTGCTTGAGATTCGACAGCTTCTGGAGATCCCGTTTCGATTTCTTGGTGAGTCTTGCAGACTTGTCCACCCGATGTTGCGAATCCGTACTGGTTGATTTTTGGGCAGGCTCCCTCTGAGAACTGCCCGCATCGCGAGATCGGAACGAGCGCTTGAACATGGTGGCTGTCTTGGGGAAGATGAATCGGAGAATTGCGACGGTGTTGACGGGATATCCAGGAGAAAGCTGTCAAGAGAGCGACAAAAACAGACGAAGGACCAGAAAAAAGAAAAAGAAGGGTGGAAGGAAGGGGAAGCACATAAGAAGAATTGACAGGGCCCGGGCGGTGCTATCTCTACAGAATAAACCTCGAGACAACACCAGCAAACACTTTGCAGCCCTTTGGTTGTGTGTTGGGGGGAGATGGGGGGACAGGGAGCAAGAACCAGGAAAGGAAGTGTGGTAAGGGAGGGAGGGGTTGATGATTTATACCTACCGTTGACAGCCTCACGGGCCAATGTGAAGGCGTGATGCCGGACTGATGGGAAGCGAACAAAAGCAGGGCGGGGACGGCGATTGTTTGGTTGTATCGACAGGGGTCATGTTAAACATGCAACAAAAATTGCCAAACCCAGAACCATCAGGATCGTGAATCGTTATCCAGAAACAGGGGGCCATGTTCTGGAAATCGACTTATCGTCCATTCACCGCGCTCAGACGACGTGCGGTTGGTTGCACTGACTGCACGTTGCAGCCTGCCTTGGTGCATGCTGAGGGTGTGTACGATGGCGCTTCCGGTGATGGTTGCATGTTTCGACTTCTTCCTCGACCTCTGCGGTATGGCGTAGGCCGTTTGCTATGCCTTGCGATGGATTTGTGAGATAGAACCAGTGGTGAAATCGGAAGTTCGTCGATGAATGATGAGCTGTCCATCGACGTCAACAGACGAGGGGGCCTCCGTCTGCCCTGGCCTGAGCTTGAATGGTTCATCCAATGACCGGAGAGGATTATTCTGTCCAATACCCCCTAAACAGGCACTGCATAGCAATCGCGCAGCACCACCTCAGTACTTGGTCACTCTAAGTCTTCCCGGATCTCCATTGAGATTAAGGCCCACCTTGTATCCGTGGTTTGAATTTGGACGTGTCAACGTTTGTCGGCATCATTAGCGTCTTGTTGTCACGCATGTAAATGCGCAGATGGCGATCACCAAATCTTCAACCGGACAAGCTGCCGTCCTCTTGACCCCGTAGAGATCCATGCCAATGGGACGCTAGGGGCACGGGGCGGGGTCCGGTAGTCGGGGCGTGAAATAAAGCTTCGCGGCTCCGCTCCGGCTGCGTGGCAGCAGGGGGCCACCGCAACCAGGTACGTATTCCTTCAATGTGTACTTTTGCAATGTCTGATGCTTGGAAGGTTTGCTAATTCGATTACAAGAAAACTAGGCCCGTTCAAAAGTGATAGTTTCATGCTTTTTATGGCTATCTACGTGGCTTAGGTACGATCTCTACAGCCGTTGAGTAAAGAAACCAGCACTGCTGGGGAAAGGAACATGATTCAGTATCGGTTGAAATGACGGAAAAGGGTTTATAGGGATAGGGGCGGAAGAACAATGTGGAGGGTCTTTATCTCGCAGTAACTTCTGTGGAAAGCCCCATCTTATCAGAACAGGGACCAACTTATCCGTCTCACTCTTCATCTCCCTGCTGCGAGCCTTCTGGCGTACTGGCTTGGCTTGGGCTGCCATATTTCTCTGCTAGTTCTTCACGCAGGCCAATGAGGCCATACATAAGGGCGAAAACTATTAGAGCAATTGCGGTTAGATGGAGGGTTCGGTAACAAAGCAGATGTGACTTACACGCAGGCCCCAAAACCACAAACAAAGCGCAGTATCCAAACATGAGTTCTCTGTACCGAACAAACTCAGGATCCAGCCAGAAGTAAGGGGCACGGCCGATGAAGAGCTTTCCAAAGGAAGCCCAACCGAGGTAGACGCACAAAAGGAATACCAAGCCAATGATATGGGTGTGTACGGGCTTTTCGGAGTCATTAGTCTTCTTGTCATATCAAGATACTTGACAACTTACAATCTGGCGTTTGATGCTATTCAGCAGCAATATCTCGAAAAGAGCGAGGAGTGCCGTATAGCCCCATAGGTTCAGAACACAGAAAGGTTCAAACCACCCATGACCAAAGAAACCTCCATCTAGTCTCATTAGTGCGCTTTCGACGAGTGTCTGATATCGAGGAAAAACATACCCTCGAGGCTGCCTGCGTCATCTCCACCACCACCCCTTTGCCTGTCTCGAGGTAGGTCACCGTGACCTTTTGGCACCACAAAGGCCCAGAAGATGAACGTATTTATAAAGGCAAATACGTGGGACACTGTGTAATACAAACTGAAGTAGAATCGATTGCGAGAGGTGATTGTCTGCTCAGGCGGCGACATCTTTCGTAGCAGAGCTGTTTCCCAGGTGTTGTCTTCCTCATCGAGATCGGGATAGTAGAGGTGCGTGTAGCTCCAGCACTAGGCAAGTGGGTCAGTGTTAGCACCAAAATGCAAAACAGCCGCCCGAGAGTGACAAGGAACATACAAAGGCGGCCAAGTGGTACAACCACAACAGGATGAAGGTGATGGTCGAAAACTGGAAGATAATGCGCAAGGGAGAGTCGCCATCTTCCCGCTTGTAAAGCTTGTAGTCAAGAAGCATGGGCGCGAGGATGGTGAGGTAGATCAGGATTAGGCCTCTAAGGGCGACAAGGGTGGTCTGGTTGATGAAGCCCCAGGGGGCGTGGCATAAGCGAAGGAAGATGGGCTATGTAAGCTGTCAGTATGATCCAAGATGTGAGTGCAACAGTCAGTCTTGTGCCATACGTACATGGTCCTGGAAAACGCCATTCGGCCGAGGGAGATCACGGCCCAGGAGCGAGCTCCGTTCTGTTGCCTCGTTGCCGTTCGACATGTTGACGAGCAAGGGAGGTCTGGTCGTTTCGGGGTAAAATTCAGAAAAGGTTAGAGGCACAGGCGGAAACAACGCCAACCACTTGTGACGGAAGATGAATCAGAAGGAGGATGTTCAGAGAAAACCATGACAACCAGACAAAAGAAATGCGTTCTCTGCCACTCTCCTTGGCACTGGCTACTCCTTCCACGAACCAGAAGATGATGACATGGAGGTAGCGATGTACAAAAACGGCTGTCACTACTCGACTGCGTGAATAGTTTAAACCCAGATGCCTAACAATGTATTTTTGACGAAAGCTACCAGAAAGCACAATCATCCGAAAGAGGCAAGAAAGGCTGGAACTCTACCGGGATATCCGTGGAAGAGAAGGAATCATGACCATGAAAATTACGCTTGCTCTTTTCTTTTCTTTTCGAAGAAGTGACGGAGCACAGCGGAAAGTGGCATCTTGGGTCTCGATAACTGGTTTAGCCAAGAAGTAGCGGTCTCGGGATTGGTCGGGTTTGACCTCTTATACTCCAGTAGCTGGTTTCCTTGGGGAGAATGACGATGCTGAAAGAGGCGTAAACTATGCCTTGGATCACTGCCCACAAGCGTTTGCTGTGACGTGTGTGGATGGGCGCGTATTTATTAGCTTGCACCAGGATTCAGGTAAATAGAATCAAGTTCGGCAATTTAGGAACTAGAGACATGAGGTTGGGGTTTTTCATGTTGAAATGAGCGCAAGTTGCAAAGCCAAAAGAAGATGTTGAAGCTTGAAGCTGAGGTTGAAGTTGTTGCCAAGAGGAAGTGGAAGAGGACGGGAACCTCGAAGGCCGCAGGAGGAACCTTGAATGCCTTGTGGGGCCCTTCAAGATGGAACCCAGTGGGTCTCTGCTAGCCGCAACCACCAATCAGAAGCTGTCATTCCGCGGCTTTCTTGTCACCGTGTCCGCTCCCGCTGTCCCTGGCTCTGATGTCAATCGCGAACCTCAACGAAAGGAATCAGCTATTCCGAACTTCAAGCGCATGATTCTGGACGACGCCGAATTCATCAACAACGGACACATTGCAGTATAATATACCGAATTTGAACATCGCACCTGCTCTCCCGCCGCCGCCATGTTGTCCAGCCTTGCAAACCCGCGGCAAGCTGCCGTCCAGCTTATGAACTTTGGCTTGATACTGTCAACCGCATTCATGGTGTGTTCTTGCGCTAGCTGCCCTCTGCCATGCCCTTTGTCTTCATGTAGCATCATCCCCAGCATACTAACAAGCTTCCTTCTCGCAGATGTGGAAAGGTCTCTCGGTCATCACAGACTCGCCATCCCCGATCGTCGTCGTCCTCTCCGGTAGCATGGAGCCGGCCTTCCAGCGCGGCGACCTCTTGTTCTTATGGAACCGCAACGTCGTGACCGAAACCAGTGTTGGAGAGGTTGTCGTGTACAGTGTGAAGGGCAAGGATATCCCCATCGTGCACAGGATAGTCAGGAAGTTTGGAAAGGGGTTCGTTTCCCATCTGCTACACCCCTGCGCTGTCACGGACATATGGCTGACCATAGGACTACCTGTTCTCGAAGACCCGAAGCGAAGCTACTCACAAAGGGAGATAACAATGTCTCGGACGATACAGAGCTCTACGCAAGTGGACAGGATTACCTGGTTAGGAAAGACATTATCGGGTATGATGATTCTGGCTTCACTTGTACCGAAGATGCTACGATTATTTCGCTAACATTTACCACTCAAACAGGAGCGTCTTTGCCTACATTCCTTTTGTTGGCTACGTTACCATTCTTTTATCCGAGCACCCATGGCTCAAGACTGTCATGCTCGGACTCATGGGTTTAGTGGTGGTTTTGCAGCGCGAATAGCCGCGTTTGACTATAGCATAATTCCCCTCTCGAACAGCGATGATATCTTTGTTTTCCACCTTCACTATTTGGTTTGTGACCATTACATGTATTTTTCACCATGTTTTGCCTCTAGAGGTACCAAGGTGATTAGGGTGAAAGGAAAAGAGGTGAGCTAACACCGTGTCAAAGTCAAATGACTTAGGATCCAACACTGTCCCATCTTATATCCGTTACAGCCCGCTTTCCAATTATCAATTCCCATTCCTACGATTCTTTGTCTTTCGACATTCGAGAAAGCTAGGGTCGGGATCCAAGTGCTCGTCGCAAGTGAACTAGAACAATACCGGCAAGGGGCTTAGGCAGCCACGCCGGCTGATTTGCCAGTAATACCAGATGCCAAGGCGCCGCTAAACCGCTATACGATAGGATCGTAAAAGAGACTTTGGGGATTGCGCCAAAGTCAATGGCAGCCTGCGTCTGGCCCTTTGCAATTTGCGTTGCAATCTTGAAAATCTCATTCCTCCCTTTTTCTTTCTTTGGCACACCACCGCCGGTTTGTCGACTGTCGCTCGCTCTTCACAACTCCGTGTGCATCTTGCGCATATCCTCTCTTTTATTCATCGACATTCTCTCGCCGACAACATCTGCATCGTCGTCATCGCACTGATCGCTCTTTTCGCGCTTAATCACTGGTCAATTGACTTATAATCAGTAACTTGATAACAGACATTCGAAAATCGGCCAAGCGAGCGAATAGAATGGCAGCAGCTGGACCGCCCAGCAGCACGATGGCTGCACAGAAACGATCTGACCATGATGGAATCGCAGCCAGACAAGCAGCGCCACTCCTGCCTCAGCCTCTGCCTTCGCCTCATCTAATCACTCAGGAAAAGAATGGTGCGGTTTTCCAGCAACAACAGGCGCCTGTACCGTTTGGATATGGCACTGGCACATATCAACATTTTCCTCTGCGGCTCCCTGGTTCGGAAATTGCTTACAGCAAGAGATGGCACGTTGTGAAGCTCGCTTTCCAGACCGCATCTCTTGTGTGCTCTGCCATCATCTTTGGAGTTGGTCTGGCACTGGGCACCTATGCCAGTCAATGGGGGGATCCGTGGGAAATACCCATCGTTTTTGGTGTTGAGGTCTCCGCAGTACGTTCTAACCTTATTCACTTCATTTATTCGATACCGTATCTCTGTACATGACCATGTTCTAACTAATACTCTCCAGGCTGGGCTAGCAATTTTATGGACCGCGGCTGAGCTACTAACAGTATATGCCTCTAAAGAACGTCGGGGCATCCATCCCGGTGCTCATGTCGGTGTTCAACTGATCATCGTTCTTTTGGCTTCCTTGGGTGCTGGCATTGGTGGCGTCTTCGCCATCCAATTTTCGGATTTTTACGATGAAGATGAAACCGACAAACCTAACCTCCTAAGAAATCTCATGCGGACCTTGTTTGCGTTTTCCATCATCCTTTGGATCATCCACTTCTTCCTCTTCATTCGCGCTTGTGTTGAGACACACATTGTCAACTCGACCAACAAGGCCCGAAGAATCACCTACGTCCGGGTCCCAGTACCTGTACCCATGCCAATGGACCAAATACCTCAGCAGATGGTAGCTGGACAGCATCCGATGCCTCCTCAGCAGAACATGATGTATAACGGCTATTACGCCCCCGTTGCGCCGCAACCTCCAGCAATCCCAGTGGGCTCTCAACAACAACCTGCTGTACCTCCTCAGGGCTACTACGCGTCACCTGCGTGAGACACTTGTCTTTGTCCACCCTTTAACTTGACAATCTAAGAGGAGGTCCAACATACCCTTATATTCACAAAGAGGCTGACGCCTCCAAGTGGTTTATGAAATATCATGAGGTTGATAGACGGTCCTGATAGCCCAAGGAGACGCATAAGTAAGGAAATATCCCACTTCTCTTGCGAGGGAGGCTCGGCTTGATGGCATATCCGTTATTCGGAGACATTTAAAACGGCACAGCATCGCCCTTTATTAGATGCTGGTGCGTGTACCGGATGGACATGGAGGTCCTTAACGGGAACGGAAGATACCGTGCGGTCTAATATGGGTCTCGAAGCGCTTAAGGGATTGGATAAAGTTTTACATCACAATATCAAATGCAGTAATGTTTCCTTCGGAACACACGACATGGGTCGTTGGCGGCCTTTACAGCGTTCAAGCCCAACAAGGTTCACACATGCTTATATCTCATGGCACGGCCCGTATTCGCACTTCTCAGTGATGGGTGCCGAGGTGCACTCTTGGATGTGAACCGTCTCTTCCGTCGAGTCTTTTCACACGTACGTTCAAATAGGCTCTTTTGCACTTTCGGAGTCAAGAAATGTTTTTACTGAAGGTTGACCAGAACTAGCAAGCTGCGTTGCCAGGCATCTACAATTTTTCTGAAGAGTTTCGCCTCTTTCACTCGTATTTATCTATGTTGGGCTCCTGGAGCTCACACCATCCCCAAACACCGTTCCACCCCTCGCCCGCAAAAGCATCCTGGGGCATCGATCCCATTCACATGCTGGCTGATAACCACAAATGCTACCCATCTGAACGAAATCGCCGAGGGATCGGCCAACAGCTTCCCCAGACTTGGCAAGGTCTTCTCCCAATCAGCCGTCAACGTCCCTGTCCCCCCGCATTGCACCTTACCCTCCACGGTTAGTTACCCCTGAAGATGCCATCCTCCTCCCACGACCTCCAACACCCCCCAACGTCATCCCAACCGCTGCTCAAGGCCTGCAGTCTCGAGCTGCAAACTTGAAATGGGATTCACCGCCGACGAGGCCATACCACATGAAGCAATATACCTGGTCGATCTCAGTTATCCTTGACTTGACATGCGTTGCCTGCAGAAAACCATTGTTTTCGCACCTCGTTTCTTCAATCACACCTCCGCGTTGAACCCTGTTCCTGATGGCACTATGCTACAGATCAAACTGTCTTCCCGGCACGGAAAGATCTGGTCGTGCTGGTCTTCCCCGCAAAATGGAAAGGTCAAGTAGCATTCAGGTTGATCATAGGCGGGGTAAGATAGAACTCACGATGCCTACTTGGGCATGACCAGAGTCTGCCTCGGCGACGATCTTGTCGTCCTGCAGGATGAGAGGACTAGGTTGCTTGTGAAAGGCGAGTATAAGGGGGACAGACCATCCCCAGTTTTTGTCCCAGGAGAAGCTGAGTCCAGGTCGATCTCTTCACTTCAACAACATCCTTCCCAGTGTTCCCAGTGTTCCAGACCCGACCGGTGTCCTCCAAGCTCCTCATCTTATCATCCACTCACTATCTTCAATCCTCACCAACAAACCAACTTCAAACCCTTCAAGATGAAGTTCACCACCCTCCTCGCCCCGGTCGCCATCCTGGCCTCCACCGTCGCCGCCGACGCCGCCTCCATCCAAACCGCCCTCGACACCATCAACCTGTCGACGCTCAAGCTCAAGAACTACGTCGACACGTGGAACGGCAAGCTCCTGACCGTCATCCCCATCGTCGGCGAGAGCACTTCTCTCCTGGCCAGCATCAACCGCGGCAAACAGACGGCCGAAGAGTCCGAGGAGCTCGACACCTTGGGCGCCCTCGGCGTTGGCGAGAAGACCTCTAAGCTCGCCACCTCGGTCAACCAGACCATCACTACCATCATCACCTCCAAGCCCAAGTTCGACAAGCTCCTGCTCAGCCCCACTATCCTCCTCAACCTCAAGCTCGAGAAGAAGGCGACCGAGGAGCTGAACGATGTTATTATCTCCAAGATCCCGGAGCTGTTCCGGGACTTTGCTAGGAGTCTGAGTGCCCCGATCATCGATAGCTTTGATGAGGCTATTGAGACTTATAAGCTCTTTTAGTTTGATGGATGGATGAATGGATGGATGGATGGAAAGGATACTTGGGTGGAGGAAGAACTAGGTTGGGTACCTTGATGCTGTTCAGCAGGCTTGGGCACTGGTTCAACTGGTTCTCCGTTGCTTAGGCTCATTGAATACAAAACATTTGGGGTACATGTTGAACAGAAGAAAATTGTGAAATTTCTTGTGTACTGGCCTGTGTGTGTGAATGGACTTGTCCAAAGACTCGGCAATGCCCATTGTAGGTCATGTGCGTAGGTACCTTGGAAAGTGCAAGTCGTTCCATGCTCTTGGCTTAGGTCCCACATAGGGTTTTGTTCCTTCCAGTTTTTTCTGGTTTCTTTTGCTGGGAGGAACCCCTTGTGTTCTCCCATCGCCCCTGCCTTTTGAGAACTCTTCCTCTCCACTAGGACCAATTTTTTTTTTTTCACCCTTTTCAAAGTGGCACCCTCCATGACTTGAAAAGAACGACGGACGCCAAATGAAGGGCCAACAAGCGAGTGCCTGCCGCTGGTCAGTCCTTGGACACACCGCGGCAGCGCGCCACCGGAGCTTGAGCTCGACTTCAAACTTGAAATCCGAGTCACACTCCTCTTCCTTCTCATAACTTTCCAAGTTTCCAACTTCTAGTGGTCATTTTACGCCTTCTCAACAGCGCCTTCTATCCCAAATCGTCAAGCTGCAGCATCTGCACCGGGCTACTCAGGGCAGTACTCGCACATTCTCGAAACTGGGAGTGCGGTCACAGGAATTCCACCAAAGATGAAAGTGGGCGTGGCGGGAGCAGGAACCAGCGAGTACAGCATCCGCATCCCCATCCCGCGCGTAAACCGCGAGCCTTGCTAATAGAACTCCAAGTCTCGAATGCAGCTACCCGACCGCCCGACGAGCATCTCGATCAATGACAGGTTCACAACCGCTTCCCGAACCACATGTTTGTTTCCAGACCTGCAGTAGTTCGTCAGCTCCAGTCTGGACGGCATTTTCCCATGAGAAAGGTGTATCAATGATGCGTTTCAACCGCTGCATGCATCGCAAGTCACAAGCTAGCCGCGCCCGGTACATACGCATGATACAATATCGGGAGACACTTCACCGGACACCGCAAGGACACTACTCCCATATCGGCCCTCCCTGAACACGGACTCTTCATCCTTCTATCTGCCTTAACCAATGTGGTTGGTGCCTTACTCGCCAATGAAGAGACCAGAGAGAAAGAATTTAAACACTCGACGCTTTGTAAGTGTCGGCAAGGATCCCATCCGAGACACTACTTTTCCAATCCAGGAGACAAACTACGAAACAATCAAGAGCCACCAACGGCCGCTCTTTGGTTTTTCTAGTTGGTGTTCATGTTGTGCTATGTGGCACCATAGAGCCCGCCATGTGTCTGTTGCTTCACTCGACATGTATCACCGTTACTGATAGCCAGATGCAGTAACGATCGGAGGATTAACGCAATTTCGATGTTTTAGGACTGCAGTGCCATATCTGAAGGTCACAGATAGAGCTCATTTGTGTGCGAGTTGATGTTACAAAGCTCACTGCCGACCTCCGTCCTATAAACATTGGTGGATTTATACCACACTTCCCGACCTCAGAAATAATTACCGACAAGAAGAAACTCGGCACGGATTCGTTTCCATATACACTACGACGCTAAACATATTGTTGGATCTCGATGACATGGCGCATAGCGTCTATGACCGTAGTATTTGGCACCGGGAATCAGCTAAAGTGGCTAATCAACTCATGCGGACTTTATTCCAGCCAATGCCAGTTCTTCAGTGATCTTCAGGGGCTGAAGATGTTGTGCCTGGCCCCCAACATCCTTGAAACCATATGATTTGCAACTATGCATTTCCAGACCAACACACTCGGCGCCACAGTCGCCGATGTCCGCCACGGTTCTTACCGTATGGCGTGACTCTGGAGGTGAAATCGAATGACACGTCCCGAAGTCTATACCGGCAGGCCAATGGCAGCTCGACGTCCAAGAACAAAATGGCAAAAACCATGGAACGCAACGCTGTCAGGTAGGTTCGGAAGCAATGTAACTCCTCTACCACGCACTCGGACGGAGGGCACTAGTACCCGGGTGAATGGGCGGCCGTTTTTAGAATCCAGCATCTGAGCATGTAGCAATAGGGCTAACGGAGAAGAATCAATAGAAGAAATTTTCAATGGCTTCACAGCGCGCCATTGGATACTGAGACCTCGGAAGCTAGCCGTCGGTGGATATGCGGCTACAAGGAAACGATCATGTCTCAGATCCAACGAGAATGACAACTGACTCTTTGATGATCGAAACGACAACCGCGAAACCCATCACACATATCGAACTTACCGCATACAGGAAACTCAAGTAGCCAACAAGCGCGGAGCCGGGCATAGCCGCCCCCTGTCTCTTGTTAGTCAGTTGTTGAGACGGTGACCCATGCATGCTCTCCTTTCCGAATGGGATCCCCTGAATTCCCCGAATGGGCTATTATCGTCCTCTCCCGGTCTGGGCACAATGGTACAGTAACTCCCCATCCCTTCCGGATAGCCTCGTCAGGCGTCCCAGTCCTTGGATGGCGTCTCGTCCCGTCGGCAAACTTGCAACTCTAGTACCTCCGAGCCAGACAACGCCCTATCCTTGCAAACACCTACTCAAGACATACGGCAGTCAGTATCATGGCTCCTCCTCGTTGTGAAACAGAACGCACGCTTGGTGAAGCTATAAGTAGCAGAGAACATGGCCGCCAGAGCCAGGGAGTGTCCTTCCTTGATCCTGGCATCAGTCAGATCCCATGTCCAAGGCAATAACCACTTACTCGCCCCTTAACCATGGGTCCTTCGGACAGTGAGCATTGTCAGCACTACGATGATACGCAAGTAAGTATCCATCTCTCGCACTCCTATCTTTTGCTGTGCCTTTTTTATATGAGCTTTCCTTGATCACAGCCCTGTACTACTGGGGATCTGCTTGTCCATGTCTGTCAGAATCTTATCGCCGAAGAAATGTGATAACCGTGGCCCAGAGTGGCATGTTTTCCGATATAATGGCCTGATATTGCCGGGATACTCACATATGATCTGCCATCGTCCCCAAACCTACCCGCTGCCAATGAGCCAAGGAAACAATCGAACCACTGCCAGAAACTCACAGTTCAAATTTCATGACCATTGGAATACGTCAACTGACTACATGGCAGCCATCGACCCATCCAAGCATACCATACACTCACCATCACGACGCATATATCTCCGGCTATGCTTCTCCACGCTACCAAAACCTCGCTCAATCTGGCTTCTCAAATCCCGCGGTTGCTCTGCAATCTCATACAGACAACTATACGGTTTCATCGACCAGTTCTGCGCCGGTACACCAGACACCGTTCAGCTTCCATGGCGTATATCCGGATTACTACATACCACACCCTCTCCGCCCAAGCAGCTTCTCGGATAGAACTAGCTCCGTAGGGCTGACGTTGTCCACCTCGGCACTCGCTGTCTCCGACTCGATACCGATTCCACCTCATTCGGCTTATCTCCTAAGCTCTCCTGTCTCCCCTCTTACGGCTTATTCAACAGATGCCGTTACTATCAGTTCGTTCCCTTCCGACACATGGTCAACTTACAACCAAAAACATACCGCATGGTCCCCTCACGTGGCCGACAAATTGGAGTACGAAAGCCCAACTACCACGGGATTGCTTTTGCAATCACCACCCGGCATCCTGAAGCCTGTGCTAGGTGACGACTACAACAAAGAAGACAGATATATCGAACGGGACATAGTCGCTACCTATGCAACTGCATATCAGCAAAGCCAGGTAACATCTCCAGGGGCAGCAGGAACTGTCAAGAAAAAGGAGAAGCTCAGAAAGAGACGGCACCGACTGGCACAGACAGATGACGGGCAAGTGATTGGCGGCATATTCGCAAATGCAGAACCGACGCAGAGCCCGTTGTCATCCATCATGGACTTTTCAGCCGCTGCTAGTCCAGATCTGAAGACAAGCCGCCCGTCCTCGCTGCTGTGGGTGCAGGAAGATGTGGCCGGGAGCTTGATGAATCCAAAGGGGAAAGAAAAAGGGCGAAAGGAGAACAACAGGGGCAACAAGAAAACGAAGCAGCAGCAACCGGTTCATCAACGAGCAAACAAGGGGGTAAACTCGGGAAATGAAGCGAGTAGAAGGAATTCATATGCTAGCCAGACACGGGAAGCCACGGCCTACGATGACGACAAGGATGTGGTGATGATGGACTATACCACCACCCCCGGTAACAACAGCAGGAGACACTCTGCCACCGTGTATGACTCGGACCGCGACGCAGCAAGACATCCAGCGAGGCCGCAGCAGGAAATTGCCCGCGTCAAACATAACAAGGTGGAACAAAAATATCGCAACCGACTGAATGCCCACTTTGAAGCACTTCTCGACGTACTTCCGCCCTCAGCGGCCCTTCCTACCGAAGACGGCGGGTTTACGGTCAACGACACAGAGCATCATCCCCAGCCACTAGTCCTGGGAAGCAGTACTACTGATATGGTTGATCTCGGGATTCCGGAAAAGGAACGCCGAGTAAGCAAGTCCGAAGTCCTTGACCGCGCGAGGTTGTACATCCAGACGTTGGAAAACGAGCACAAGCGACTGGCGGCGGAGAAGAAGCAGTTAAGAAAGATGTGGGATGAGTATGGGAATGGGAATGGTAATAGAGAAAAAATGTGAGGAGGGAGGAAAGGGGGGAATGGGTAAAGAAAGAAAGAAAAGGCGTTACAAGACATTGGTTGGCTGAATTGGGCATTATACACGCATGGTAAGCGAAAAGTACTGAAGCGTTCTGCACACGAAATGCATGGTAAAGCAACGAGAAGGCATTGGTTTGATCGGAACAAAGACAGAAACAGGTGAAATAAACCGCCTGGTTTTGAGGAAAGTGGATTATGAAAAGGAAGAGAAGGGCCAAGGAAGGAAGGAAGGACATTGTCGAGTGGTACACAGCAAGCCGGTCTCACACAACCTATTAGAGTAACGAGAAACACAACAACTGCCACCATAAGTGATAATGCTCATCTCCGCTTACCTACGTCGTGTCGAAAACAGCAAAGCACAGCAAATGCCATCCAAGAAAAATGAGGAAGAAAGATAAGGCAAGAACCCGCGTGTCCAGATTATGCGAAAAAAAGGAGTGACTTCTTCTCCTTTGACATCAGGATATCAAGGCGTTTCCAGCGTAGTACTTATAAGAGGACCAGGCAATTTCAGCCAAACGAACGGCCTTCGATATAGTCCCCCTCGGCGTGTGGAGCCCGAACAGATATGATATATACCTGTCTCGTCAAGTCTTGAGCCCCTGACCATTCATTACTGTCCACACTGAAGGATGCTCCTAACCCTCCAATCCGCGGTCTCGACCTCGACCTTGACTTTCCAAGGGAATGCATGGGACGGATGCACGCAATTGCATCTATAACAAAGTCAGCGAGCCAGTCAATCAAGGGGACGGGAGTATCTAAGATGGTCACGCAAACACATCATTCATTCATTCGTTCGTTCGTTCGGTACCTTACGTACTGTATGTGGGGTGCCGGGACCGTAACTGTTCAAATGCGCCTGTTCGGTTGAGCTACCTATTGGATGACGCAGGAGCTTTTTGTTCCCGGACATGTTAGTTGTGACGACGGCTCTATAACTGAAAGTATTAGATATTAAGAAGTGGATATAATGAATGTGTCTTGGTGTCGCACTACATACCTGCGACCTGCCTAACGGCATATTTTCTCCCCGCTGTTGACGGAAGTGACACACGCTCGTCAGAGTTCACTTGAACACCGCCCTCCAATATCAAGCTCTAAGTAAACTCAAGCCGCAAACAAAGCATTCCTAATACCCAAGAAGTACGTAACCATCATTCGTGTTTTTCATCACTAAGTAGGCGCCTATCAAGTCCATATCCCCCACCCAAAAAAAAAAGCAACAAATTCAAGAAGACTCCCAGCAATTAGATCAGCTCAAGTAACTCAAGTAATGACAATAAGGAAGAAGACAGGCGAAGCCAAACAAGGGGTTTGGCCGTGAAACCGAGGAGAGATGGAGGCAATGAGGCCTGCCCCCCTTACTCCTCCTCATCATCGCCACCAGCAGCAGCCTTGGCGGCATCTGCCTCCTCCTCGTCATCTTCGTCCACAGCCTTGGAAGCAGAGCGCTGGGCCTTTTTGGGGCTGCCCTCTTCGGTCTCAACCTCGGCGTCGTCGTCCTCCTCGTCTTCGGGAATCTCCTCCTCCTCATCTTCCTCTTCGTCACCTTCCTCCTCCTCGTCGTCTTGTTCCTCTTCCTCCTCGTCTTCGGCAGCTGCCGTCTTTAGCTTCTTCTTGGGAGGGGCTTTGTCTGGCAAAGTCATTTCTGTTAGTTTACGCTGGCCCAGCTAAGGTAGCTAGCAAGGTTGTACCCGGGCTTGAGCTACGGATGGGTGGTGGGTTTGGGGTACCTGTGGTCTTCTCTTCCTCTTCCTCTTCGTCCTCGCCTCCTGCCTCGCTGTCGAACTCTTCATCCTCTTCGTCGTCATCAACGTCATCTTCCTCACCGCCGGTGGAGACGTACCTGTGTGGGCCAAGTTGTTAGCTATCTTGGCTCGGATTGCAGGCAGATTCATATGCATCGACGTCTTTTGCTTGTTTTGTTGTTTCCTATCATAGGCGATGGCGCAACCTCCTGAAGTGCCGGGCTGACCGTGATCCGCACAAACACACGATTCGCGGTTCAGCTGCCAGCACGAAAAGCATCTGCGCCGCAATGCACAATGCAACAGAGCTCACAAAGGCGTGTTCTTGTTGCTGGGGCACACCTGGTAGAAGGACCAGAGACAAGCCCCAAAGGAATGAAGCTGAAGATAAAGACAGCGGGCGGTACTTACTCCTCTTCCTCCTCACCGTCAGAATCCTCAGGGAGGGAGACGAGCTCCTCGGGCTCCTCTTCGGCCTTTCTCTTGCGGGTGGCAGACATTTTGCTTCAAGGCTCAATGGCTCTTGAGAACTTGTCAATCAGGTAGGTAGGCGATATCGGAGAGGTTCGCAAAGTCCGACTGGGGTGGTGAATGCGCGTTTGAAAAGTAGAGTAATGGAGAAAAAGGAAAAGAGGAACGAGGAAGAGAGAACGGAAAAAGTCTGGGAAAGAAGGCTGGGGTGGTGGGTGGTGGTGGGCGGCAAAAGACCGAAGAGAGAAAGAGAGAAGTGGAAGTTGAAGAGGCTAGGGTAACAGACACCTCCAGGCAGTTGGGGGGACTCTGACTGGGGAACTGGGGGAAGCTCCAACTAACACCTGGACCGCGCCGGCCAGCCATGGAAAGAGAGCTACGCACCTTCTATTGTTACGTACCCTGGTTAGGTTCCCACCTGTCTCTAGACTTGGGTTTTAAAGCTTACACAGTAGCAGGTAGGTACCTATTTGTTAGCTACGCCACTATGACAGTACATCTGGTAGTGTTACATGCAAAGTAACTAGAGGTAACGCTAGAGACAGCGGGAAGAAAGGGGGAACGCGTGCGGAGAACCTCATTTTTGGGGGGTGGCAGAGGATGATGCTAGCAGTTGCCAGGCCACCCGGGGAAAAAGAGAAGGTGGGACTCGGAAGACTCTGAGAGGGCGGATAGGCAAGGGAAGGAGGGTTTTGAACTTCGTCCTTTCCTATTACTGAGACTTTTCACACTGGATTTCCTATTGTGCATAAAGCCATATACACCTGCCAGCTTTAAGTGAGCTGAAAGGTTCCTTCCCAGCTCAGCAGTTGAGAACTGGGGTACCAGTGACACCACACCATGAAGACAACATCACCGCCGGCGTGGTGGAAGGTTAGCGACATTCATAATATGACCATATACCCTCGAAGAGAGGAACGGTGAGCGTTCTGGTCCGAAAGGTTGATGGAAGGAAAAGGTTTCCGTTGTCAGTCAGCCTGGGGTAGGACGCCCCGGTTGGTGGGCGATGCTGGACGCTTCCATAATGGAGAAGAGACGGGGCTGCTCCGCCTGCGTGTTGGGGGACGGGCCCTGCACGCGTTGCCGGAGACAAGGGGACGACAAGGAGCGAAGCTGCATGCAGTCTTGCAGCGCCAAGAGGGGAGCTGGTCGAAGCTGCTTCAGCTGGGGACTCTGACCTTTACGTGGCTCGTGCGTTACCAACAAGCTCTTGCACAACTTTGGATGCGGGTCAAATTGCCAAATCTGACCTTCTGAGTGGCTGGAACTGTTGATCGTGACGTGACTGCACGTGTTGGGAGGGCACGTTCGCGGCAAGCTTTCCATCTCAATCTCAGCCAGATTTTGAAGTCAATTGTTGGTCGGAGTTTGTCCGTTGTTCCATCTAGTCTCAAGTCGCTCTCTTTTAAACTCGGGTTCACGTCTTTCATCTCCTTTCAATGGGGCCTTATATGCGTCGCACTCGCTGCCAGTCTATCCACTCTTCATAATGCCAGCGCCATGCTCTCGAGTAATGCGCACGCAGTCCAGACGACGTGTAGTGTTGATGCATGACACTAGTCCACCGAGGACGTCATCGATTCGATCGCGCAATCACGTGAAGTTGGTGGAGGGCTGTTGCTGGTTTTCTGAAGAAAGGGCTTTGAGGTGAGAAACTCCAGTGACAGACTTGACAATTGCATATCTCATGAAACCGACGATATGAGTCTCAGGCTGTCGGCGGATGAGCGTACAGTTTTCATTGCTGGAAACGACACCATGAACCGTGAGCCGGGATTGGAACCCGTCCTTGTCATTCCTACCGGTTCCGCCCAATCTGTATGAAACCCACGCCTCCACAGACGGCGGTCGTCTGGCCGAGACCACAGCAAGAATGCGAACTGTCCCTTACGAGCTTGATGAGATGGACCAAGCCTACGTAAATGACGTACTGGTATGCTGTATTATAATCCGGCTACCGGGTCGCTGGTTCCATACCAGTGGATGATTCAGATCATCCTTTCGAATTTTGGACGCGCTGACCGGTCCACAGCAGGACAACCACAGATATTCGTCGGCCCCAGTCGTGATAATTCACGTCCGACAACACTCGGTCTCCAAAGTTTGCACTGTGGCATTCCAACCTTGTCGTTGGGGCTCTCCTCAAGCCATAACGCTCCATTGCAGTCATCGAAGGACTGTCCGGTCCACGATCCAGAATTGATTGTTAAATGCATCCAGTATTCTGAGCAATCGACGTCGTGCAGCCATCGTCCCACGGACGACGAAGGTAGACCCGTTTCCGGTTTGTTCGCGTTCAGCGCCGTCGTGGTTCTCTCGTTTGCCCGTCAAGCCATGTGTGCAAACCCTGGGGTACATGACCGCTAGCCAGCCGGTGTCGACTTCCGTGGACAGAAAAGCCATGCTGCGAGATTGGCGACGATGTCCCTCGGGGTCCATGATCTTATATCCGTTTGCTTGCGCCTGGCGTACATAACAAAGGGAATTGCAATCAGGATGCAGCCCAGACTCGGCCCTGTTTGCGGACGCCACACCCCTGGACCGCTATCCATTGACGATTTGACTGGTGATCTTCATCCGGGATGTCAAACGAGGCGTCTTCGATGTTGAAGTTTCCACGCCTCGGGGGAACATATCATATGAGCTGATATTGTAGGGTTGAAGGGCGTGACCTCACATCGAATCCGGCGTCGACGACAGTCTTCTGCACACCACTTTGTTAATGAGAGCTGAGTGTCGCGGAGTTGACATTGTTGAAATCACATATCGGCGCTCCTCAAACATATAATCCCAAAGAGATCTAGGCTAACTGTATAGGCACATTATTAGACGGACTTGCCGGGCTGGCTGAAGGCCAGTTTCCACTCTGGCCGTAACTGTGGAATTGCCAATTTGCAATCTTCTCTGCTCTGAGAAAACGGCTAGGCTGTCAGACTGTCGATGCGAGGTCGCAGGCCAAGAGATTTTGGAATTTCGAGAAAACAAGAGAAGAAGTGGAGCGTTGGAACGCTACCTCTGTGGAGAGCCAACCTCACACCCACGGGTAATCGTCAGGGCTCGAATCGCCGCTGACTATTGGTGTGATTCGGTCCAATTTCAGGACCATCATGGCAGCCCGGTCCCACATACTTACACGTAATCCGTGATTGACATTGGAAAGTTTTTCTCTGTCTCTCTATGACAATATCTTCCTGGTTTAGGTACCCGGGAACTGGGGCTGATCGACCGCCAGCTCCATTGCTCTGTTGTTAGTTCATGGAAGGGGCCTCTTTCTGCTCGATGGCATACTCATACCTTACACTAGTAATACCTAAGTATTCGACACTCGACACTCGACTCGCGATGCTCACAAGCGACTTCCTTTCGGAGCTGAAAACAAAGCAACCAAGCCCAGCATCACGGGCCAGGTTCCAAGTGGTCCGAAGCCGCGGGTTCGCTTAAAAACAACGGCCAGGGGGGAGTTCCCGCCGGATGGCCGCTGCTCATCGACCACAAGATCGAGGAAGTGAGCAATGTCCGCCAATGGACGTCTTGGAATGGCTTCTCGCCACTCCACCGCCCCGCTATTTAGGGGTGTCATTCAGAGTCAAGGTTGCCGATCATCCCTAGCTCATTCGACGTTTGTTCCGCCGGTGCCCCGACCAAGCCACGCCCGAACCCCCTACTACGGTGGAGGTTAGTGTGCTGCCACTGGCTGCGTAGAGGTAAGTTTTACAGCCTCTCAGCCTGTAACAATGCCTCGAGCAGATCAATCCAGCTCCAAGTCCGTTTGTATGTGGTCGCTTGTTAGTTTGCGGCGCTGTCGAGGCAGTATGCAAACTGACGAGAGCCGTGATGGGCAGCGCCTTTGTGTGGGTTGACTTTAAGTTGCCAAGATGAAAGACAACCTTCGTCTGAACGGATGCCGCCCCTGACAATGAAACCCCAAAAGAGAAGTGGGAAAGAAAAGATGGTAGCCGCCGGCCGTTGGAACCATCACACAAAAACGCATTCCGTTGTTTTTCATCACCGGGCTACCACGCCTGCAGCGGGTTGATATGTGGGAGATAGTCACTTCGCATGCGATACCCCGCACAGCTTTTGTTTTTGCCTTTGGAGCTCTTTGAAAGTAGCCATTCATGAGCTACAGTGGTGATGCGAGGGATATCGGGAAACGCTTGACCGAGGATCGGCATTGCTTTTTGGGTAAAACTCTGTTTACACCACGTCTCCGAAGTGGGATAACAAATGGTGAGAAGTGAGAACGGGCTATCAAAGATGGCGAGCGAGTCGTCACCCACAGCTGCCGACCCGTTGATCTCCACAACAGGCCGAGCCTTGTGCTCACTCGGGCTTTGACTCGCTGTCGTGACACTCGATGCATAGCTGTCTTGTGAGTTTTTTTTCAGCGGCTTTGTGCAAGCATAGCATAGGTAAGGCGAGCAATGAAATGAGAGGATGCATTTGATGACGACAAAAGCACGAGCTCTCGGGGTGCCTGTGAAAGAGCAAGGGTACGGAGGAGCCGTTTTATGTCGCTGTCGTTTCGCCTATCGTCATCTTATTTGCCCAGTTTTTTTCTCGAAGGAATCGAGAGAAAAGCTGGGTTATTGCTTGGATAAAACGACAGTAACTCGATCTCGCCCGCAGCGTTGAAAGGCTGGAACTTGGAAGAAGCCCCAAATATCCTGGCCCCTTGCCCGGACCTGATATCTCTTTTCGTTTTTCTGTGTGTTTGAGAAAGTTGCTCTTCCTTGTTTACCCAAACAAGAAAGCCGCAAACGACAGAAGGTACCGTTATGTATAACAACCGAACTCAGAAGGGGACGGGAGACGGTGAATAAGCAGAAAGGTACCAATCAAAAGGTCGGCAAATCAGGTACCACTCACATATCCACACGGTCATTCAGGTACCGCGCAGGCTTACAGGCAGGTACGGGGCGGCCAGGATCCCACGTCAGAAATTTTAGGTCTCAAAAGAATTCTCAACTTTCAGGCACAGTGGACAATTTCCACGGGGAATTCAATTCAAGAGCAGCTGCAGTGTGCTCTTTCAAAACTTCCCGTCATATGGTACGGCTAATCACAAAGCTCACATCCTTTTTGAGCGAGTGTGCATGAATCTCGGGTTGAAGCGGGCAACTTGTAGTGTCTTGAAGGGCTGACCGGATATGCAAGTTGAAAAAGTCATTGTGAGAATAAGAAATAACAGCTGAATTCAATGGGAATCCACCAGGGGCAGGATGTTGTCTGTCAGCAGCCTGTAAGAAGGGCAGTCCCTCATTTTGGGTGGGTAATTAGCGACGCGAAAATATCAACAAAATAATTGTGACCTGAGGAGCCGAGTGGGTTTCTCACTCTCGGCCTGCTCTTTCCAGTTTCCCAAGCCCAGCAACCTGAACTCCTTTCACCTTTTCCTTCCACTTCTTCCGAGAAGCTAGCAACTCCGGCAATCTCCAGCCCAGCTTGTCTCCCAAACAGAGGAGTTTGCCCAGCCCTCAGCACTTTTATCCAGATTCGGCTTTCCCAGGAACCTGAAGCTAGGCTTTCATCCCATCTGGGACTTCTCGGGCTTCCATTGGACACCCAAAGCCCTTCGATACTACTACTTGTCCCAAGAGTCACAGTCACAGTTCCAGTCCGCGGTTCGGTTCATATCACTGCCCTACCTGAGATAACCTGATGCCTGCTGGTTGAAACGCAGCTGCCGATAGGGATCTGGGTTGGCATCTGGGTTTTGGTTGCCGTGTCTAACTGTGTCTAAATCTGGATCACCGGATGTGATGATGCTGCTGCGTGCTGCACATGACTGATCCCTAGAGACGAGAACCTAGCCACTCTTTTTTTTGTTTTCCACAAACTAAACCATCCAGCAGAGCAGGCAGCATTTGTCACCGGCATGATGCATCCTCCAAACGAACGGGAACGAGGGGGTTACGATGGTGCCAGTGGCGGCGTCCTTCACCCTTTTCCGGCTCATGTTGGACCCGGACCCTGGCCGAAACACGACGCTGCCAATGCTGGCTCTGCCGGCGCTTCAGGTCCGTTGCACCATCACCACGGCACCCACGGCGCCCTCAACAACAACCATCATCCCGTCCACTTCAATCCGCTGCAGCAACACCCACCACACCTGATTCTGAACCACAACCACAACCACAACCACAACCATCACCCGATCCGCATGGAACCGCGCCGAGGGAGTCATGGACATGGTCGGACCTCGCCCGCAATAGCTGCTTCTTCTGAACAGCATTCCCAACACCCGCAGCGCACCCAGTATGCCCGTGCAATGAATCACCACAACAGGCCTGTGCCCCTGGCGCTGCTCCCGAACCGCACCCCGGCCTCCCCTCGCTGGGATTCCATCGATGCACGCTCGAGAAATGTTTCGCCCGTCCCTCCGAGTCCATTCCAACCAAACCACAACCACCACATCACGTCACAAAGACCACGGGCCGAGTCGACTACACCCACTGGCACCCCGAGACTGACGCCGCGCTCCGTATTTCCCGGCCTCTCCTCCCACCCCTTTATACCCGAGGCGCTCGAGCCCGAAGACTCAGACCAGGACGTCCGTGACATAGAACAACAACAACAACAAGACTACCAAGATCCAGAACCGTCGCCATCACGGCCGTCTATCCGGAAATTCCCCCTAATCGGCCGAGGAAGTCAGCAGATCGACGATGAGGTTATGCGCCATTCACCAATACCCCTAACGCCCACCTCGCCCACCCACAGCTACACTTCGTCGATTGTCCATTCTCGCCAGGCGACTACGGACACAGTCATGGTTGTTGAGAACTTCTCCCGTCCGCGGAAGACGAGCACATCTATACGATCCAAGAACTCGGACATCTCCGTCATCCGCGCGGCGCCCCCGATCCGGCATCAACATGAACCTTCGTTCGACAGCCTGCACCACCACACAAACAACCACCCGACACAATACAACGAAAACATAGCACCTAATCAATTATGGCCCCAGGACCGGCGCTTCTCCACTGCGTCTTCGCACTCGTCAAGCACGTTTTCGTCTTCGATTGCCAAACGCCCGTCAAATGACCAGCTTCAAAACGCAGCCAGGGACCAACCGCCAGTAATGAGGCGCCCCTTTCCTGCACCTCCTGCCGGGGTCTCTGGCCTCCCTGCACGGCCTGCGCCTCCTGTCAGTTACAACAATTACAACAACTTTTACCCGCCTGCGACTCGCGACCCTCCAGCTTGGATCCAGGAGGAGTTCAGGCCACCAAGCTTCCGCTCTCCATTTGCCACGAACTCGGGAGAGCGCTGCAGTATTCTAACCACCCACAGTATCACTGAGCAATCCATCATCAATGGCTATGCTCGCGCGAGCTGGCGGACGAATTCGATAGCCGACGACGGCCCGAGCATTGAAGACGTGATGGTCATGTACGAGCGGGGCTTCAACGACTCGGAGATTGAGAACCTTGGATTCCGCAAGAGCCGAAGGTTCCTGGACGATACCGACCATTTCGACCCGGACCTCGGAGTATTTCCAATGGGGGAAACCTCCCGACCCGCGACCAGTCATTCAGACCCCGACACCGACCGGACGACCAAGATCTTCGAGGCGATGCAGGACGAGCCATTACCATTACCTGGAGCGAGACCGATATCCCGAAAATCCGCTAGGCAATCCAACTTGAATCTCAGGAAATCGGGACTAATGAATTCGTTGCCAAAGGACATTGGTTTGGCGATCAGCGAAGACATGGAGAGAAAACGGCAACAGTCAATCACAGAGTACATGGAGAAGCAGAGGCAGGAATCAGTAAGCGAGGAGGTTACGGAAAGGAGGAGACAGGAATCTGACGCGAAGGACCCGGCAAAGCACGACTCGGCCAAGTTAATGGATGGCGATAATGTAATTGATTTGCAGGCCCAGGAACCTGCTGCGGCAGATACTCCCACTCCCACGGCACCGATGGAGTCGATGGAGTCGATGGAACCGATGGATACCCCCGAACTTGATGCGCAAGAAGAAGAGGAGGATGAGGAGGAGGAGGAGCGATATCGCGTTATCCTAACGCCGATTCCAACAGCGAATATGCCAGTCGAGCCACCCGAGGAACCGGGTAGCCGTGATCGATACGGTTTTCGAAAGGCCAATTCGAACGTTACTCGTCAGCAGTATGATGACTGGGATGCCCAATACAGCGAATACCTGGCACGTCGCAGGAGGAAATGGATCGCTTTTCTCAAGGATAATTCTCTCATGACGGACAGGCCAAACAGGTTTCCCCCAAGAAGTACCAAGACGAAGAGGTTTATCCGGAAAGGCATTCCACCCGACTGGCGCGGCGCGGCTTGGTTCTATTACGCTGGAGGTCCGGCACTTCTCAGCAAGCACAGGGGTGTGTACGATGACTTGGTCAGGCGTGCAGGATTAGATCCGAAAGGCCCAGGCAAGCTGGAGGGTGTAAGGGGTGAAGTAAAGCCGCTGGTCTGCGAGGATATCGAAAAGGATCTACATCGAACATTCCCGGATAACGTACGATTCAAACCACCACAATCGACAACGCCCGGTGGTGATAGCCAGGCTGCTGGTGGATATATTCCGGGCGTCACCCAACCGGCCGAGCGTGCCGACGAGCCCGAGATTATCAGCTCTCTGCGCCGCGTTCTCCATGCCTTCGCCTTGTACAACCCACGGATTGGATACTGTCAATCACTAAACTTCTTGGCAGGCTTGCTTCTTTTGTTCGTCGAGACCGAAGAGCAGGCATTCTGGTTGTTGAACGTCATAACGCGAGTCTACTTGCCAGGGACGCACGAAATGAGCTTGGAAGGCTCGAAGGTCGATCTTGGCGTGCTGATGGGGACGTTGAAGGATTCTTTGCCCAACGTATGGAAACAAATCGGCGGAGACGAGCTTGAAGGGAACCCCAGCAAAAGACACCGGTTAGGGAACCGCGTGAGGCACGGCGGCAAGAACCTCAGCATCAGCGACCCGAACCGACTCCCCGCCATCACGCTGTGCATGACGGCCTGGTTTATGTCGTGCTTTATCGGAACGCTCCCAATCGAAACCGTGCTGCGCGTTTGGGACGTGTTCTTCTACGAAGGCTCTCGTACCCTGTTCCGCATCGCCCTTACCATCTTTAAGCTCGGCGAGAACGAGATCCGGGCGGTCCAGGATCCGATGGAGATGTTTGGCGTGGTGCAGGCCTTCCCCCGGCGGCTGATCGACTGCAACATGCTCATGGACGCCTGCTACAAGCGGCGCAACGGCATCGGACACCTGACCCAGGAGGCGGTGGAGGAGAAGCGGGCGGAACGACGCGAGAACATCCAGAAGTGGAGGGCCTTGCAGGAGGCCGCGAGCGAGGCTGGACCCCGGCTGAATACGGCTGCTCATAGTGCGAACCCGGCGTCCAGGTCGCAGGCTGCTGGGCTGGACCTCGCTGCCGATGACCGGAAGGGAACGCTGTTTGGTAGGAGGAGGGATCGTGAACAAGCAAGGGCGGATGAGGTGATGTAGTGTGCACCTCGGCCCGTGTCCATACTTGCTCTTGGTCCTCTGAACCTGAACCTGAACCTGAACCTGGGTGGTGGAGGCGCTCATTCTCATAACCATAACCACTTGGAGAGGGGAAGCTACTGAGCTACTGAGCTACTGAGCAGAAAAAAATGTTCCTTTTTCATGTCATTCCCACCTTTCAACTATCTGGCATCATACCCAACCAAATACTAGCCTTTTCTCTCCGCCCTGTATAACCCCCCGCTCAGACAGCTCTTTTTACATATTGTAATCTTCCAATACCATGGGCGTATTCACATCAAATAATACCCCTTTGAAGGGGCAAGCCATTTTTTCCTACAATACAAACAACAACAACAAAAGGCACATACAACAACAACCACAACACTTTACCCGACCAAGACCATCCATCTACCTTTGGCTCACCTGACGTCTCCAACTTCCCCTATCTCGTCGTCAACCTACTACTTATTTCTGCTGATGTTGTCATGACCCGTCACACTTATCATCATCTTTTGTACTCCTTTTTTTTTTTTGTTGTTTCCCAGGGAGGGGCTGTTTAGACAATTTTTTTTCTTGGTGGTGGTAACCAACCATAATCTTCTTCTTTAACACTTTGCATTTCTATAACTACCATAGTTATATCACCACCACCACCAACCACATCCTCTTGCAGAGGGCACCCTCCCTATTTTCCTTTGTTTGTACATATTCAAAAAACCTCCCTTCTCGTGTTATTTGGGCAGTCGGGTCGTCAAGAGGAAAGTGGAAAGCGGTTGCGGCGCTTTGTGCTTTTTGTTTGTTTGTCTGTTTTTTTTTTGATCTCTGAATGTACATGAGAGGAAGAGGCGGCAGAGGGGGGCGGTTCGAAAATAGAACAACGCGGAATGGCTTTTTTTTTTTTTTTTTTAGAAGGACGGTAGGACAAGGCAAGGTTCACACATAAGGTCAGGCAGGTTAAAGGCGAAAGGCGAAAGGAAAGGAAGGCAAAGAGAAAAAAGAACTTAAGAGCGAGCGAGCGAACTGCTATGAGGAAACCTTGAAAGAAAGCGTAGCATGGCATGGCTTAACATATGACTAGCATAACTGAAGCATACTGCATAAGTATATTGAATAACTTGGAGTACACTACAAACAACGAGAATATGGTCTATGTAACCTGAGCTAGAATTTCGGCAATGGTTGAGTGGTCAGTGGGACCGTGAGATTCATTTGGTATTTGTGGACACTACCAACGCAACAGCTCGCTGGCTCGCGTCTTAACTTTCCGGGCTCTCCACCATCACAACCGCTAATGTGCTGAACACACCCTTGTCTATCAAACAGCCCATAATGTTATGGTCGCGATGAAGTGATGCCTAACACTGCCAGCTTCTGTGTTGATGACTCGGCAGTGTCAAGACCACTCTAGTCTAACCTTCAACCATCTCCAACCTAACCCTACGCTCATTCATCAAGTCCAGTGACTCTGGTAGAGGTCGCCAAATATCCGATCCTCAATTGCTCTTTCCCATCTGCTTGCGTGTATGCCATCTAAAATCCATTCTCAAAAAGTCACCGCTCCCGTTACGCACCCCATCGCTCCTATCGAAGAGTCTTGCTTGGTCATCGCCATGCAAGTAAACAGCTTCGTCGGACGAACAAAGGCGGGTGCGTGCCAATCCAAATAACCACGTATCCCCAGGGCCCTACGGCTCTATAGAGGAGGAGCAGGGCGAGATGACGAGCCAGAAGAACCTCCTTGCCTACCAGCAGCAGCGCGACCAGGATTAGCAGCACCAGCACCAGCACCACTATTCTTGTCGTTGTTATTGCTCTTGCTCTTATCCTCCTTCGGATCCGGACCCTGTACAAAGTTCACCGTCCCCTTGGCATACCTTTCCACGTACGCCCGCGCATTCTTCTCAAACTCGGGCCGATCCCGCCGGTACTCGTCCGCGATGCGCTGCTCGAGCGGGTCGTCCGGCATCGGCTCCACCAGTATGTTGCGCACGGCTTCGAGCACGTTGATGATCTTGCTCGAGGGCTTCCAGTTTTCTGACTTGAGCAGCGCCAGGCAGATGTTGCCCAGCGAGTCGTTGGTGATGTTGGGGTGGTAGATGCGCGTCGTGAAGTTGATGGTCGGAGCCTTGAAGGGGTATTCGGTCGGCATCTTGAGGATCAGGCCGAAGCGGCCTGGCGCGTAGACCGAGTTAGGGGGCGCCGTCACGGTGACGTGCCAGGTGTGCAGGTCGGCGTCGGAGGGAAGGGTGATGGAGATGCCCGGGGGTGGGGCGGTGGTGCAGTCTGCGAATTCCTGGAGAAGGAAGGGAGTTGAGTTAGTTGGGTTAGGCCTTTGCAACCAAGGAGGTAAGGGTCCGGTGGGATGAATATGAGGTGATATATATATATATATATATACCTTCGCGATGCGCTTCGTAGAGGCCATATTTGCTGATAGGTAGCAGGTTCGACTCGAGGAAGTAGGTAGTGTACTGGGTGGAACGTATACAGCGATGACAGCTGATCGTGTGAGGATGAATGAAAAATAGAGGTGTTCACTTCTATATGTTGTGAACCACCTCAGATGAGTTTTGGCAGTTGCGAAACTCAAAAGTGACTAGTATAAGACCGATGGTGGTGACGTTGGCTAACAAACGAGGCCTGCATAAGCTTGTTTGCTTGCTTTGTGTTGGTTTGATGGCGGGGTATGTACCGGTAAGCTGGCTGGTGAGGTACCTTGAGTATTCTTTGGTCGGGGAAAAGACCAAACAAGTGCTCTAACCAGCAACTGACAACGCAACGAAGGGTATCTTGAAGTGAAGGGAGACGTGATGTTTGGGTTGCTTATGGACACTCGGATATATATGCAGTTGTAAGTGGGAATGTGAAGATGATGAATGGGGGAAAGATGACTCCACGAAAGAGAAGGAGAGCTCCGTCGTCAAGGCTGCAGCGCTCCACGGCAAGGCTTCCACGATGCTGCCAAGACCAGTAGGGCGGTTCATTGTGGGGCTAATGTGGTGGCATCCAGAGCGGGGCCGCCCCTGCCGTGGTGCATGTTTACGTAGGACGAGACAGAGCTTGGGCCATCAAGGCCCTTGAGTGGAAGACAGAGGCCGGACACGGGGGGTTAGGGTTCAATGTTAGGCGTCCCAGGAAAGATAACATGTAGGAGTACAAGCACATCGGGATGACAAAATGTTAGCAAGGAACACATCAGCAGCGGGTGACAAAGTAAAGAAAGACCTTTGGTCTCTCTAGTCAAGACCGATTCTTCATAAGTATATTTTCTAAAGACATCTACTCCAGGCCCGGCCAGTATCACCATTACCAACATTTGAGTCGTGAGCCTTCATCTGGGATCACCAGCGCCAAAATATTTCAAACTCGTCAGGGCTCGAAGACCCATCGCTTAAGTCGAGCGACCCCAACCGAGGACCAAGCTCCTAATTGACCCCTATCGCACTTTCATGTTCGCTCCCATCATCTGTATCTTCCTCCCCAATCTCCTCTTCGTCTGCCTCCTCCTCTTCCCCCCTCCTCTTCTTCATCGCCTTCTCCATCTTCTTCTTCTTCTTCTTCTTCTTCTTCTTCTTCGATCGCGTTTCTTTGGAGAGTGCATCGCAACCTGTTGGAAGAATGTGAGTGGGTAAAGCTAAATGCTGCCATCGCTAACCGGATTCTTTAGGACTCGAACCACGATGCATGACGGGTTGAAAGGCATGGTGGGCAATGTGTGTATGTGAAGGAATTTATATGCGGATCTGGCAGGCAAGCCGTCAAGGACACTGCACATTGCATATACGCCATGGATTAGTATACCCGGTCGGCAATTAAGATGGTTGTTTAGAGCTTTTGAGGCTTGTGGACGTTCTTATCTGGTTGGACTCGGATTATGGTATACAACGGCGCTTTATATCTGTTCTTTAAACTTGCGGCAGTTTCCATACAGGCTTCTTGCAAATGGGGTTTCGTTCAAGTTTCACAGGTGATACTTTCGTTGTGACTCTACTGTGGTTGGAAATACATTTTATTCTCCAAAAGTGACTCAAAACAATGCTTTCTGGATATTCTACATCAACTCGGGAATACAGACTACCTACATCAACATGGATATGGTACATGTTCCCATGCTCAAACACCTTGCCAATCGCCGCTGCAACTACCCGAATTGAGCTGACCACAACTTTTTGGAATTTAGCCTTCGAGACGAAACGAATATGGCTTCGTTTGGGTACACTTCCACTAATGAAGAGATACAAGAAAACTAAAAACGGATCCGATATTAGTGTCTGTAGGACTATTAGAACATCTATCCATATAATCTTACACTTGAAATTTTTTATTTTCGTTCTTCATTTTGAAGGCCTTTTGACCCCTCAGATGTGGTCAGCTCAACTTTCTGCAACTTGCAGCGATGCAGCGACTGTCAAGGTGTTCGAGCACGGGAATGCATGCATGGAAAATGCTCGTTTTAAGCATGTAGCATGAGCTGCGAAGCTCACTTGGACACTTGCGTTGAAGATATCGGTAAGTGACTCACTTCCTACTTTCACACCGTTCCCAGCTATGACACATCCCAGAATGCACATAAATAGCCAGGTACTTGCCATATCTTTGTCGGGGAAGTCTTGAAATCAAACGCCGCGGATGACGAAGAGTCCTCAACACCCCCTTTCCGAGTAAACATGTGGCAGTGCTGATAGCCACAGAGCGTGTGAGCCACATTTTGACAGAGTCAGCATACCCGCCCACTGTGACGTTTGAGTCACCCCGCCAGCCCCGCTGTAGAGCAGTCGCTCCCGTCCCCCGTTAACGGCGCTGAGTCGAAAAAATTACCCCGCTGTGGGTTTAAGTTTGTCAATTGAATCGCGACCAACGCCAGTGTCGCCTCTAGAAAAAAACTAGACGCCCTCCCTTGCAACTCGCCCTTTGAGAAAAGGCGCAACTTGTATTTGCGCATCGTTCCCTTAGCTTGTCCTTTCATCCCGGACAGCAACACACACGATAACCATGGCCGATTCGAGTGCTACCACCCCTGCGGCCCCGGCCGAGCAGCTCGCCAACCTCCACCTCGACGAGGTCACCGGAGAACGCATCTCCAAGAGCGAGCTCAAGAAGCGTCAGAAGCAGCGCCAGAAGGAGGCCGAGAAGGCTGCCAAGGCTGCCGCCGCCCCCCCCAAGGCTACTTCCAGCAAGCCCAAGAACGCTGCCGGCGGCGAGGAGGACCTCAACCCCAACCAGTACTACGAGATCCGTACCCGCCAGGTCAACGAGCTCCTCAAGAACCCCGAGACCAACCCCTACCCTCACAAGTTCCAGGTCAACTACGATGACTCCAACTTTGTCGAGGAGTTCGGCTCTCTCAAGACCGGCGAGACCCTCCCCGAGAAGGAGCTCAGGATCGCTGGCCGTATCTACAACATCCGTACTGCCGGTGCCAAGCTGATCTTCTACGGTATGTGTTTCTCTGTTCGTCGTGAAGGGGAAGGAGTGTTTGCGCTAACCTGTGTGTGATGGGCAACAGACATCCGCACCTCTGCCGACACCAAGAGCATTGGTACCCGTATGCAGGTCGTCTGCCAGGCTCAGCTGGCCAAGGAGGGTGGTGTTCCCTTCGAGAAGCAGCACGCCCACCTCCGCCGCGGTGATATCATCGGCATCGTCGGTTACCCCGGCCGCACGAACCCCAAGAACCTCAAGGAGGGTGAGCAGGGTGAGCTTTCCGTCTTCGCGACCGAGGTTCAGCTTCTCAGCCCTTGCTTGCACATGCTTCCCAGCGTCCGCTACCCCTTCGCCGACGCTGAGCAGAGAGCCCGCATGAGGTACCTCGACATGCTCTGGAACGACAGGAGCCGTGAGACGCTCTGGCAGCGCAGCAGAATGGTTCGCTACATCCGTGACTTCTTCCACGAGCGCCGCTTCATCGAGGTCGAGACCCCCATGATGCACGCCATCGCCGGTGGAGCCACCGCCCTTCCCTTCGTCACCCACCATAACGACCTCGACATGGATATGTTCATGCGTGTCGCTCCCGAGCTCTTCCTCAAGAAGATGATTGTCGGCCAGTTCGGCAAGGTTTTCGAGATGGGCAAGAACTTCAGAAACGAGGGCATCGATCTCACCCACAACCCCGAGTTCACCTCTATCGAGTTCTACTGGGCGTACGCCGATGTGTACGACCTTATGTCCATCACCGAGGAGCTCGTCTCTTCGCTCGTCAAGGAGCTTACCGGCTCTTACAAGACCAAGTTCACCAACCAGCACGGCGAGACGTACGATGTCAACTGGGAGGCCCCCTGGCGCCGCGTTGAGATGATTCCCGCCCTCGAGGAGGCCACGGGCGAGAAGTTCCCCCCTTACGACCAGCTCCACACCGACGAGACCAACGCCTTCCTCCAGAAGGTCTGCAAGAAGATGGGCGTCGAGTGCCCGCCACCCCTCACCAACGCTCGCATGATTGACAAGCTCACCGGCGAGTTCATCGAGGAGACCTGCGTCAACCCCACCTTCATTCTCGAGCACCCCCAGATGATGTCTCCTCTCGCCAAGTACCATCGTTCCAAGAACGGTCTCTGCGAGCGTTTCGAGGCCTTCGTCTGCAAGAAGGAGATTGCCAACGCGTACACTGAGTTGAACAACCCCTTTGACCAGAGACTCCGCTTCGAGGAGCAGGCTCGCCAGAAGGACCAGGGTGATGACGAGGCTCAGCTCGTTGATGAGAGCTTCCTCAATGCCCTCGAGTACGGCCGTATGTATACCCCTTACGTGGACTCTTGTATGCTTGTGGAAAAACTGATGCTAACATGTCATGTTTACAGTGCCGCCTACCGGTGGTTGGGGTCTCGGTATCGATCGTCTTGCCATGTTCCTGACTGATAACTACTCGATCCGCGAGGTTCTTGCCTTCCCCTTCCTTCGTGAGGAGAAGACTGCCCACAAGGACAAGCATGCCGCCGAGCTTGCCGGTGTTGAGCCTCTCCCTGTGGAGGAAGTTCGTAAGTTTTGTCCCAATTCCGAGCATTAATGATGGATGGTGTTCAGGTAGCTAACTTGTCTTCTTTGAACAGCCCGCAAGTAAATGTCCGAAAAAATCGTATAGCATAGTCTAGATGAACTGTCAAAGGATACCTTGGATGAATGAATATGACATTGGACTGGGCTTGTTTTCTTTCTTTTCATGTGGAAAAAACACTAGGCAGTGAGGATGTCGATGTCGACAAATATCAAAGCGATGAACCAAAAACGAAAACAAATCTTCAAACTGTACAATATCGATCGATCTTTGAGAGACTAGTGAGATGAATGATTTTCGACTGCGATATGTGCCGTGATCGAGAGGCGCAGTCGCTTGGAAGAGAGCTTCCATGCTTGGATGACGTCCTTCAGGGTCCTCTTCTCAGTCGTGGATCCGATATGTATGTATGAAGACGACGTTTTCAAGATGATGTTCAAAAGTCTCCGCGTGGTCAATGTACAGCACAGTACATCTCACACAATGATAAGAGCCGCCCAGAGTCTTGGAGCTCCATACAATTATGAAGCCAAGACCCCCAAGAGCCCCCAAAGGCGCCGCTGACAAAGCAATTGCAAAATCGAGAGATCATGGTAGGGCTTGGCGGATTCCGAGATCTCGCTGGATCGTACCCGATTGGGGAAAGCGGGATTTCGGTTACCGGAGGTTAGCTGGGCCGTGAGTGGATGGTTGCCCGCTGGAGTTGCGTGGCAGTGGATACGCTGATGGAGAAGGCACGGGCAGTGTGGAAAGTGGGTTAAAGTGCAGTGGGGGAAAGGGGAACAAAAAGAAGATGAAATCGCTGTATGTATCAAAGTCCGGCCGGCGAGAGTAAGGTGATGGGGAAGAACTGTCAACCTGTCAAATGTTCCAGCTTGTCCTGCGTTGAGTGTTGACCTGCGTACTTGTTGTACATACATGCTGACTGCTGTGCACGTTTCCATCAGGCTACCGAGACTAACTAACCCAACGCACAGCATGCATTGGATTCTCTACACTACAGCAGACGCCAGACGTTTGATGTTCGGTGGAAGATTGGAAGCATACATACACTGCCACATCCACGTGGTTGAATCACACAAGCGCAAGCGATGATGTACGTATGTGGTGCTCGGTTCCATCGTTCTGGTTGAGTGTGTCATGTACACACTAGTGTAAAAGAAAGAACCCCAAAAAAGATGATGGGTATCACAAAGGGAACCCTTCCAGATCGGGTATTTGTTTCGCTGGAGGAATCCCTCCTTGGAGACGCCCATGGCCCCAGAGTCCAGACGGTTGGACGGTTGGACTTGGACCGACGTTCGGAGACGGGTGGGTTTTGTGTGTGGGTTGTTACACCGGACACTTTTTTCTCGAATCTCGGGGTATTCAGTTCCCGGCTTGTCTTGTCTTGGGTCCAGTGTGTATTGCCCTGTTTTACGTGCTTCCTTTGCGCTTGTTAGTCGCTTCAAGTTGACGACTTACGGTTTTTCTTATCCCCGGTTCCTTGTATTTAGCAAACTCGGCGGCCCAGAACATGAAGGTAAAAAACAGAAGAAGGGGTCGTCTGGCAAAAAAGGAAATGGCAATGGAGAAAATGGAGAAATATGGAGAAGACTGGGCAAAAAGGGCAGAAAGAAAGAACAAAAAAAAGGCCAAGACATTTTGGGTACTAAGCCTCCCTTTTCGTTCTTGGCCGATTGTTAATGGCACCCATTTCTTCTCTTTGCATTGGTCGCATCTGTCGCATTCGTACACTAACAAGCCAACTGAATTGAACCTTGAAGATCGAGCCGAGCAGAGACGGATTAAGGAATCTTTTTGATTGATACTGTGTGATATGGATTAGCGATCGATAGGGAACCAGTGGGCTGGATTGGAACGGATTCCGTTCGTTCGCTTCCATCGTTCAATCTTCAACAACCATTCTTTTCTTTCTCCCTTCCCCCCCACCTCCACTCCCTCGGTTCCTCCATCTCTTCAAACACAACCCTTATTACAACAATTTTGCAGGTTATATCAATGACTTGATATCCTAGCTTGATTGGTACATTTCTACTTTCTGTATCGTCCATTCACTTTTTATTTTCGACATTGTCGCATCTTCATACTCACAACACCAAAGTTAATCCCTTCGGAGCTCATTGCGCCGACACACCTCACACACACATCAGACGAACGACGACATACCGGACGAACGATTTCATCACATCATTCCTATCGTGGCACCTACTCTCGACAACAACCCCCCTGCACATAGGCCATAATTCAACGACAAAAGAGAGGACTATATTACGGTTCCTCGTGGCTTCACGACGCTGATCGCATTGACGAAAATCACTACGCCAACCAGCAAGGAAAACAGATTAGTGGGACAGAGCACGGATATCATTGCGATTGCGCTTCCTGCTCAGTTGGAATCGGCAGTAATCAACGGTCTATCTCAACAAGGGGGATATTGGGCAGCTGGGTGCAAAGGGGGAGGACTAACATTCAACAGCCTCGGTTGAACAAGGGGGAGGACAAGAAGGAGAAGAGGAAGGGTCAACAACCCCCTACTAACCGCCAACATGGCGATAATAAGCCAAACATGGACGCTCACGCGCAAGAACCTGCTCATCGTCCTTAACCGACACACCACCGCCACCGTCATTCGCGCTTTTTTCCTTCCGGTTATCATCGTCGCATTCCTCAGTTTCGCAAAGAACCTCTTCGTCCCTTACGCCGTCTTCGGCATCAGCGATGTCCATCCTGTGCGCTCCCTCGCCGACGGCCTGCAAGCCTCCAGCGGAACCGGCCGCAACACCGTCGCCTTTGTCAACAACGGTCTGCGCGGCGGAGAGATTGATCGGGTTATCGAAGAGCTGGCCACTGTTGTTCGTGATGCCGGCAAGAACGCCTCCATCGCTGAATCCGAGCAGGAGTTGGTTCTGACCTGTCGCGCCTCGTTACGCGGCGTTACCCCCTGCTATGGCGCCGTCGTCTTCCACTCTTCGCCTGATGAGGGCCCTGGTGGTTTTTGGAACTATACCCTCCGTGCTGATAGTGCGCTGGGCACCGGAAAGATCAACGTCGACAAGGATGACAATGACGCCCAGATTTATATGCTTCCTCTACAGCGCGCCGTCGATGCTGCCATCACCCGCAACGGCGACAATAAGCTCCCCGAGAGACAGGACGAATTCCCCTTCACCTCGCTCACCAAGGAAGAGCGCGCCGATCGTGTCAGACAGCTGTACCAAAAGACCATCTATAACGTTCTGGGTGTTACCTTCCTCATCAGTGTTATCGGTGTCTGCTACCATCTGGTTGGCTTCATGGCTTCGGAGCGCGAGACGGGCATGTCGACTTTGGTTGAGGCCATGATGTTCACCAAGAGAACCTGGGAGGGCCAGGCTGCGCGTCTGCTGTCGTATCATCTCGGCTTCACCATCCTCTACCTGCCTGGTTACGTGGTCAGCTCCATCATCATGTGGGCAGCCGTCTTCAAGACAAGCAGCATTGGCATCCTCATCATCTACCATGTCCTTGCTGGTCTGTCGCTGGCTTCCTTTTCTATCTTGGGCGCTGCCTTCTTCAAAAAGTCACAGCTCAGCGGTATCTCTATCGTCATCCTCTACATCCTGCTCGGTGTCATTGCCCAGATCGTCACCGCACCCAAGACCGCCACCGTTGTCGTCCTCAGTTTGTTGTTCATGCCTTGCAACTACGTCTACTTCATTTCGTACCTTGCTCGGTTTGAGGCCAAGGAGATGGCGACCAACCTGGGCAAGAGTGCTCCTGAAAGCCCCTGGCAAGTGGCCGGTATTGTACTTTGGATCTTCCTCATCGTTCAGATCTTCGTCTACCCCATTCTCGGTGCCATGATTGAGAGATATCTCCACGGAACGACTTCTTCCACCCGCAACATCGTGTACGGCGAGAACTCGGAGCTGGGACCCGACAATGCTGTTCAGCTGGATGGCTTCACCAAGATCTACAAGCCGGGCCCTCTGCGCAACATGTTTTCGTTCCTGTCCAAGCCCAGAGAACCCGTCGTTGCTGTCAACGGTTTGACTCTCACTGCCCGTCGCGGTCAGATTCTCGCTTTGCTCGGCGCAAACGGATCCGGCAAGTCCACGACTCTTGACACCATCGCTGGCATCAATAAGCTTTCCAGCGGCAACATCACCATTGACGGCACCGGCGGTCTCGGCATTGCTCCTCAGAAGAACGTGCTTTGGGATGAGCTCACGGTCGAGGAACATCTTCGCATCTTCAACCGACTCAAGTCCCCCAAGCAGCTCGCCACTAAGGAGGAGATCTTGGAACTTATTCGCGGCGTTGACCTCGCCCAAAAGATTAACGCGAGATCCGGTACTCTCTCTGGCGGTCAGAAGCGCAAGCTTCAACTCGGAATGATGTTGACAGGTGGCTCCGCCGTCTGCTGCGTTGATGAAGTCTCCAGCGGTATCGATCCTCTCTCTCGTCGCAAGATTTGGGATATCCTCCTCGCTGAACGCGGCCGTCGCACCATGATTCTCACTACCCATTTCCTGGACGAGGCCGATCTTCTTGCTGACCACATCGCCATCATGTCCAAGGGCACGCTCCGCGCCGATGGTTCCTCTGTCGAACTCAAGAACCGCATGGGTGGCGGATACAGAATCCATCTGAACAACGCCAAGTATATCACGAATTCGCCCGACGTCTCTGGTGTGCAGAAGAAGGTTTCCCCCGAGGAGATTACCTACATCGCTTCCAGCTCAGCCTCTGCTGCTTCGGTTATTAAGAGTTTGGAGGCTGCTGGCATCTCGGACTATCGCTTCTCTGGGCCCACTATTGAGGATGTGTTCTTGCAACTTGCTGAGGAGATCCGGGCGGAGGATGGCGCGAGACTCGACCAGTTCCAAAGCACCGATGCTGTCCTTGGCGCACAACGGAGCGCTGAGAAGCAGTCTTCGACTGAGATGGTTAACGACGCCCCTGTGGAGGACACAACCAAGCCTGGTCTCAACCTCCTGTCTGGTCAGCGTATCGGATATCTCAAGCAGGGCGTCGTTCTGTTCCGCAAGAGGATGACCATCCTCAAGCGCAACTGGTTCCCTATTTTTGCTGCATTCCTCATTCCTATTATTGCTTCCGGCTTGGTCACCCTGTTCGTTAAGGGCAAGGATCCTGTTGGCTGCAACCCGGCTGATCAGTCTTCTCGTCGTGTTGCGCAAAACCTCTTCGCTTCCGACTTTGACCTCTACATGGTCGCCGGTCCGTCGGACAAGTTCTCGACTAACAACCTCGCAAGTCTTTTTGCTCCCATCTACATGGCTGCTCGGGACAACGCTACCGGCAGCGGCATGAACCCCCTGGGCCTGTTCAAGAACATCACGCTGGTTGACAGCCTGGACGAGTTCAACTCTGCTGTGGTGCAGTATCGCAAGGACATCACTCCCGCCGCTATCTGGCTTGGAGATGACAACTCTGTCCCGACCATGACCTACAAGTCCAACAGCGTGGAACTGTTCAGCGCTTGGTTCGGTCAGTGGATCACCGATATGGTGCTGTCCAACACCACGATTGCCTCCCAGCTTGTCAACTTTGACATCCCCTTCTCTCCCGACGCCGGCAAGTCTCTCCAGATGCTTGTGTACATGGGCCTCGCATTCTGCGCCGCTCCCGGTTTCTTCGCTCTATACCCCAACCTTGAAAGAAGGCGAAATGTGCGTGGCCTGCAATACTCGAACGGTGTGCGCCCCTTGCCGCTGTGGCTCGCTACACCACCTTCGACTTCCTCATCGTGCTCGTTTCGAGCGCGATTTGCGTTGCTTTATTGGCGGGCCTTGCTAGTGTTTGGTACAACGTCGGATATCTGTTCGTCGTCTTCATGCTCTACGGCCTCGCCTCAATCCTGCTGGCTTATGTTATCTCTCTCTTCAGCAACAACCAGGTTTGTCCCTCTCATTTGCGGTCCGACGCCCACTATGCTTGTACTGATACAAATGTTACAGCTTTCTGCCTACGCCTTCACAGCCGGTGGTCAGGTCGTCATGTTCCTCATCTACCTGATCGCCTACATGTGCACCATCACCTACGGCCCCGTCGACAAGGTGGACGATCTGCTCGTTGTGGTGCACTTCGTCGTGGCCATCTTCGCCCCTATCGGCTCGCTCACTCGCGCCCTCTTCATCGCGCTGAACCTCTTCTCGACTGCATGCGACGGTGACGATCTTGCCTCGTACCCAGGTGGTATCCTCCAGTACGGCGGCCCGATCCTGTACCTGATCATCCAGTCCATCATCCTCTTCATCCTCCTCGTCTGGATCGACGCCGGCAACCCCGGCTCGACCCTCAAGCAGCTCTTCAGGCGCAAGCCGTCCACCGCCCCGCCCACCGCCGCCCAAGAAGCCGCCGGCATTTCCGACGAAGAAGTCGCCCATGAGCTCGTCCGCGTCAAGTCCTCCACCAACTCCACCGGCGCCGCTGGTGTCAACAACACCGACGGTCTGCAAGTCGTCAATCTCACCAAGACCTTCGGGCGCAACACCGCCGTGGACAACGTGACCTTCGGCGTGCCGCACGGCCAAGTCTTTGCCTTGCTCGGTCCCAACGGTGCGGGCAAGTCCACCACCATCTCCGTCATCCGCGGCGACGTCAAGCCCGACTTCAACTCCGGCGGCGACGTCTTCGTCGAGCAATCCTCCGTCACCCGCTCCCTGGCCGCCGCCCGCTCCAACCTGGGCGTCTGCCCGCAGTTCGACGCAGTCGACACCATGACGGTCCTCGAACACCTGCGCTTCTACGCGCGCGTGCGCGGCATCCCCGCCTCCGGCATCGAGTACAACGTCGAGCAAGTCATCCGCGCCGTCGGCCTGACGCAGTTCCGCGACCGCATGGCCCTGGCCCTCTCAGGCGGTAACAAGCGCAAGCTTTCCCTGGGCATCGCTTTGATGGGTAACCCCACCGTCGTGTTACTGGACGAACCTTCTTCGGGGCTCGACGCAGCTGCCAAGCGCATCATGTGGCGCACTTTAGCTGAAACCGTCCCTGGTCGCTCCATTCTTTTGACCACGCACAGCATGGAAGAAGCCGACGCACTCGCCGGCCGCGCAGGCATTCTGGCCAAGCGCATGCTTGCCATGGGCTCCGTTGATTCTCTACGGAAACGCTTCGGCGATACATTGCACGTGCATCTCGTCTGCCGCGGCGCGCCGCGCACTTCCGAGTCGCAGATTAACCAGATCCATGCGTGGATCGAATCAACGTTCGGCAGCCAAGCCGAGTTGGAAGGGAAGACGTACCATGGGCAGATGAGGTTTTCCGTCCCTGCCGCCGTCGTCTTGTCTCTCACCACTGGCGTCAGCAACCAGAGGTCAGATAAGGGAATGGCAGCTGAGGATATCAGAGAGACGGAGACGGCGCAGAGCACGACTAGCGCTATTGGCAAGCTGGTGGTGTTGCTGGAGGAACAGAGGGAAGGGTTGGGCGTGGAGCATTTTAGTGTTAGTCCGACGACCCTGGATCAGGTTTTCTTGGAGGTGGTGGGGAGACATGATGTACGGGAGGAGGGGTATGCGGCGGAGGGTGGGGAGGAGAAGGGTAGGAAGAAGGGGTTGAAGGGGTTGTTTAAGAGGAAGTGAGTGGATGTGTGAAGAAAGATATTTGTTGTGAAGGGTGGTGTTGTGAAGATGGGAAGAGGAGAGGGGAAAGAGTAATGGACCAGTTGTGTACGTGTTTCCGATATCTTGGATGGTAATGGTTGGTTATGTTCATGTTGTATGCTGCTGCAAGCGTTGTCTCTTGGATTCTCTCTAGGTATGAGCAAGCAAGCAAGCAAGCGAGCGAGCGAGAGCGTTTTGGTGTAGAGAGAAATGATTGCATGCATGATGTGCACACGGGAACCTTTTAGGGTTACGAGTGACGAGCGGGCATATTTTTCTTGGATTTCTTCGGATCGTTCGGACTTTTCTTTACATTTTTATTACGTTACATTACATAAGGTGGTTTGGATTTCTCTTCTCGGCAAAGTTATTGTTATTGTTGTACATATCCGATCTTTTCACTTTTAGGTTTTTAGGCATTAGACCTTGTGCAAAGGGATTTTCTGGTTGATGAAGAAGAGTTTACAACCATTAGGCTATGTCACGTCATTGACTGCAGTGCGGCTGTATTCAAGCACCTTGATGTATGTGAACGGAATAAAGGAGCAGGTCCATTGAACCGAAATGTGTCTGCTCGCGCTGCTGCTGCTGCTGCTGCTGCTGATATCTGTCTCATCTACGTATCATCCATCACTCGATCGTGTCAAATTGCAGTCACCAGAAATCACCATCATCCTGATTCAATGCGATGCCAAATAGTAGACTAGAAGCGTACGACGACGATATGCATAGAATGGTATCGGTAACATAAAAAGTCTTAAGAACTCGTGCAAAAGAAAATCCTAACCGAAACATACAAGAAGGAGAGAGAAAGAAAAGAAACACCACAACCCAACCCCATCCATGAACGGTAGTGACCCGCTCACCTGAGGTAAGAAACGGGATTCCTGTGCACCTCCTTGAAATGCTTCTTCATGCCCACCACCTCAGTGCGCTTATACGCGTCCACCTCCCTGCGGCGACCCTTCTCCACCACCTTCCTGAGCTCCTTGCTCTCCAGGTCTTTGATACCGTTGGCACCGAGCAGACCTCTCGTCTCACGGGTGATGACGTGTCTGCCGTGCGCCTTGCGGTCTCTGAGCTGGATCTCCCTGTTCTCGTTCCTCCTGAACCTGGGCTCGCCGTCGCTGTCGTACTGCATCTCCGCATCATCCTCGGCACCCTCACCGGCGGCCTCGAGAAGGAGCTGATGCTGGCGCTCCTCGGGCGTGGGGTAGTTGTGCAGGTTCTGGCGGAAGTAGCGGTTGAGCGAACGGTGGCCGACGGAGCGGCCGGATGGCAGGTGCAGCTCGTACTCGTCGTAGTACACGGCGTTGACGCCCTTTTTGCTGTGTGCATGGAAACCATCGGCCTGGCGGTGGGGACGCGGGACGTCGCTCGCGTGGTGGCGGTGGCTGGCCAGACGCTCGTACTGGTGGTAGTGGCCCTCGCCGGGGACGGCGTGAAGGTCGTCCGAGTCGAGAGACGAGGCAGAGCTGTCCGTCTCCCAGCCTTCTTCCTCGCCGCCTTCGCCTTCGCCATCGAGAACCTCGACCTTGGCTTCGCGCTTACTGCCCAGCTTGGCGCCACCGGCTCCTTCCTCTTCCTCTTCCTCCTCTTCATCCTCGGTGTCCCAGTCGTCGCCGTCAGAGTAGGTGCTGCGGAAGTCGTAGAATTCACCGATTTCGAGCTGCTCCTCCTCGGTGGTGTAGGGAATCTGGCAATGACCCTTGTCGCGCATGTGCGTTTGCACGGCATAAACGTTCGAGCGCGGCTTGCCGCACATCAAGCACTCGTTCAGCTCGAACACGCGTCTCCTGAGAGAACCGAGCAGACCCTCCAAATCAACGAGGTACTGCTTCTCGGGAATGAACATGCCGTGTATCCTCTCCATGTGGGTAGCGTTGAGAGCGGGAGTGGGGGACTCGTAGTTGCAGAACAAGCACTGCTTGAGGAGGGCGGCGTCGGCTTCGGGTTGGGTAGGGGTAGCGGTTCCGGAGGTCTCTTCGGGCTGTTCGCTGGCAGCAGCGTCTTCCACGGGGTGATCCTCCTTGTGCTGGTCGGCGGCAGAGAGATGGGGGTTGGCGGGACGGTCGACGGGCGAGACAGCATCCTCGATCTTGGCCTGCTTGATACCCTCAACAACCTCGTTGAACTCCTCCTCGGCATCGGAATCGACCTCGGACTTGGCCTCCGAAGCGGGCTCGCCCAAAGAGAAAGTCGAGCTCATAACCGAGCTAACCTCGTCGTCGGCCTTGGTGCGTCCGGTGGCGGCAGGGGCCCTGGAGGCCAAAGCAGCGGCCCTCATCTTGTGGTTCTTGCTGCTGATGTGGTTCTTGTACGAGTTCTCGCTGAAGTAGGTCTTGGAGCAAGCTTCGCAGGTCATCTCAAAGCTAGCCTTGTCTGTTTGCGCGGTAACCTCAGCGCGGGACTGGAGAACCTTTTCGGTGAAGACCTCGGAGGAGATGGGCGGGAGGGAAGCGACACGGCGCTTGAGGTTATAGCGACTAGAGGACAAGGTCAGTCATCTGCAAAGATCGAGATCATGAAGGTGGTAAGAAACAACATACTGCCAGTCACTGCGCATATGGCCCTTTTGCAAGTCGATGTTGCGGAAGGCGACTTGACAGGTGTTGCACGTGAAGGGATGGGTGGTTCCGTGGTTCATCGTCGAGACATCGGCGGCCATGGGGGCCGTCCTGCTGGCGGAAATAGTAGCCATTTTGGCAGTGTTGCTCTTTGCGGATGGTGTTGTTTGCGACAGAGAAGAAGATCTTGTGAGGATCTGGAAAAGAGAAAGAGAGACGTCGGTTTATTTAGACGCTACTCTTTTTATTAATAATCAGGCGATATGCGCGTGGTCGCAAAGCCGGGGCCGTGATGGGTTGGCCTGGAGGATGAGAAAGCCGGAGGGTTCCTGCTGTTTCTCTTTTGCCACTTAGTCACTCGTCTGTTTGGTGAATGGTGACTGGTGTCCGGTGATGATGTTGACAAGAGACAAGGTCGGTCGGTGGTCGAAGTGACTTTTTCTTATCTAAATTTTCCAAAGACGGGTGGACACCTGGGTTCGCTGTTACTGCACTGATAACCCGGCGCAATGGGTAAGGTGCGTCAGTGGGTGGAGGACTAACAGGCATGTGCTGAGGAAAAACAAAGCAACGGAAATGTCGAATTTTGGTGGCGGATTTGTCTTGCCTGCCCGCGGCTTGCTAGCACTGCCCCTCCAAAGCCCGCTATAATTTGGGGAAGGGCAGGGATGGGCCGGCGCAATCATTTGGTGGGGCAATCAAAGTCCCTGGAAACTGCGATCGCAAGAGCCCCATTCTGAGCCATTCTGACGAAAGTCCCGTCACTGTGAATTGCTGAGTCAGACGGCGGGAAACATGCCGGCATCATCTCTTCAGCACGCATTCTAGGGGAGGTCTGTGCGTTGTTACGCATGAGATCTTGATCTTGACGCCGTGACGGTGAGCTTCCATTTCTTGGCTCCAACGGTAACAGCGGGCAGCAACGACCCCGGCGACACAGGGGCATTCTGTAACTGACGACCAGAACCCCAGGACCAAGCAACAGGGCATCCATTGTCCATCTTCAGCCTTGCCCAGATCTAATCCCCATCGATTCTTGGCTTCCTTCTAGTTCCGTCCGTCTTGGACTTGCTCTTACAACTTTGGCGACACCTTCGAGTGTCCAACTTCCACTTACACGGCATTGCTTTACTGGCTCCTCCATTACATCTCACGAACCTACATACAACAAGCCCAACTTGCGACGAAACCGACGGCGATCACCTCAACATCTCCCTTCTTCCTCATGCTTCCATCCGACCCTTGAGCTTCAGCTCCCGTCTCTGTGCGCCGACGTAACCACTCACCCACTCTACCTGACGCAACCCTCCTTGATCTCGAGGTCCGTCTGACGAATCGGCGCATCACATTCTGTACCACCCGACAACTACCGTACTCGACGGCTTCGCGGAACCTCAGCTTGTACATCCAGCCGATCCATAGACGCCAACCCTTTTGCGACATCTTGGACCTCGAGACCATCTGGTTCGAATCGCAAACAATCGAATTGTATTGCATCGCATTGCTTCTCTATATTGCTATCACGACAACTCTGCTTCCCCTAGCCACCAGTTCCGATCCTACATAACGTCTCGACATTGATGTCATGACTCGAGATACTCTTCGCCCAGCCGACGGCAGCCATAACAACAGCCCCGAGCTAGACATTCTGGCCGGCCTGTGGGAGGAAGCGCGCTTTGCCAGGCTACCATGGGACGCCCCTGAGGAGTTGAGAGAGTTGGTGGAAGAGATTGACAATCCTAGGAAAGTATACGCTGTTCACAAGGCCAGTCGCAGGCACAACTTCCAACTTCTGGTCCAAAAGTACATCTTCCAACTACGCGAAGGTTGCGGTAACGAAAACTGTACAACGCCAACATGCTTCAGCTGCCGCAGGAGGCTTGCTGGCCGAGCACCCATCCGACGATACAATACCACGAGCGCGAGGATACTGGCCATTTACCTGGCGAGCCAGGACAATCCTGAGAATGGACTGTGTCCTGGCTTGCGCTTACCAAAGGCACCACCGGCCGCTCTCAATTCTCTTCGTTTCTCACCAGCTCCCAAACCTTATCACATCAAGGGGCCCAATGTTGCTGGCGACACAAGTTCACTCAAGAATACAGGAGCCGGGAAAGGACACAGGACACCGAATAATGACAGTGGGAAGGACAAGGAACGACCAAAAAGTCCAGCACAACATGCAGAGAAGGCAGAGCCAGCTTTCACGGTGCTAGAGAGGCCAAACCGAGCAGATTATCGATCCTTTGCCGCAAATGTTTTCGGAACCGTCGCTGTCAAGATGGTGGAGTGGCTTACCCCGGCTGCCATGGAGGAGATGTCACGCATTGCGAAAGCTTACGAGACAAGCGAGCCAACAATCCCAAAAGATCGCCAAGTTGGGGCGCCAAAAGCCTCAAAGAACGAGTCGCCAGGCCAACAATCGAGCGCTGGACAAGTCTTACCGCCCGGCACCATCAAGGATGCTAGGCCCAAGGAGCTGGAAACGAAGAGCGATGGAAAGCAAAACGAGGACAGCGAGAAAACAGCAGTCAAGGAGGTGAAGCCAGCAAGCGAACATCCAAGCCAACAGGGACATCGTCCTAATGGTCACCGACGGAATTCGAGTGCAAGAGTTCGGGCACCAGGATCCGGCCCGAAACCCAAGCGCAAACTGTCGATCGACCATTTTACCACTGATACTCGCCCCAATGGTTCCGCAGACAAAGGATTGCGAGGTCTCAAGGCTGCTGGCTCAACACTCACGCGCCCAATCTCCCAGCTTTCGTCGGCCGGCTATTTCGATCACGTCAGCTTGGAGAAGATGCCTCCCAAATCTGCCGATCTGAGACCCAAGACTGGCATTCGCGGGCAACTCGATGCTTCCAAAAGTACCGAGTCAAACCACCAGTTAAAGGTAGCCTTCGATTCCGGGGCTCCTGGTGTTCAAGGAGAAAGACGAGCAGGTGACGTCGAATCCGATTCCGAGGATGATCACATACTTCCTCAGACTTTGTCAAGGCTCGATCCTCGTGTAGTCGACTTCATGTGCGATGTAATACAGGAGGACGGCACCGCCGAAGGCCACGTCCTGGAACCACGAGCAGTAACCAAATTCCACAAGGGTTATGCGGACCAGAGCAAGGCGCTCGAGAGGAAGCTTGAACCCAAACGCGCTCGTTCACCCAACATGAAACTGGAATGGAAGCTGTTTGTAGAGCAGTCTCTCTTCCATGTCTTGAGTGATCCACATCAAGCTATCCGATCCTTCACCACAAATGGCCAGCTCTACGATTCGGAAACGCTATGGTACTGCATGTTACGCATGACACGAGTTGCTCCTTCTCTGGTCTTCCATAGTCTATGGATGGCTGCTGCCAGTCTGTTCGCTCCCCCAAAGGCGCTCCAGTCTCTTCGTTCGCGGACTACGAAGCTTTTCCCCAAGTCCGAAAAGGCTCTGTCAAACGAGGAGGCTGGTCGGCTTCTGTCCATTTGCTTGCACGCCTTGGTCGCTGCAGCCCCGTTGGTCAATGATGATAGACAGCTGTATGACATGTCGAGAATAAGGGCTCACGGTTTGATATTTGCTGGCAGTGGCTCGCCAGCTGCTCAACCCACTAATCTGTGTCTTCAGTACGAGGATGCCTTCTCTGACGAACTGGCCCTTCGTCTTGCTAAACGGGTTCTTGCAGCCATCCCCACACGTCGTTACTATGATGAGCTGAAGAGATCCAACATTGCAGACGATGATGCCAAAGAACACGACGTGCTTAACCCCCTATTCTCGCAATTGGATTATCTGAATGAGGATCCTTTGTACATCATCAACTTCCCCTTCTTCGACCGCACCATTCATGAGACGCGCGTTCCTATCCTTTTGCTTGACTGGGCGAGAGCTGTGATGATCAAAGAGTGGGATGGTAACCCCGAGGTGCCTGGAGATGGGCCCTTTGGTGGTGCCTTGGCCCTCGTCGATGCTATGCGTATGTTGCCCCGACCACTGTTTCTTATGTTACGCTAATACTAACGTGCCTTTCAGACGAAAAACGTGAGGACCTCCTGCTCGGTGACGTTCAGTTTCACTCCAAGTATTTTGCCGATCGGTTGGACGTAGTGGAGGCGCCGGTCAACTGGCTTGCGCACGCTTCGAACCGGAAGAAGCTGCATTTGCTAGATTTTCCCTATCTATTCGACAGCAACACGCTCGTGGGCTTCTTCCGTGCCATCAACCTTTCTCGCATGAACCGCTATTACGAGCAGTCGGCCTCGATTCAGGAGAGATTTGAGGTTTATATGGGAAGATCCAGCCCGATGAATGAGCACCATAAAAGGGTCCTCTTTGACAAACTCAAGATTGCGAGTTCCAAGTACCTCATCCTCGAAGTTAGACGTAATAGGGTCATAAGGGATGCTTTCGACCAGCTATGGCGGCGAGAGGAGCGGGAACTCATGCGGCCGCTCAAGATCCACCTTGGTGAACATGCTGGCGAGGAAGGTTTCGACTCTGGTGGCGTCCAGCAGGAGTTCTTCCGCCTTGCCATGGCAGAGGCCTTGAACCCTGACTATGGCGCGTTCACGGTAGACGAGAGAACCAAGATGACCTGGTTCCAGCCTGGGTCTGCGGTGGAGGAATGGAAGTTTGAGCTCATCGGACTGCTCATGTCTCTGGCCATCTATAATGGTCTCACCCTTCCAGTCACCTTTCCCAAGGCGCTTTACGCCAAACTCCTTGGCGAGCCCGTTACCGACCTCGACCACATAGCAGACGGCTGGCCTGACCTTGTCAGCGGGCTTACCATGCTCCTTGACTGGGACGAAAAGGAAATGGGCGGTTCCGTCGAAGACGTGTTTTCTCGCACTTACGAGTTCTCTGTCGAAAGCTTTGGCGAACAGGTGACCAAGCTTATGACACCTCCACCCCCGCCCATCTGCTCTCGAGGGGGCAAGTTGGCCGCCGAAACGGACGCTTTCTCTCGGGAAGAACCCTGGCCTCAATTCTCTCCCGCCTTCCGAAGACTCAGTGACGCCTCGTCTACCGCCTCCACTGTCCGTTCCGAAGAAGAGGCACCGCTCGTCACAGCCGCCAACCGCGAGCAGTTTGTGTCTGATTACATCCGCTACCTGACCGATGTCTCCATCCGTCCACAGTTCGAGGCCTTTGCGCGCGGCTTCTGTACCTGTCTCCACCCCAAGTCCCTGTCACTGCTCACCCCCTCGCTTCTCCAGTCGCTAGTCGAAGGCGTGCAGGAGATCGATATCAACGAGCTCCAGCGGTACACGCGCTATGTCGACTGGGACGCATCCCACCGGACCGTCCGCGATTTCTGGAGTATCGTTAAGAAGTACGACGACAAGATGAAGAGACGGCTGCTGGAGTTCGTCACAGCCAGCGACCGCTTGCCGGTCGGAGGCGTCAAGAACCTGGTCTTCACCCTTCAGAGGAACGGCAAGGAAGATTACACTGATGTGGACGATGAAGATGAGGAGGAGGAAGATGATGGTCCGTATGACAGCGATGAGTGGGAAGTACAGGGTGAATTCAGCTCCGACGAGTATACTTCCGAAGAGGAGGAGGATTTCTGGGGGCAACGCGAGGAAGAGGAGGAGGATAACGACGGGGTGAGGCGAGGCGAAGTCGTCATTGAAGATAGTGGCGAGAGCCACGAGAGTCAAATTCGGTCCCAGGCTCACAGCCAGCCCGCTCCTGAAAGTCCAACCACCACCAACAACAACAACACCTCGGCAGAGGATGACGCAAGACAGCAACAACAGGAAAACACGCCACCGCCGCCGCCGCCGCAGCAGCAGCAGCAGCAGGAGCAGCCGACGACGACGCCAGCGCAAAGAGCCCGTACTTCCTCGTCGGCCAATGGACACAGGAGACGCAGAAGCGTAAGAAGTTCTCATAGTCATGGTCATCGGGAAAGGCGCGCTAGTGCTCGCAGCGGCACCGGAGAGCAACAGCTTGAAGAGCAAGCAGCACCACCAAAGGAGAAGAAGAAGAAAGCACCGAGGTTACCTACCGCTTATACGTGCTATGGCATCCTTCTGCTGCCGGAGTACAGGGATAAGGAGATGTTGAGGGAGAGGCTGGCTATGGCGTTGGAGAATGCTCAGGGTTTTGGGTTTGCCTGATCTCATGTCTTTGTCACTATCTCACTTTGGTTCGTGGTCGTGGTGATGGTGGAAGGAGGGATATGGTGGGGGTTATACATAATGGGTAAGTAGCAGCGATATATCACGAGTGGCGAGCGGGACCTTTTCAAGCGGGTTAATCGGCTTCTGGGGTAATTGGGGAGTGGGTTGGTAGGCTGGGAGGAGGGGAGCATGTATATACGTCACGGTAGCGGAATGGGAGATGGTATGGGACAAAGCGTTTTCTTGAATCTGGATTTCTTTTTTGAAATTTAAAATCCTTTTGATTTATCTATCCCCCTTTGCTCGCATATTTTCTCTTGGCCACAGATACTACTTGTATCTTCACTCACCCCCCCGGCTCCCATGTCCACAGGTATGTCCCGTCAATTTAACCTCCACTCCATGTCCCACTCTCTGTCCATCCATCCCTCTCATTCTGCCCTACCTCCTTGTCCTCCTTGACCTCCTTGAGCGGCTCCTTGATCCCCCTTCTTCAGAACCTTTTTCTGCAGCAGAACTTTTTTCGTCGGAGCCTTATCCTCCTCTGGGTTCTTCTTCTCCACCTTCTGCTCCTTCTTCTGCTCCTCCTTCTGCTCCTCCTTCTCCTTCTTCTTCTCCTTGTCGTTGTTGTTCTTGTTCTTGCCCTCGTCATTGCTCCCCTTACAATAAAAATCCGTATTCCCCTTCCTCCCCCTCCCCCTCCCCCTCCCCCTGCCCCTGCCCCTGGTTTTATTGTTCTTGTTGTTGCCCTTGTACTTCTTTCGCCTTTGTTGCCTTCTGATAACTGAATCCATGTCCTGTCTTGCGCTCGCGAGGTTTTTTGCCATTCCGATTCTTTAATTGCCAACTCGATCGTTTTGGACCGGAGGTGGTTGTTGTTGGTGGGGAGATTGGAATTGGCGGTGGTGGGACTTTGCGGGGTTTGGGTTTGGGTTCCAAGAGGGGGATATTCTTCTATTGTTTTTGGGGGAGGGGGATGATATTCTTTCACTTTTGTGGAGGGAGGGGGATATTCTTCCTTTTGTTTGATTATTTTAATTATCATTTTGGGAGGGGGAGGGGGGTGAGGTGAGATGAGGTAATCTGGTTAGGTACCTGAGACAGTAGAGCTTGTTACCTACCTAGGTATGTTGTTGAAAGAGGAAGCAAAGGGAAGAGTGGGAGGGAATGAATGATAGGTAGGCAAGTCAAGTGTCGTTCTGACGCTTCAGAAAGTTCCCTCAAAGGGTCGGGCGGGGGTGGATGGTGAGTGAGGTGAGGTTGATTATGAAGCTCTCATGTCTGTCTGTTGTCGTTGGCTGACCGGGCAAGGCATAGTTTTATACCTACCTACCTCTGGTATAGAATAACTGGCTAAATGACTGATTGATTGATTGATTGATTGCAACGGTGATGTGGTCTTCCACTCACTTTCATTACTCATGTCGATTGACGAGCGTCATCGAGGGAAGCAAACTTGCGATCACGCTGAGCCGATGACTAAACTGACCCGGACATAACAAATCTGGTATACTGCCTGTAGGTAAGGGAGAGAGGGCCACCATGACTGTTCTCACGCCATTCAGACTCACCTTCATAACTGAATCACAATAGGACGACGATGCCCGGATACATGTAGCTGGCTCCTACAAATGCATGAGGCTTGGGTTCATACGTACCCACTCTTCAGGTGGATTGTCAGGCAATTGAGTCATAAATGATGATGAGTGGTGATAAGGGCTGGGGATAGTAAGAGGGTGTGNTTCTTCTTCTTCTTCTTCGTCTTCCGCCTCTTCGCCCCCTTCCTCTTCTTCCTCTGTCCCTTCCCCTACATCACCTTCATGCTCACCTGGCTTTACATCTTCCTCGTCTTCCTCGGCCTCTTCGACCTCCTCGTCACCTTCCTCACCCTCGTCCTCCTCCTCCTCCTCCTCCTCGTCCTCTTCCACTTCAACACCTTCCTCATCTTCATGATCCTCGTCCCCACCTTCGACATCTTCCTCGCCTTCCACATCTTCCATCTCCTCATCAGCATCCTCTTCGCCTTCTTCCTCTTCCTCCGTCTCTCCAATCTCAACAGTTTCCTCAACCCCCTCATGCTCACCTTCTTCATCACCCTCATCCTCGATGTCCCCTTCCACTACAGTTGTCCCTCCTCCTCCTCACCCCACAGTTGTCCCTCCTCCTCCTCACCCCTCCTCCTCCTCCTCCTCCTCCTCGTCTTCAACATCCTCCGTCTCCGGAACTTCATGCACAACAGCCGAAGCGCTAGCACCACTCCCATTGTGAGGTCTGCCTGAGCTCGTCTTCAACCCCCATCTCATGGGTCCTATCGAGCCACCCTCTGTCGCAAGCTTATGATGGTCAATGCTGCTGCTGCTTCCTGGCCGCTGCTGATTATGCTCATGCTGAGCAGCTCTGGCTACCTGGTTCTTATGCCAGCTCGGCTTTCTTGGCGTCCGCTTTGGCTCTACAGATTTTCTATTCTCATCAGCGTTATCACTGCCTGATTCTGAGCTCGAACTGTATATCGTAGGTCTGCCAGGAGTAATAGGGGTCGTGGCGGACCCGGCAGCAGCACCGACGGCAGCAGTGACATCGACGCTGCGTCTGAGGTTAGGGAATAGTAGCGACGGCGGGATATCGTCCTCGTAGTCCGCCGGCACATCACTGAGATCGCTTTCATCGTCGGCCGAATCGTGGACGCTACCGGGAGGAGAGGACATTGCTTCTTCTTCTTCGTGCTCGTCGTCGGCCATGTGGGTATCGTTATGTCCACCTCTTCTGCTGCGACGACTGCAGGGGCGGTTGTCATCTTCATCATCGGCGTCTTTCATCTCGATATCTTCGTCATTATGGCGAGTAACATCTTCATCTGTCTCTTCGTTATCACTGCCAGCCCCATCATCACGGGTTGCTTGACCCTTCCTTCCGCTACCGCTAGATGCGGAGCCTTTTCGTGATGAAATTCCTCTAGTAGACAAAGGTTTCGGTGGACCCTCTGCGGCCCTCAAGACGGCTTGTTCGGCCTTGCGTAGGACATCGGGTCTCCGAACGCCAAGCTTGCGACCGCGGTGAGTGGCGTCCCCATTGAAGGATAGTTGCTTTTCTGACATCTTATCGGGTTGCTCGGACGGGGCCCGCAGAGAGCCTGAAGCAGCAGCAGCACGATCTCTCTCTTGAAGAGCCGGCAGAATGCTGAGGGTCATGAATTTGGGTTCTTCTCCTTCTGCCGGCTTCTTGGGCGACTCTCCGTCAGCAGTCCGGCCATTCTCTTCCCCGCCAGGCGGTGCCTCTGAAGCAGCCCGCTCAGGAAGCAACTCATGGTGAATGATCGAGTAGCAATCATTGATTAAGTCATCGATCGGTCCAGCTTTCATCAAATTGGCGTTCAGTTTCTTGAGCTCAATGGCTTCCTTCATGGCGTTCAGGGCGGCATGGTTCTCAGCTTCTGGCGTGATGACCCATTCCAGCATCTTCTCAGCCACGGTCTCAAAGTCCTCTGGTGCAACGTTCTTAAAAGGATCCTCATCGTTTGCTGGGATGTCGAAGGCCTTGCGGATCATCTTGAGGTAAATCTGCACACCGTGTTGCCAAAGCTCGTTGAAATGATAAAAGTCGACGCCCTTCTTCCGAATGCGTCGCAGTACGGCCTCAAGATTGGCTCTGTCGTTCATGACAGCCAACAGCCGGGCCATGTACCTGATGTATTGCTCCGTGTAGACATGATGACGACCGGGGCGTTCAGCATCACACTTCCAGACGTTCATCACCATCGTCTTGGTGAACATGTTCTCGCGCAGAACAGCAAAAGCCTTGGAAGCAGCCTCCCTGCTTGCCTCTTTCTTTGCCTCATCTTCCTCGTCTTCAATCTCGTCTCCATCGAACAAGAGACGAGCATGACGAATGATCATACGATGCTGCCAGTTTGACTTGTCCTTATCCCTCAAGTGACGCATGTACCTGAGCATATACTCATGCCAGTCCTCGTGGTTTTCTAGCGTAACCTGTTCACCGCGGCCAGGGGCGAAAGGCTGTCGCTGCAGAATGTCTGCGGCTTCCTGGCGAGGGAGGTCGCCTCGGGTAACCAGCTTATTGATGACAGACAGGATCTTATAGTGCGGCTCAAGGATCGGGTCCTGGCCGTGCCGAGGTTTGGGTAGTGCCCGGACAACCTCGACAGTCTTCTCCAAAGCCTTGATGACCGCTTGAACCGATGGCCGACCGCGCCGGTTCTTCTCGTCGAGCTCCTCCACCGGCTTCTGGTACATCTTCCATAAACACTTCGCTATCATGTATGGATTCTTCCAGTCCTTGGGCTTGCCAGCCATGGCTTTTCGGAACAAGCTCGCGGCGAACTTCCAAACTTGGTAGTCCGACATCTGATTGTGCAATATCTCTTTGTACGTACCATTGCCCGAAGTCTCGATGAAAAACCGGTGCTGGTCCGAATGCATAAAGGGCTCCATGGCAAATGGCTCGCGGCTCGATGCATACATTCGCATGCCAAACTCGTGGTACAGGTCATAGAGCGCCTCGGTATCTCCTTCCGACATTGTATACGCGTTGGAATCTGAAGTCGAAGCATACGAATGCGATAACGCGAGAGTGTAACAATGAATCGACTGGCGCTGGAACTTGACAAGATCCGCCCGGTCCTTGTTCATCTTGTCGGCGGTCCACAGGACCATATCATCCAACTCATAGTCGAAACATTCGGCAAGACGGAACCAGGCATCCCATCTGTCTGGTGTGTACTGGAGCTGCAATCGCAAGAACGTGACTGCGATGCGTAAATCATCCAGAGCACCTGGAGTCTGGCGACGGTTGAGGTCTACACCCTTGAATTTGGTAAGGGCAATCATTCCCAGCAAGAAGAACCAGCCGTGCTTTGCGGGTGCGCTATCCGGTGTGTTGATAGTGACTGCATCTAGGTCGACATTGCCGGTAAGAGCCTTGTACAAATGCAAGGGGTGAATCGGCGTCTTCAGATATTCGTTGAAGTTGCGGTGATTGTGCATCATCTGAGCTGTTGACTTAGCAGAGCCAATAGCTTGCTGCATCGACTCGACGGTGTTTTTGAGGTCCGACTTCAACAAGTCCTTCATTGTCATGCGGTGGGCAAGCAAGCTGATCTTTTCCACCATTGCCAATGCCTGACGCTTCTCGAGCTTCTCAGGTGGGCAATCGTGCTCCTGGACGTCCCAGATGCCTACTCCTAGCTTGAGGCCATGAAGGTCATAGAGGACTTGGCCGAGATAGTCCTCCCAGTTCTCGATATTCTTCAACTTCAAGAGTTCGACCCGCATCATCTTGAGGAAGATCTTATTGGAAGACCTGCAGTATTTCCTTAGACCAAGGACCTGGTGTACGGCGGCCAGATAATCAGCCAGATCGTTCTCGGGCGTCGGGAAAATGTCGGGGTGAAGAATTATTCCCGTCTTCATAACAGCGTATTGCAATGACCATGTTCTCACTTGCATCTCCCTAAGTCTGTTGAGAAATGTTGCAGCTGGAGATCCGCTTGCCGGTGGTTGAATTATTCCTACACTGCCCTCATCCTCGTACATTGCAGCAACGTGGAGAAGACAGCTGACCTTGGCGAGAGCGGCTGATGTAGTCTTGATGTGCTCCTCATCAATGATATCGAACGAATTGTTGTGATTCAGCGCCAGATGCAACGCCTGAATGATCTGGTCATCTAGAGCCTTGAGCATTGTCATGAACAACTCCTTGCGAGCTGCCTGTGGTGTGTTGACGTAATCATCCCGCTCAAAATCATGCACAATAGTTTCGATACTCCGTAGGAAGCACGAGAACTGCTTTGTGGTATACTTGATTTTACCGTAGGCGTCGCCGAGCCTCGACCAGAGCAGCAACCGGAGATCAGTGCTGCTCTTTTCGATGAAGTTCCACAGGTCTTGCAATCCTTGGCTGGCGCAATCTTTAATGGACTTCACGTGTCCGGCAGTCTCGGTGTCTTCGTCCATTGCGTCTTCAGCAGGGTCCGAAGCAGACGAGCTGTTGATGCATACTGAATCAGGATTTAGCACAGGTTCCAAAGTTTCGATAACAGAGACGGGATCGCTCTGATCCTCTTGGAAAAGGCCCAGGAAGAACTCCATGGTTGTGAGCTTGCTAACTTCGCGATCAGCAGCAGCCACCGAAATCTCCGGCATCACGGCGTTGTTTGGAAGAACGATATCGGGAACCGAAGTTGTCGCAAGGTGATCGCGCAGACTGTGCCAGCAATTAAGGATGTGTTCACGGGGTACACCTTCACTAACTGTAATGTAGACCACAGCTGCCCAGAGGAAGCGAAGTGTTAGATCATCATCGGTGTCGAGATGGCGCCGCCGGCTAGCTTCCGTAGCTAGATCCCACCACCTCCCCAATCTTATCCTCGCTCTAGTCCGCGTAGTTAGGTCCACGACGCTGTTAGGGTTCGTGATCCGCTCATACACATCCAAGTGTAACTCGAAAAGCATGAGAACCAGACGGGCAATGTTTGTAAGAGGCTGGCGCTTGCTTTCATCGCTCAACTGCCATTGCTCAAGGTCGTAAACAACCAGTTGGTGGATTCCTTCGTCCAAACGGCTGATGACTTGGACAACGGCAACCTTCATCTGATCCGACCATTTCTCTGTCGAGTAGCCCTCTGAAAGAGCCTTAATGTACTCATAGACGACATCCTGAATTGTGTTCCAGCCCGAGTTCATTCTCGTAACGAAACCACGAATATTCCGCACGTCGTCGAACTGGGGCGGTTCAACAGCCCTTTGGGCTGGTGATTTTGAGTGTTCTAGAAAAGCAGACAGGCTGAGTGGTGGGCTTTCCCTGCCGTCCAGCAGAATGCTTGCCGTTTCTTCGTCGAAATGAAGTATCGCCTCACGTAGGTCAGTTGTTGCCGGATTTTGGATCTTACTCGTTCGATCATCAGAAGCGCAGGAATCCAGGATCTCGGTTATCCTGTCCAGAGTATCGCGGTCTGTCACGCCCAAATTTTCTAGCAGATTTTTGGTCATCTGAAAGAGGTTCTGGTCGGCGGCTTGGAAGGGCTGAAGCTGAGTGGCCAGTAGCGTGGCAGGGTCCATGGCCTCCTCCGGTGCAGTGTCCCTTCGCCTTGTCCTTTTGCTCCTCTTGGTCTCGCCTTTCTCCTCATCTGCTGGATCTGGTATGCCAGCGGCAGATTGCGAACGTTTCCTTGTTGGCAACGATGTACGGTCCTTTTGGGGCTGATCCGTTTCTTTGGGTTCTTCAATAATAGTAACTCTGGTCTCTCTAACCCTGGATTCGGCTTCTTCAGTGTCCTGTGCCTTAGACTTCTCGACCACAATGGCCTCAGCCACCGTCTCCTCCTGTATGTTGTCTTCAGGGGGCTGCAGCTGTTTATCAATCTCCATTTGAACATCTTCGTCTTCAACGATCCCTTCTGGTAGTCGGATAGTGATAGCTTGGCCAGAAAAGCCATGCTCTGCAACGAAGTGAACCAACGCAATACCAAGTTCAGTCCAGGAGTAGCTCGGGAGGGCCACGACAGGACGAGGTTGGCTGACCTCGTCGGAGTCCGGTCGTGGGGCAGCTATAGCTTTTGTGTAATCCGGGAGGGATGGTATCGGATCGATGTAACGCTCCAAGAACTTGGGGAGACTTTTTTCACGGAATGCCTTCATTATAGGGTGACTTAGGGCCATCTTGTCGTCCAGGACCTCGAGTTGTCGTTTTAGCTGTTCACCGGCGAATCCTTCGGCGAGCGATGGCGGCTCAAAATCGGTAACAGCGGGGTCATCGTCCAATTCCACAGCCGCCTCCAGACTGTACCGACTAAGCCTTGCGCTCTTGAGAAAAGCGGCAACCCTCGCAGTCTTCCTCCACAAGTCGGCATCGGAGGGGTCATAGTCGAGGGCAGCGCTGAACTCGTCCAAGGCTTTCCTGGCATCATTTTGAATGGCGGGATCCTCGTAATCGAACTCGCTACCCTGCTTACTGGCCCGTGCCTTGTGTTTTATCCGATCGACGATGAATTGGCCGTGGTTCTTGAAAGATAGGTATAAAGTTTGCGGTAGAGTGCTGGCAATTCCATCTACATCGGCAGCGCCAACCTCCAGCCCCTGGGCAAGGGTGGGTTCGATGACAAGCGTGCCATCTGGTCGCTCTTCGGTGCGTTCATACTCGGTCTTGCTCTCGGGGTATCTGAATATCTCGGACTCGAAAAGGGCATTGTAGGCGTCGGAGGCTTCGTCAAAGAATCGGGGGCCCTGGGAGTGGAGCTTGAGGGCGTTCTGGAATAGTTTCAAGGCATCGTCGACCTGTAACAAGGCTTGTATAAGTCACTGTGCAGAAGACGGACGTTCCAATCATGGCGGAGAGACAATATGTACTTGAATTTGCTTGGTGGTATCGATTTCCTCGTCGACGTTCTCTTCGGGCTCGACGTTGATCGCCTGAAAGGTTGGCTACAGGAAACACACACAAGTTAGCAAATCGATGGCACTCCAATCTACCGGCCAATCTTACCATGTTGCCAGAATCGATATTTATATCATGCGGTGGTTTGGTGGATAAGAGTGAGGACGCAACGATAGAGAGATGCCAAGTGTGTATACGGTAAAGCCCTATGGGAACTTGTGAATGTTGGGCCAAAGGGCAGTGAGTTGTCGAAGGAGAGGTACTGGTAGTTGTCAGGTCGCGACCCCAAAGTGAGACGCGATCAGGTTGCGGTGTTGGAGAGCCAGGTAAATTAATTGTTAGTGCAACCCATGCTGTGCCAGAAGGGTTCACAACTCCATACGGCAGGCATCGCAGGGATGATTGGTCAGAAACAATGGGCATGTGGCCTGTGCCTTCAAGCTACTTCCCCTGTCTCCATTCGCAATCGCATGACGGACAGCCAGGGTAGGTGCCCGAGCTGGAGCTCCTGCCGGGGCTGAGCTTCCATGCGCTGGCGGTACATGCACTGCAGTGGCAGTTCCCCCACTGGAACGCAAGCACCATGGAATCCACGAACATCGACTCAAAACAGCTGTGAATAAGCCGAACACCACCAAAAGTTGACGATCCCTCTTCCGTCCATCTTCCCGTTTTCGTCCCGATCTTGGACAAACAACAGGTCGACCGACTGTTGGCGACGACGTATTTCGACAACACCGGCAATTGCGCCACCGAAGCCTAGTCGCTGCCTAGTCGCTGTAAACCAACCAACCATCAACATCCCGCCGCAGCCTGGCGGTTCATTGCCATCACCATGGTTGCGCCAGCTGTCCCCGAGTTCGTGATGCCCCGTTCCGAGTTTCAGCCAACCCTTTGACTTGGTCCTCCAAGAAAGCGCATTCAAGACTTCAACTAACGTTTTCTTGGGCAGGATCACCGAGGAGATACTCCACGAAGCGGTTGACACTCGTACCGAGTCTCTGAGCTCACTCAGGGAGCTTGGCCCCCCCGATCTCGTACACCTTGTCAAGCAACCCCTGAAGAACCCCGGAAAGCACGTACGTACCAGTCTCTCCGATTTCTTTCAGATGCAAAACGGCAACAAACGCTGACCTACAGATCCATCAGTACGGTGTCTATCACCATGTCACCGGCGTCGACGCGTCTTCCTCGGCCAGTTTGGCGGCTTACATCAACACCCTGACCTACAAGGAGTTTGGCCATTCCGCCACTGCCAAAACCGTCGAAGGCACTTACTGGTAAACACTACTCTTTGGCCGACTGCGTCCTGAGCTTTACCTAACAAACACACTCGTTCCAGCTGTTACAATGCCTTCTCCCGCGTCGACATGCGCGTACACGCCCCCTTCCCCGGCTCCGTGGAGAGTTACTGCGTTGACGAGCGGGGCGAGAAACGAAAGGCGACCGACGAACTTTGGCTCGAAACATACCTCTGTAGTGTCCTCCGCGCATACTCGTATGCCGACGATGGTAGCGGCGATACAATCAGAAAGATTATGGGCGTCCGGCGTTTCAACCCGGTGACCAGTACCGAGACCGAGCACAAGTTCCTCAGCGCGGCCGAGCAGCTCTTCTTCAGGGTAACGCTCCCCCGTTGTCCACTCTGTATAGATGCCGTTCACTGACTTTCTTGTAGGCTGGCAACTTGGTTCAGACTCCGTGGTGCAGGTGCCAAACAATGTCTCTAACCACTTGACAGCCGGACTCCTAAAGTATTTCTCTACGACAGGACGCCATGCTTCCGGCATCAACCTCTTCGAGAAGCTTCGCTCGCAAAATGTTGAAGTGGCTTCTCTCTTGGCAAAGGTGCTCTTCATGGGATACGAGGAGGTGCAAGGAGTCCGTGTCTTGTACGAGGCCCTCAAGGAGTCACCCATGGATTACGTTATGCTTGATACCCAGGCCGAATTCCTTCTCAAGAAGTCCGAAACCGCTCCAACTCCAGAACTGAGGGAGGAAAGATTGCGCATGGCTCTCGGCTGCGCAGACCGAAGTACGATAGCCGCTCCCAGCGAGTTCGGCACATGGGCAAGACTGGCCCAGGTCTACGTTGCGATGGAGGATTGGGAAAACGCCTTGACCATCCTCAACTCGTGCCCCATGTTCACATACCAGGACAAGGATGCGCCAGTCATGCCAGAACCGAAAGACGTTAACCTACCGACCCTCCCAGAGACAAGGCTAGACGAGATAGACAGCGAGCCAGATTCGAGGTTCTCTGAGCAAGTAGACCCAAGCCTGCTCGGTCTTCGCGCAGCTGCGTATAGGGGAACATTCAAGCAGGCATACAGCATTCTCACCGAGATGACTGCCAAGATTGGCTGGGATCAACTTCTCAAGATCAGAAGCAACGTGTTTGTTATGGAAGACGAATACCGAAACGAGAAGCAGGAGCCTTCTTACCCTGCCAAGCGGAACGCGAGTACCGATGCTCTCCGTGGAACCCCGGATCATACTACGAACGGCGAAGCCGCACCCAAGGAGGGTGCCGAAAGTGAAGAGAATGCGGACGAGAAAAAGAATGATACTTTGGCTGCTGAGCAAACGGAAGACCTGGAGAGACCTCCTAGCGCTATCGACCCAGAGGTAGTCCGCAAGGCCGAAGAAAACGTGAGTCTCTAAGCTGATGCTTCTCCATGGCAGTTTGTTTTGGGTACAATGCTAACGCGTGATAGGGTGATAACGAGGATCACTTCTCCCGTCTCAACAACAAGCGTCTATGTGAACGGTGGCTGGACAGCTTGTTCATGGTTCTTTACGAAGACCTTCGCGTATATACCATCTGGCGCACCCAGATGGCTCAATACAGGGCGCAAAGTATGCAGTACAAGAAGTCGGCGGAAGAGTGGGAGATTCTCGGCAGTCTCGCTGAACGTCTACAACATACGGACGAAGCGGTTGAAGCCTACCGGGCGTGCTTGGGTCAGCGCTTCAGCCCCAAGGCTCTTACTGGTATTCTCAAGGTGTTCGAGAAGCAAAAGAGCACACGCGAGACTGTCGCCGCTCTTATCAGGTTGGTGACTTGGCAATATCGGTGGTACAGCGAATTCTCTCCCGAGCTACTCCATACCATCCGGACACTCATCGAGGACGAGGGTGCTGTGAAGGTCAGGAGTATCATCCAGGCGACCAACCTGCCACAGAACGTTCTGGACTTGACGCATCATTATGCAGCGTTGTGTGCTACTTTCCGCAGCAGCGGAACCGACGGCTAGGTTGCTAAGGCCTGTTGCTGGGGGACGACCATAAAACCCTCTACACGGTACGGATGTTTACATGGTGACTGTGGCCCAGGGGAGAGCAATCGCAGAATAATTAGTATGAGAGCGGTGTTATTATTAATGGAGAGTTTAAGCGGCTTGATGAGAGAAGACAAGGTATCCAAAATTTCAGGCGAACCATTTTAGGGTCTTGGATCCGTGGATTGGCGCGAAAACACCAGTTCATGGGGGCCCCCCTTTGACTCCGAGGAGCCCCCGTCATCAGGCCGGTCTTGCCCATGACGGGACCGGCCCCGGTTGGTCCCCATCCGTTCCACAAGGCGGCGTCCATCCTCCTACATGTAAAGTTTGGTCCCCAGTTCGCGCTCCGACCTTGGAACCTGCAGGAAGCTTGCGGTTTCTTTGCTATCCCCGGAGGTGCGGGGCTACATGGTACCTTACGGTGCCACCATCAACGTCATTAGAAGCGTGGGATAGAGAGCCCAAATACGTTAGTGCCAGCACAATGGAAGTACGTGTACGTACTGTAACATGCCAAACAGGCACCACAAAACGATCGGGCGATGGAGAAGAATACATTGGAACGGATAGGAAAGCCGAGCTCTCCACCGTTCGTGGGAGGAGAAAGTGGGGGTTTGCTCAAGAGAGGGGTTCCTAGCTTTATAAACAATGTTTACCTTCCCCTCTGAAGTCATCTTTGAATCTCAATCATCTGAACTTTCTGTTGTCTTTCATGTTGCCCATTTCACTTGCAATTCCCAAGATACCGAACATCACAAACACCACCAGACACTTTTTCAGCAAAACAAACATCATGTCTACCACGTAAGTACCCATCATTGGGTGACGTAGTGTCTAGAGCTCCCCACCCTCAAGAAGCTCAGCTAAGCTCTCAACTCTCAACAGCAGCAAAACTTACAAGCTCAACACGGGAGCTGAGATGCCCGCTGTCGGCCTCGGTACCTGGCAGTCCAAGCCCGGTCAGGTCGAGAAGGCCGTCGAGGCTGCTCTCCGTGCCGGCTACACTCACATCGACACCGCGTACGCCTACGGCAACGAGAAGGAGGTCGGCCAAGGCATCAAGGCCTCGGGCGTTCCCCGCGAGAAGATCTGGCTCACCACAAAGCTGGACAACGACTGGCACAAGCACGTCGCCGAGGCCATCGACACCTCGCTCAAGAACCTCGATACCCCCTATGTCGACCTCTACCTGATGCACTGGCCCGCCAGTCTTGACAAGCAGAACCCCAAGCAGGTGTACAACGACTGGGACTTTGTCGATACCTGGCGCGAGATGCAGAAGCTGGTCGACACCGGCAAGGTCAAGAACATTGGTGTCAGCAACTTTGGCGTCAAGAACCTTGAGAAGCTCCTCAGCGCTGAGAGCACCAAGGTAAGAAAGACTTATGATCCTCCCCTCTGAAGCGTCGTGGTGGACTGCTGAGGTGAGGCCCTTTTACTGACACATCGAATCGCAGATCGTCCCCGCCGTCAACCAGATCGAGCTCCACCCCGGCAACCCGTCCCCCAACCTCCTCAAGTTCTGCGAGTCCAAGGGCATTCACTGCACGGGGTACTCCCCCTTGGGCAGCAGCGACTCGCCGCTCTACAAGCTCGACAGCCTCGCCAAGCTCGCCGAGTCCAAGGGCAAGACTGTGCAGCAGGTCCTCCTCCAGTGGGGTGTCCAGAAAGGCTGGAGTGTGCTCCCCAAGAGCGTCACTGAGGAGCGCATCAAGGCCAACTTTGACCTTGATGGCTGGAGCCTGACTGATGAGGAGATTGCCCAGATTGATGAGGTTCACAAGCAGAACAGCTTCAAGGTCTGCGGCGACGACTGGCTGCCTGTTAAGGTCTTCTTCGGCGCTGGTGACAGCGACTAAATGTCGTAACACCTTTTCAACTGAAAAAAAAGATGTCGGTTGGAGGCACCTGTAGTTAGATGAAAAAAAATAAAAATAATGAATAATGACCCTTTTCCAGAAAATGCTCAAGAGAGTAATGAGATATGACACCCATACACCACGCCCGCTTTTTCCATGGCTGGCTATGCTCTGTGACCACACAACTGTGACATCCATCCCGACCAACTCCTCGCTCACCAACATCCGTCGGCGCAATAAGCCTTTTTGAATTCCAAACAAAACCCTCGGCCCAAGCACGAACATGGCGCCACCTCATCGCCGAAGAATCAAGCCAAATCCAACCCTAACTAGAGCTTGGCCTTCCGCCCCCTTTCCCTTTCCCTTTCCCTCTCCTCCTCCTCCCTCACCACCTCCTTCACTTGTTCCCTGATCCTCCTCGCCAACTCCCCCCCCTCCTCCTCATCCAAATCCTCCCTCTTGCCCCTCCCAAACATGGTACTCGTGAACCGTTCCGCCTCCCTCAGCCCCGGCCTGGGAATCACATGGAAATGCATATGCTCCACGACCTGCGCCGCCGCCGCCCCGTTATTTTGCACCACGTTCCAGTCCTTGATGCCCGTCGCCCGCGTCACCGCCTCTGACAGGATCCGTAGGTATCTACCCAGCTCGGCGGCTTCGTCGGAGAAAACGTCGGTTAGTTTGGCGGCGTGCCGGCGCGGGCAGAGCAGCAAGTGGCCTGGGGAGAGGGGCATGATGTCCAGAAAGGCAACCAGCAAAGGGGTGGAGAGGAGGAGGAAGGTTTGTGGATGCGGGGAGGTGGATGTGGATGGGGGAAAGGGGGTCGGTGGGGAGACGGGCGAGTAAGGGGGGAAGGTGGAGGAGATGTGGCAGAAGGGACAGTTGGGTTGGGTGTCGTTGTCGTCCGCGCTGTTCGTGGTTTTCGAGGCGGGAAGGCCGGGATCGAACATGTTGGCGTCGGGGACGATGGAGGTTGGAGTTGGTGTTGCTGGGGGTTTCTTGTCGTTTGAGGAAGCCATGGTTGTTGAGATATTTGTGGTGAAGAGCGTTGTGATGTTGTTTGAGTATTCGTAAGGTGTGAGTTGAAAAGCCGATGGTTAAACTTGTTGTTGTGAAGAGAGACTCAAGAGAAGGGTCAACAAGTGATGCCAGAAGTGAACTCTATGTATATAGGTGCTAGGTGATGCCGAAGGTGATGCCGGAAATGATTGTTTGCTGAATGCCGTGCGCCGTAACCAAATGCAACAGGAAAGTCAAAAAAGGAAAACGCCTTTTTCTCCGTGACCAATCCAGAAACGAAACGCTCGCTGTGATTCTTTATGTATGATTTCAAACTGATGAGGAGTTGTGAAGAAAGTGGAATTCGGGACGAAAGGCCCGGGGATACGATCTGAAAGACAATCAATGTCCATGCCCGGCCCGTTCCCACCTGTGCATCACACCTCCGCTTGCCGGCGGGACCTGAGCCGGCCCATTCAGCGCAGGGCACCGCTGGAAACAACATGAACCTCGGCCTCCAAACCCCACCGAAAACGTGGGGGAATTGCCTGCCGCGTTGGCAGGTACCCGCGGAAGTGTGGAGACCTTTTGACAGGGGCAACTTGCATTCGCAAGGTCCAGAGAACTTTTGTCATTCAGTTCTTTCCGTTTTGTCAGAGTCTGGAACTTTCTGCCTCAGCGTCCCGCCTTTTTTTCCCTCCCATCGATTCGTTGTCGCGTCCGTCGTCCGTAGCAGCACCTCAGTACTATAGTGAAACTCGCTTCTCTATAGCGCCCCGCCCTCTTTGTCGCAAACCACTCCACCGGTAATCGTTCAACCATCACGGCATCAACCGAACAGCCTACCTAACATCATCTGTCGCACATTCATCGCATTACATCGTCGCCGACTATACAATTACCAAATTTCCTTCGACAATCGAACAAACCCGACGACAAATAACCCCCCCGAAAAACACGACATAATGTCTTCCCGCGAGCAATACCAAGTCCCCAACTCCCAGGGCTTCACCACCGGCGCCTCCAACAACGACGGCAACAGCGGCGGCAGCAGCGTCATGTGGTACACTTGCGGTGACTGCGCGGTCCGTGTGCCGCTTGAGAAAGGCGCCCCCATCCGTTGCCAGAAGTGCGGTGCGCGTGTTCTGTACAAGGAGCGCACTAAGAGGTATGTTTCGTCCGAAGGGTTTGTGGAGGGACCTGAGCGGAGAGGATAGAAGAATCTGGTCAGGCGGGAGGAGAACAATATGCTAACGCTTTGGGGAATTGCAGAATGGTTCAGTTCGAGGCTCGCTAAGTGCTTTTCATTAGATTTGGGGCAAAAGAAGAGGGGCGGTCGATCTTTCGATACCGGGCTGAAGTTCTCGTCTCGCCAAAACCGGCTTGGAGGTATTAATGCTGAGGAACGAGCCGGGCTAGGCTTGAGGCGACGGGGACAGATTGTTGAGGGAAGCTGTGGCCTTGGAGGTTCGGACTGTCGATACTCTGGTGTAATTGCACACCATGACCGGTGGTTCAGAATGGCCCAGCTTTAAGCCCATGGCTCGAGGTGACCAGAAGAGGGAAGACATCACATTCATCACAATATCATGATGGCGGCGTTCTGGGAAATATCGGTAGACTTGTGGGAATTCATACACAGAAAGCATTGCTTTTCATCATCAACACCAACAACATTGAACAGATCAGTTCTGTATCGCTTTTTCATTATTGATCATGTTTTTGCCACCTAAAATGTTGGTATGGTATCACTCTAAAACGCCGGTTGTATGCTAAATGCCCATCTCCTCTGTATCTCTTTTCGTTACCATTGCTCCGTAGGATGCTGCCTTGCAAAATAACCAGCCCCTATCACCTCTGCTGAGTGTGGAGGTACTTTGCAAAACTTGCCTCCGCCAAAACCGAGTCATCCTCACCCTGCATGGCAGCGGCGTACCTCGCCTGCAGTCCCTCGCGGTCATACTCGTCGTTCGGGTCGTCGCCAGCTTCCTCATCACTCTCCTCATCCGTGCTCAGCGGCTCGGGGGCCTCTCCATCATTAACATCGCCGACTGTGACATCGCCCGCCGTATCACCCATCGACATGCCCTTCATCATCTTGTTGAGTTCCCTCTCCCGAGCCTTCTTCTTGTTCTCCTCCCTTTCCTCGCGCCTTCTCTCGAGCTCAGGCTGATAGTCGCGCTTGAACTCTTCCGCCTTGTCCTGCACCGCGGCAAAGAATTCGTCAATGCCCGTTCCGTACAATGAACTGACACCGACAACGCTGAGATGTGCGTAAAACTCCTCCAACATCAGACTCATGCTGTTCAACAGCGAGCCCATGTATCCGCTGCCCGATCCCATGCCGTCGCCACTGCCCTCCGCTCCGCCAAACGCGTTGTTGGTCTCGTCCTCCTGCAGCGCAGCCTGGAAAGCATCGTAGTCGGTCATCCACTCCTTGGCGAAGGCCGGGTCCTTGACATCGGACTTGTTGAACACCAGAATCATAGGCAGCTTGGTCTTGTAAAGGATACTGCAGGCGTAAAGCATGTTGCTCATGAAGGTCGACGTCGAGGCCGTCCGGGGGGTGTCGATGATGTAGGCGATAACGGTGGGGAAGGACGAGGCGAGCGACTCGAGGAGGATCTGGCCCGAGGCGGACCAGACGAACACCTCGATCTGACCCGGCGTATCGACGAGGATGTGCTTGATGGGCGTATGCGCAGGGTCGTCGGGCTTGGGGGTTGTGCGCTTCTCAAGCAGACCGAGGACCTGGTCGACTTTTGTAGCGAAGAGGTTGAGCGATGTGAGAATGCCGCCGTTGGGTCCGAGGTTGTACTGCTTCATCACCTCCTTGTAGTTGACCGAGTCGCGGATGTCGATGTTGCTCTCGAAGGGCGAGTGGGTGACTGCTGGGTCGAGGTTGATGACATAAGGAGGCTCTTTCTTTCCGTGGAGATGGGCATTGATCTGTTGCATAAAGGTCGTCTTGCCAGATCCTGGAGATAACGGTTAGATGTTTGACTCGGCTCGCGACTGGTGAAGCTCGAAGCATGACAACTTACCGGCCATGCCAACGCAGACGATGGCAACAGGCTGGTCAGCCTTAGCGGCAGACGATGCCGATGCCGAAGTTGAAGCCATTGTGTGTCAACAATGTCTTGATGTGGGAGATTGTTTGTTGATTTCTGTGCTGTCGCGCGGGTAAAACTGGAAGCCCCTTGCAGATTTGAGTTTGCGCCGGAGATGGTGTTGTAGTGTCGGGAGGAAAGTTTGACGGATGTCGTAAACGGCGGGGTCACTAAAGATGGCCGCAGGTGGTTGCGACGGGGTGAATGTCCGGGGGGCGTAGAGGGGCAACGCCGCAAAAAAATGTCCGTCGATAGCGGGCGAGAAGGTTTCCATCAACGGCAGGGGTGGGGCGGAAGGTCTTGGCACTTTTGTTTCATTGACTTTGGAACCTCAATTGATTCTATTTTCCCCTTCTTCCCACACGTTTTCCATCCTGTCTCCGTGTTCCTCAACATCCTCTCTGTTCCATATCCGACCGCCCCCAATATCATCCTCAACAAACATGAACTAAATCTGCTGCCGACCTGGATTTGCTATCATGCGTATGTTAACAGCCCATACAACATGTTTGACAGGTTCTTGTCTTCAGCCGAGCCGCTGTTAATCTACGAGCACCATAGCCCTGAGCCGCAGTTGTCAATCAACCTGGGAAACTCGCAGTTTCTATTCTTTGATTTATACACTGGTATTTGAGTGCCCAGATATTTCAAGGTCCCAATGGCCGGATGGAATGACTCGCCAGGGGCCGTCGAGCCCTACAAGTTTCAATGACCTCCAAGGCTATTGTTCAATGAGGTTTGTCCACTTGCTCAGTTCCAACTAATCCTTTCATGCCCAGCAACGATGACGGATATGGAAGGATTGTGAAACGGTTGGAGAGCTTGTCAAAGTGGCAATTTAAAGCTATTGAACCAGCATAGCACCCAATGAGGGAAAATGCGTCTCACGTCATCCCCAAGAAACGGTCAGGAACTACAGCCAGGATGCTGGCGGGGCAAACCACCAATACCAATGACCGCTAACCATGTTGAGCGGGTGGTTGTGGTCCCGCGCTGGGGAGGGCGCAGCCTCGGTGGCCTCTTATCGCGTCAAAACTCTTCAAAACGGTAGATGATGAGAGCTGGGTTGTGAAATATGGTAAGCCACAAACGTAAAAGGCAAGATCCATCTGTTCTGTACTACGGGAGGCAGAGTGGCCGGGGACCAAGCGGTCATCTACGAGGTGCCGCTCCTGGTACTCAGCCCTGCCAACCTCCACCCTCCACGTTCTATCCCATTTTACCCCAAGCTGACCCCGTAGATCCGCTGGGTTATCTCCCTCCCACTCCCTCTCTTGCTTCATTTCTCGTCTTACACCAACACAAGATTCATCACTTGAGTTTCGGCCAAATCCCAGCAACTCACCACATCCAGGCTCTGGAATCAGCTACCTACTACGCTCTCCTTACGACTCTACCTCTATAGAGGTATATACACCTTCATTTATCGGTGTCACACATCTGCTTACGGCGCCCATTGCCCACCATGTTGCGCAAGAAGGAAGCCTTCACCGTCATCACACCTATCCCGGGCTTCATCCCTCGACAGTTGGCCATCGACATCCTTCATTCTCATTCCGAGGTCATCAATCTCAACCCGCTTGTTCTCGACCACAAGCCCATTGCGGCCCCTCAGAATGCAGAAACGGATGAATATTATGCGACATGGTACGAGATCACTGAACGAGTCACGTTTGTACCTGGGATTGGGAGGATGGGAGCTTCCATCATCAAGTTCAACGGCTGCTTTCACGACATGCCATGGGGGCTTCAGACTCACATCTACGCCCCCATGAATGTTGATCTACGCAACAAGTATCGCATCGCCGGCAATCAACCAAACTACGAGCCTCCAGAGCAACTTGAGATTGGATTGGCGGCTCTTGGGGCGCCCTCGGACGGGCTGTACCTCCGTGAGGATATCGAAATCAAGTGCAGCCGCACTGTTATGAGCTTCGTCAAGTCACAGATGAAGAAGGCGGGTGGGGAAATGGTGAGACGCATCATCAAGAAGGCCGAGTTGCTGGATGCTGGCGTGCTTCAGGCCATGATTGAAGACGGGAAGCTGAAGACATTCAACCCGGCCGACAAGAGGAACACGGTTCGACGATCGACGATGCAGTCTCCAGGTCCTCAATTCTCGCCGACCTTTGCCAGTTCGTCGGTCTCTGGGACACCACCTCACTCTCCACCACCAATGTCTCCCGGCATTCCCTACCAGATCCCGCGACCGCTGTCTGCTACTCCAAGTCAACACCGGCCAAATACCTCGGAATCCTACAGCCGCCCTAATAGTCATGGAAAGGCACCCGCGGCTTTCGGCTACGGAACGCCAAATGGACCACAGGAGTTGCCTGCAACCAACTCTGAACCGGCCTCGAACGGTCCGATCGAGATGCCAGGCGACTTCTATCACGCGCCATCAAGCCTTCAGCCTCATTCTCAGCCATCTTCCAACCGAAATTCCAACCAGTCATGCACGTCCGACAGGCCACAAGCAAGCCCGAACCCATCGTCACACAGCGGTTTCCCGTCTCCAGGTCTGGACAAGAATTTTGGACTGCAAACCCACCAGGAAACGTCTGAAGAGCACAGGGATGAGACTTTGAAGAAGCTCGACCCTCGTATCCCCCATCCGTCTCACTACGCTCCGTATAACCCAGCAGATTACGGTCCCGTGGACCCATTGAAAGTTCCTGGCAATCAGTATCATCAGGCCCCACAGGCTCAACAGCTGTATAAAAACACGTATACACGGTGATGGAAGACAAATTTTGATAGGTTCATCAATGTGGTTGGTAATGGTTGGGAGACAGACAGGGAGTTATGTGGTGGTTTTTGGAAGTTCTTATACCCCTTCGCTTTCTTCTTCGCTGTGTAGTTGTACACGGACTTGAAACAACTTAGAGACCATGGATATTTGTTGGATAAAGTGAAAAAGGCCGATTCAGGCATCCCTGTTTTTCACCAACGGCCTTCGCCCTCGGAATAAACTCATTGTAATTCTTCGCTTTGTAGACCACTTATTGTCTCATAGTGCTCAAGAAAAATTCCTCCACAGCACTTTCAGGCAGCAAGATTTCAAAATGGGTGTCACCCGTTCATCATATTCACGGCATTCACGGCATGTGCGTGAATGTGGTGGAATATCAAATACGGGCCCCATAACTTCTGGCCAAGAGCCAACGCTAACCCAGAAATGGTTAAGACGGCGGCCGCCCCACAGGCAACCTGGAAGCTCTTTGGTCTCGACGGTCGAGACCCCGACTTCATTCTTGAGTTGAACTTTCAGCTCCGCCTTTGGTCATTCGTTCAATTCTCACAACCACCAATATTCTGTTTCTAAGATTTGCCAAGAATCAATAACAAAAACCATTTGAAGTCCCTCAACATAAAACATCTGCGTCTTCGAAAATGGGTATCGGAGCATTAACATTCTCTCAACAGTCGGCGGTGCAGAAGCTGCGGCATCCTATCAGACGGAGGGGTCTCAGTCATCAACACCTCCAAGAAAGAAAGCGACAAGTGAGTTTTCCGTTGCAGCCAAGCTTGGGCTTTGTGAATGAAGTCATTGCTGTCCCTATATAGTATGATGACTGCAGTGAAACAACTTGTTTTCCGTTTTGAGTGCCGTTCTGCTGCTGTGCCTTGTGCCTTACAAACTTCTTGTCCATGGTGAAGAGGCGGCAGGGACAAGACATACCGTGGAGAAAA